ACGACCAGCACTTTTTTATCGTGTACCATTTTAATTTCGTGACAATCTTTATCGTGTATGGGACTCGATGGATGTTCTTTGCAAAAACTTGCAAACGGACAATTGGGACAATTTTTCAAATAATTTTGACGTGCCTCGAAGCATACGAAACAAACGCGAGGGAATTGAAGCATTTCCTCTTCGTTTGGAAATAGAGCTCGATTTAGATATAACATTATTTCTGTCCACATATTTTTACTTTCGTCCATCCATTTGTGACGCGATAGACCCTTGAGGCCCTCGAAGATATGTGATTGATGATTTATCCTTAATATTGTTGATATTGCGCGGCAAAATGTTTTGTGATTCTTCCAATCGACCTTCTGATGTGGCTCGCCACAATATGAGACCATTCTGCAGCCGCTGCATTGTTTTAGAGAATTTGTCGTCTCACATACGTAACACTCGTTTGGATAGAAATACATGTTTTCTTTTTGTTATTTTGGAATTTTTTTTTTAATAAAATCGCTTCTTTTTGTTTGAAATCCCGTTTCCTTGGTTTAATTTAATCTGAAAACAATATTAGTGGATTAATTCGAATTTTAGTTTAACAACCTAACGTCAATTATTTTGAAAACATTTAATAAAATACTTCGAAGGAATTCAATTATTTTCAATAATATTAAGATTCTTGAGAGAAATTTAATTATTTACCTACAAAATTTTTTATAAAGTTTATAAGAATTCAATTATTTTTAATAGAATTTTAATTGAATTTCTCGAAAGAAATTAAATTAAAGGAAAATAAATTAAATTAAAGAAAGAAATTAAATTAAATTATTTTGAAAAATTTCTATAAAAATCTTCAAAGGAATTCAATTATTTTCAATAATAATATTAAGATTCTTGAGAGAAATTTAATTATTTACCTACAAAATTTTTTATAAAGTTTATAAGAATTCAATTATTTTTAATAGAATTTTAATTGAATTTCTCGAAAGAAATTAAATTAAAGGAAAATAAATTAAATTAAAGAAAGAAATTAAATTAAATTATTTTGAAAAATTTCTATAAAAATCTTCAAAGGAATTCAATTATTTTCAATAATAATATTAAGATTCTTGAGAGAAATTTAATTATTTGCAACGAATTTTTATAAAGTTTATAAGAATTCAATTATTTTTAATAGAATTTTAATTGAATTTCTCGAATAAATTCAATTATTTTGAAAAATTACCATAAAAATCTTCAAAAAAAAAAAAAAAATTCAATTACTTTCAATATAATTTTAATGAAATTCTTCGACATAATTCAATTAATTTTAAAAAATTTAATAAAATTTCCCAAAAAAAAGACCAATAATTTTCATGACAATTTTTATTAAATTCCTCGAAAAAAATTTGATAATTTTCAAAAATTTTAGAAAAATTCTTAAAAACAATTCAATTCTTTTTATATACTCACAGGAATTCAATTATCTTTAGAAAATTTGCCAAAACTTAATTATTTTCATATAATTTTAATAAAATTTCTCTGAGGAATTCAATTATTTTGAAAAATTAATTTTTAAATATTAACTTCAATTTCTGAGAAAATTCAGATTCAAAATTAAAAAAAATTAATTTATAATTATTATTAAATTTGTAGTATTTTAAGAAATTCGGTTTTTCAAATTTTTGATAATTTTTGACAATTTTAAATTTTTTACCAAAGCGTTGAGACTATGAAATAAGTAAAGTGTTTTTGAAGAGCCCAAAAATATTGAAGCTAAATGCCATAAAAGAGAAAAAAAAATGTTGAATTTTAAGAAATTCAGTTTTTCGAATTTTTGATAATTTTTAATAATTTAAAATTTTTTACCAACGGGTGAAGACTATCAAAAAAGTAAAGTGTTTTTGAAGAGCCCAAAAATAATAAAGCTAAAAGTCATAAAAGAGTAGAAAAAATGTTGAATTTTAAGAAATTCGGTTTTTCGAATTTTTGATAATTTTAGATAATTTTAGATTTTTTACCAAAGGGTGGAAACAATTATTATGAAAAGTGTTTTTGAAGAGCCCAAAAATATTGAAGCTGATGTTGAATTTTAAGAAATTCGGGTATTTGAATTTTTTTGATTTTTTGATAATTTTAGATTTTTTACCAAAGAGTGGAGACTATTAAATAAGTAAAGTATTTTTCAAGAGCCCAAAAATAATGAAGCTAAACGCCATAAAAGAGATGAAAAAATGTTGAATTTTAAGAAATTCGGTTTTTCGAATTTTTGATATTTTTACATTTTTTTACCGAAGGGTGGACACTATTAAATAAGTAAATTTTTGAGAAAATACCATAATAATTTTTTTTTGAAGTTGTTGAATGTTAGAGAAATTGTAGTAGCAAATTTTAGAAATAAATGAATTTCAACAAGTTTCAAATTATAATTATTTAAATATTTAAACTTTTTTAAAAACAAAAAAAAATTTAATTTTGGAAAAGTTACAAATTATTGCAGAAATTCAATTATTTTCAACAATAATAATATTCTTCGGAAAAATGGAATATTGTTCAAAAATAATAAAATTCTTTTTAGGGATTCAATTGTTTTCACAAATAATAAAACTCATCGCAGAATTTCAATTATATTTAATAGAATAATTCAATCGAATTCCTCGAAAAATGTACCTAATTATTCTTAAAAATTTTATTAAAATTCGTCGAAAGAATTCAATTATTTAAAAATCTGTTGATAAAATTTAGTATGGGAATTGAATTTTAAGAAACATTCAATTATTAAATAAATTATTTATTTTTCTATTTAAATAATTGAATTCTATTAAAATTTACTAATAAAAATTGATTTAAAAACGAATTTCAGTTAAAATTTCAGATAATAATTGAATATTAAAAGCAATATAGCGTGAATTTTTAGAAAGAATTGAATTTTGAAATTAATTTTGTTTGAAAAAGTTTAATTGCGAATTTTTTTTATATTATTTGAAGTTTTTATTTTCTAATATATATATTTAATTGAAGAATTTAAACAAAGAATTGAAATTTTGTAAAATTGAATACTTTAAACAAACGAATTTAAAAATTGTCAAAGAACATTTTCGTTAATTATTAAAAATTCGAGCCCTGGGTAAATTGACATTGCGGCGATCACGTGACCTAACAATCACATGCTGTCAAAATAATATTAATATAATAAATTTACTTATTATTATTATTATTAATAATAAGTTATTGTCTTATTGATAAATCTATTGACGTTAGGCTAAGTCTACAATAGATTTTTTTTATTTACCCTAAACAAAAGAATATAATTATAGATTTCTGTTGATAAATATAAAAGATACAAGAAATTAAAGTAAATTGTTAATTAGTTTCAAAATATATTCGTTAAAAGGCATTTATTTCTATTTTGTTTTAAAAGGGAAAATTGTCATTATAAACAAAAAGAAAAAGGAGAAAAAGTAGAGAAAAAAGAAAAACAGTATTTTGCAATAGAGACAAGTAGAAATTGTTATGAAAGTAAAAGATAAAAAATGTAAAGTAACGATAAAAATATGTAAATTAAGAGATAAATTTTCTGATAATAATTCACTTACCAAATTAATATTTAGTGTTTATCATATTCTTTCATTTATATATAAATGATATAAATATACATTTATAAATGTAAATTTTTAGAGGTTAGACTGTGCGTAATGCTGCTTTCGTTTAAATAAAATTGTGATAAAACTCTTTTAGTTAGGTATATCAAAATTTCCCATATGTGAGAAATTATCTATTAATATTAACAGGACATTTTTAATATTAAGAGATTAATTAAATATTATTTTATATCACTTTCATTATCGAAGCGGTTTAAACACATTTTTCCTTCTTTATTGTGTCCATTGTGTCGTACACACACACAACTTTATAGTGGAAATAGGTGTGTGAGTGCATATACATATATTTACGAGTTTGCGCATTGTTTTTTATTGGCAACCCACATTTTTTTTTTTATTTAATTTTTAACTTTGATCTACTTTTCTTTCCAGAAAATCAAAAAAACGATTTTATAAAAATTTTTTGTTTAGAAAAAAATAATTAGTCACGTGAATAATTTTAATTTTAATTTTTATTTATTAAAATAATTTAACTGTTTTTGTAAATAATTGAATTTTTTAAAGTAATGGAAAATTTAAGTTTTATAATAAAATTTTAATATTTTAATTTGTTCACTATTTGAAAAGTGAATTATTTAATAAATTAAAATTAATTTAAAATTCAATTATTTTAATTTTTATATATAATTGAAAATTTCATTTTGTTGACGAATTTATTTTTAAAAATTCAATTACTTTCAAAAAACAATTGCTTTTTTTATAAATTTCATTATTTATAAAGTTTAATGATTTTAAATTTGCTTTATCTCTATAGTATAATTTTTTTAAATTTCAATTTTTGTATAAATTCAATTATTTTTTTTAATTATATTATATTTTTAAATTTTGTTATTCTTGAAAGTAAATTATTTTTAAATTTCAAGGAGGCCTTATTTTAATTATTTTTTAAATTCTCATTATGTCTTTAAGGGACAATTACTTTTAAATTCAATTATTTTAAAATCTTCAATTACGTTTCAATTAATAATTATTAAAAATGGATTATTTTCAAAATATTAGGTATTATAAGTTCAAAATTTTATTAATCATAAAATTCTATTATTTTTAAGTTCCTTTGTTAATACAATTTATTTCAATTTCAATTTTTTTTGTACATAAATTCAATTATTTTCAAGTTCATTTAACTTTATAATAAATTTGTTTTTTAATCAATTATTTTTTATTTATTTATTTTTTTAATTTAATATTATTTAGAATAGTTTGAATATTTTTAATATTCTAATTATAGTAAATAGAAAATAATTTTATTTCATTTATCATTTTTGGCATATTTTTTATTTCATTGTAAAAAATATAATGTATTTTTTAATTACAAAAATGTTTATCTTATATTGCAGTGTATAAATCTTACATATCTTAATGTATATCTTATTCTAAAAAACAAAGATAATACTAAATTGAACTTAGAAACAAAATTATATTCCCTGAATCGAGAAATTCTTAAAAATTAAACATTTTATTAAAATTTCAAGAAATGCGCAAATTAAATGTCACATTTAACATTTTTGTCTTATTATCATTTTTCTCTCAATGAAACACGAATTTATATTTTACAAAAAAAAAAATCTATTTTTACGCAATATTTCTTTCTGTTACTTTTCATTTTTTTTTTCGAGAAATTGTACAATTGTTGATGAAAAACAAAATTTAATAATTAATTTTGATATAGATAAAATTAATAATTTCAATTTTTTGCTTTTAAAAGAAAAAGAGAAAAATTACTTTTTACAATTATCACAGAATTGACAATTTTTTTTCTCCAGCAATTTTTTCAATGTTTCACTAATTTCACTTCGTATGTCAATAAGAATTTGATTTTCCTCACGAAGTCGTTGATTTTCAAGTTTATTCTTTTCGTTTTCATTGATTATTATTTCGATTTGTTGTTCCAGAGTATTAATTCTTGTTATTATTTCGTTTTTCATTTCATCATTCATTTCATTTTCTCTCGATGGACTTAAATTTTCGGAAGTTCTCTTTTCAGTTACAATGTCCGTTTGTTGCGATAAAATCTTTTCCAATTCGCCGACTGTTATATATTTTTTCTCTTTCTCTTTTTCTTTTGCTTCTTCTTCATCTGCTTCTTTTTCTTTTACTTCTTCTTCTTTTTCTTTTTCTTCTTCTTCTGCCTCTTTTTTATCTTCTGCCTCTTTTTCATCTTCTGCCTCTTTTTCATTTTCTGCCCCTTTTTCATCTTCTGCCTCTTTTTCATTTTCTGCCCCTTTTTCATCTTCTGCCCCATTTTCATCTTCTGCTTCTCTTTCTTTTTTGTCTTCTTTCGTCAATTTTTTATTTTTGGAACTTTCCACTTCGCAACGGGCTAAAAATTCCTTTTCGACCGCTGAATTTACTCTTTCATTTATCTTTTCTTCCGTCGGTTGCTGGCGGCTATTTATCATCAATTTAAATGGTTGATCCAACATAATTACTGAATTTGGCGAATTCCTCATTCTCTCGACATACAATTTTTTATAGATGAGAATAAATGCATTTGGATATTTTAATTGCTCAGTTTCAAAGTCAGGTTCCATTATTGTCGATGCAAATGGATTTGGCAGTAAATAATCGTGATTCACGGATTCATCGAGAAGTGAACATAATTTTTCGTGATCCTTCAAACCACGTCGCAAAGTGCCCGACGTTAGAATAAATGGTGCATTCACAATATCCTTTAATGCTCGAATTGTCTCCCTCCACGTGCACTCAATTATTCCATAATCACTCTCGTGTAAATTTAAATTAAAACCAAAAATAATATCCGGTTTTGTCGCCTGTTGCTTGTCGTTCAAATATTCATGGTAATTGACCGAATTTCTTGAAATAAGAAAATTCTTCTTCCCCGCTGGTCTACAGCAATCGCACGATTGAACAATGAGTTGTGAATTCTCCATTAATTCCGGTCCAATGAAGTGAATTTTCAATTCCTTTAAATCCGGCAGCCAATGATAGAGAATTTCCCAATAATCGTGAAAAATAAATTCCTCAATATTTGCGCCGATAATGTGAATTGTCAATGATTTTGATGTATTTAAATTGAGTTTCTCCAAACAATAGAGTGCAGTTAATGGTCGTGAAAAATATTCTGTGATCACGTATTTAAGTAAAATACAATTTTTCCCACCAATTGGATTTGTCGTTTTAATATTTGTATCGATAAATAAATTAATTCCTTGTGGTAATCTCTTTAATTTTCTTTGTAGTGGAATTTTTTTCAATGTAATTTTTGTCATATCGTACATTACGGATTTTGTATTGAGATGACGACGAATTCCTCTTAACATTAGAGTGAGAGCAAATGAATCTTTTAGTAATGAACATAATTTTTGATGTTTTGAATTATTCTTGTGCTGCTTACAAAGACTTATCTGTAAAAGAAAAAAATAATAAAAGAATAGAAAGAAAAGAAAATTAAAAAATTAAAAATTATTTTATAAATTTTATTCATTCAAATTAATAATTGAGAATAATTCAAAGAAAAATTAATTCAAAATAATAAAAATAATAAAATAATCCATTTTTTTCTTTTACATTTTTAATTTTTATTTAAATAGTACTTAACAAAATTTTTATTAAATTGTTCGAAGAATTTTTATTCTTTAGAATTAAATTATTTTAGAAGGAAATTTTTATAAAATTTAATTTTACTTAAGAAAGTTTAAATTGATTTAAAATGGAAAAGATTGTTTAAATATTTATTCAATTACAAAAAACTTGATATAGTTTCTAATTAAATTATTTTTGAAATTACATATTTAATTATTTATGATTTCAATGATTTAAAAATTGAATTTTGTGGAAATCTACCAATTTGAAAAAAAAAGATTTTTTATTTATATTTACCTACCTATCTATTCAATTTTTGAATATTTGAAAATTTAAAATTCCAATGGAATAAAAATTCTAAAATCAAATTACTTCGAAAATTTCAATTTAAATATTCAATTATTTAAAATTTTGATAAATTTTGTTTTTCTAATTGTATTCTCATTATTTAAATTATTTTGTTTATCATTGTTTTTGTTGATATATTATTTTTAAAAAATGATAAATTAATTAATTCGATTGCAGTTATAATAATTTAATAGGTATACATTTTTTAATGCTTTTTTTTTGTAAATAAAAATGTGAAGAATGAAAGAGTAGAATAAAAAGAAGCCGCAATAAAAAATAGAGAAATCAATAAATATAAGGAAATCAATAAAAAATGACATAAATGAATAGAAAAGCAAGAAAATCAATAAAAGATATGGAAATAAATAAAAAAAACAGAAATAAATAAAAATTTCCAGAAAAATATGTAGACAGCACAAAAAGAAATAAAAAAATGAGGAAATATATATTTATAAAAAAAAATAAGCAGGATTGTCACAAAAATATGATTTTGTTTTTCCTTACATATTTAAATTCATTAGTTTAGAATACAATTTCACGAAATTTTTATTATTCGAAAATTCTCCAATTAAACATATATATTAGAAAATAAAAACTTCAAAAAGTTAAAAAAAAAAAGATTAAGAATAATTACATTTTTTCGAAGAATTCGATTCAAATTGTGTTAAAAAATAATTGAAATTCTGCGATGAGTTTTATTATTTATGAAAGTAATTAAAAGTTTGCGTGGAATTTTCTTACATTTTTTTTAAATAATTGAATTCTTTTGGAAAATTTTATTAAAATAGTAAATAATTGAAAATTTTAACGAAGAATTTTACTAAAAAATAATTATAATAATTGAATTGTTGTGTTAAATTTTGTTATTATTTAAAATAATTGAATTTCTACGCTGAATTATATTAAAATTTTTTTAAATAATTAAATTCTTTAATAGAATTTAGTTAAAAATGTTTTGGAAACTAATTGAATTTTTTATAAAGAATTTTATCAAAATTTTGAAAATTTAATTGAATTCTATCTGAAACTTTTTAAAAATAATTGACTATTGTAGAGAAATTTTATTAAACTTGTATTTAAAATAATTCAATTCCCAAGAAGAATTTTGTTATTTATAAAAATAATTAAATTCCTGACTACAATTTTATTATTTATGAAAATAATTAAATGTTTGAGTAAAATTTTATTAAATTTTTTTTTTTTAAATAATTGAATTCTTTTGGAAAATTTTATTAAAATAATAGATAAAATTGGAAAACATTGAATTGAGGAGAATATTTTTGAAAATAATTGAAATTTAGCCAAGAATTTTATTAAAATTTTTGAAAATAATTGAATTTCGGAGAAGAATTTTATTATTATTTATTTAAATAATTGAAATTTAGACGAGAATTGTTTGAATTTTTTGAAAATAATAGAATTGCTGCGAAGAATTTTTTTTTACTTTTGAAAATAATTGAATTCCTGCAATGATTTGTATCTTCTGCAAAATTCAATTTTTTTGTTAGTGAATTTATGAAAATTGTAAACGCAATTCTTTTAAAATTTAATTAATTTTGAAATATTTAAGTAAAACTGTTTATTAAATAATTTATAAGTAATGAATTTATGACAGTTGTGTATTAGAATTCGTGGTAGTTTAATAGTTTATAAAGCAAACAAAAAAGACACTAAAATTCCGATTTTTTTTTCATGAATTCTGAAAATTTAATTTTTTCTAGTAATTTTAATAAAAATCCCCGACTTTTTTTCTGACTTTCCTGACTTGTGGCAAAATTCTGGTAAAGAAACGAATAAAAAATACATAAAGAAATAAATAACAAATGTATAAATAAATGAAAAATAAAGAAATAAATAAAAAACAAAGAAAATACAGAAAGAAATAAGAAAATAAGGAAACGAATAAAAAGATGATGAAAAAAATTAAAAATTGAAGAAATAAATACATAATTAAATAAATAAAGAAAGAAAGAAAACTTACTCCACATTCGCACGTTTTCAAAACACTCCAATCGCTCTCATGACAAATGAAGCATGCCCTTGGAAATAGAATCATTTGCCTCTCATAATCAACGAGTTTTCTACCAATTTTCTCCTCAGCTTTCAATAGAAAATCCACTTTTGTCCTCAGCCACGCGTCCATGTGACATGTTTTTGATTTATCAAATAAACTCGTACCGCCAATTTCCTTCATCATTCCCAAAATAACTTTACAAAAATCCTTATGCTCCGACCAATGCTCACGACGATGTTCCTCACTGCAATAAGATATTATTTTACAACGCGTACACGGAACACAATCCTTCATCTCGTGACACACTTGACACGAATCAATTTTAAAAAAATCCCAACTTGGATCAATGCACAATGGAATTGATGAATTTTTCTCATCCTTTGAATTTGTTTCCTCCACTTTTTCTTTTTGCGATGAATTTTCTTTTTTTGTCGATTTTTCCTTTGGTGGTGATTTTTCCTTTGGCGGAGATTTTTCCTTTGGCGGTGATTTTTCCTTTGGCGGTGATTTTTCCTTTGACGAATTTTCAATTTTTCCATTTGTCGAATGTTCTCTCGGTGATTTTCCCCGTCCATTCCCCAATTTTTCCTTTAGCGAATTTTTAATTTTCTCTTTTAGTGAATTTTCCGCCTTTTTTTCCTTGAGCGAATTTTCAATTTTCTCATTCACTTTTTCCGTTGGCGAATTTTCCGCATTTTTCTTGAGTGCTTTTTTATTCTTCTCTTCCAATTTTTCCGACAAACAATTTATCGTTTTTTCCTTCTCTTCCTTCATTGAATTCTTTTGTTTTTCATTTAGAGAATTTTCCCCTTCATTTCCTGTCGTAGATGAATTTTCCTCGAATTCCAATTGTTTCGATGAATTTTCAGTTAAAATATTAAATATTAAATATTCTTTGGCTAATTTTTGTTTTTCCTCGAGTGGTATCTTTTTTGGCGATTGCTCCACAATTTTTTTCTTTAATTCCTTCTCGAGAGTGGAATTTTTCGGGACAATTAATAATCCATTTTGAATTGTCATTTCATTTTGTGATTTAATTGGCGGCAATGAAATTTGTTGGACTTCTGTTTTAACGGCAGTAGAAGCATTATTTGATTCCTGATTTTTTCCATTCTGCTCTCTCTTTGATTGTAAATATTCAACGGTAGCCGCGTGCAATTGTGCCGACATTCGCGTGATTTTTGCCTCCTTCAAAAAATTGAGAAAATACATTTTCATATTGTCGGAGAGACCTTTGAAATTTGCAAAAAATTGAAATAAAAGAATATTCGAATTAATGACGTAACTCAATTCCGTACGACAATCGCGTCTTTGTCTTAAACTACGAAATTTATTGACACCATCGTAATAAATTGAATACTTTGAGACACATTGTATTAAAGATTGTCGAATTCCATCAATTTCCGTATGGCCTGAATAAATAATTGGACAATCTTTTAATGTTAATAATAATAAATTAACATCTTCGGCAATCATTTTATCGATACGATTAAATTCTGTTGTTGTTTCTAAATTATTGTCGAAACAAAAATGAATTATAACGTGTGGTATGGCATTGTTGTGATTTTTTAAAAATTCCCTGTAATTTTTGGCGGTTATTATTTGTATTTTTTTACCTCTTGCAGTGCAATTATCACAGGGAATAAATGCTTTGTCAGATTCAAGGAAATTTTTATGAAAAAATATAATTGTCAGCATTTTAACATCGTGCATTAAATGTAAAATAATTTCCCATAATTTACAATTTATCTCCTCAATACCATCGCAAAAAATTGTGAAACATTCTTTCGTTGACATTTTCAATTTATTCAGAGCATTATAAACTGTCAATGGATAAGTCAATATTTCGGAGATGCAAATTTTTTCAATCTCAACAATTTCCAATGGTGGCTTTGGATAATGCTGTAATAATTGTGCTATTGATTTTGGCGATTGATTTTTATTTGTCTCATCGAAATAAATACGATCGACAATTAATTCGGCGAGATTGAATATTTTATGGAAATTGAGTGAATTTTTTTGTAAATCAAAATTGTGTGTTTGTCTCATAATGCCGCATTCGTGACTGTGTTGACGTAAATCTTTATGTTCGGAGCAATACGATAATGATGGACAATTTGGACAATTTGAGAGTGTTTGTTGTTTCGATGAATGACAAGTGAAACATGATCGTGGAAAATAGATCATTTGCTTTTCAACTGATGATAATGGTCGTGATAATCTTTTTTCTAATGCTCTTTTCCAACCATCTTTCAATAAAGACCAATTTATTTTGTTGCCATCTTCGGTTTTTTTCTCATAAATCTCATAAATATGTGAGAGTTTTCGTAATTTTAATTCCTCGACAATTGCACGACAAAATTCTTTATGCTCTGAATGTTCGTCCTGATGATTTTTACCGCAATATGACACCATTTGACAACGTGTACATTGTCGGAGATTTTTCTTTATCCTACATATGTAGCATTCATTTGGATAAAAGTCCATTTTCGCGTCTGTCAAATATAATTTTTGATCATCTGCAATGAATAGAGAGAGAAAAAATGCAATTAAAATTTTATTTACGATAATTAAGGGGAATAATAATAATTTTTATTTCCAACTTAACTATGAAATGTTACGTACAAAACACGATTATTATCCAAAATTTTCTATTTTCAAATATAAACTTCAACTTTTTAATAATTTTAGATTCGAAATCTTTAAAATTCCCTTTTATTGACTAATTACCTAATTAATTATTATGTTTTATTATTTTCAATATACAATTCTTTTAAAGTTTCTCAAAAAAATTCAATTATTTTAAAAATTACAAAAAATATTCGTTACAAAAATTCAATTATTTCTGTAAAAAAATTTAATAAAAATTCTTTGAAAGAATTCAATTATTTTTTAAAAAATGTTAAACAATTTGCAAAATTTTCAATTATTTAAAAAAAAATTAATAAAAATTCTTAGAAAAAATCGTTACAAAAATTCAATTATTTCTGTAAAAAAATTTAATAAAAATTCTTTGAGAGAATTCAATTATTTTTCAAGAAATGTTAAACAATTTGCAAAATTTTCAATTATTTAAAAAAAAATTAATAAAAATTCTTAGAAAAAATTTAGTTTTTTTTTCAAAAATTCAATTTCTTAAAAAATTTTAATAAAAATTCTTTTTGAGAGAATTCAATTATTTTTCAAGAAATGTTAAACAATTTGCAAAATATTCAATTATTTATAAAAAATTAATAAAAATTCTTAGAAAAAATTTAGTTTTTTTTTCAAAAATTCAATAATTTCTTAAAAAATTTTAATAAAAATTCTTTGAAAGAATTCAATTATTTTTTTCCTAGAAATGTTAAACAATTTGAACAATTTCAATTATTTAAAAGAAATTAAATAAAAAATCTTGGAAAAAATTTGATTTCTTTTCGAAAATTCAATTAAATTGAAAAATAATAAAATTTGTTGTAAAAATTCTCCATTATTTTAAAAAAATGTTGATACAATTCATTACGACAATTACATTTTTAAAAAAAAATAAAATAAACATCTTCGGAAGAATACAATTATTTTCAAAACAATATTAATTTTCTGGAAAGAATTCTTATTTTAATTTTAATAAAATTCATCATAAAAAAAAATTATTTCAAAAAATTCTATTAACATTCTGCAAAAGAATTCAATTATTAAAAAAAATTTTTTTTTAATTCTTTGCAGAATTTTAATTATTTGAAAAAATTTTTAACAATTCTTCGAAGAATTTCAATTATTAAAAAAATGTTAATTAAAATTCTGAGAAAAATATTCAATTATTTTCAAAAAATTGTATTTTCGTATTTTAATTATCTTTATAAATAATAATAAAATTATTTTTAAACATTTTTTAAAAATTCTATGCTAGATTTCAATTATCTTAATAAAAGTTCTTGGAAAAATTTCAATTATTTTCTAAATATTCAATTATCATTATATAAATAATAAGTTTCATTGAAACTTCATTTGAAGAATTCAATTATTTTAAAACATTTTAATACAATTATTCTTTACAAGATTTAAATTATTTTCATGTAAAAATTAATTTAGTCAGAAAAGTTCAATTAACAATTTTAATTTTCTCGAAAAAATTAAATTTTTAATTCTAAAAAAATTTGTCGCAAAAAGACAATTATTTAAAAAAAATGGTATCAAAATTCTGACAAAGAATTTAATTGTTATCCAAAATTTTTTTAACAATTCTTCACAGAAGTTCAATTATTTTTAATAGGTACAATTAATTTTAATAAATTTTCTCAAACAATTAAATTACTTAATTGTAAATAGTAAAATTCTTTGCGGAAATTTAATTATTTTCATTAAAATTTGATTAAAATTTCACAAAAAGATTCGATTATTTAAAAAAAATTCCTAATAACATTTTTCAAAAGAATTAATTTTTTTTTAAATTTTAATAAATTCTTCGAAATAGGAATTCAATTATTTTTTTTAATAGTAAAATTTTTCGAAAAAATTCAATTATTTTTATAAATAGTAAAATTTTTTTCAAGAATTAAAAAGAATTCAATTATTTTCCAATACTTTAATAAAATTTCTTGAATGAATTAAATCTTTTTAAAAAATTGTAATAAAATTCTGAAAAGGTTTTTTTTTTATTTTTTAAAAATGTTAATAGAATTTAATAACTAAATATTTAACTCAAATTATTGAGAAACACGATTATTTTAAAAATTTGAAAGAAATTATTCATAAAATACAATTAATTTCAAAAGTTTCAATTTAAATTATCAAACAAACTCCATTATTTAAAAACAAAATAAAACGATTTTTTCAAAAAAATTTAATTAGAATTTTTGAAAATTTTAATAAAATTCTTATCAAGAATTCAATTATATTCAAATCTTTTGATAAAATTCTTACAAAAATTTAAGTTTTCAATAATAATTTCTTATTTCTGCATACAATTGATTTTTCGCTAAGAATTTTATGAAAATTTTTGAAAATAATTGAATTTTTGCTAAGAATTTTATAAAATATTGAAAAAATTGAATTCTTTCATAAAAATTGAAATTAAAAATAATGTAATTTTTCCTAAGAAGTTAATTTTCATAATGAAAATAATTGAATTCTTGTGAAGAATTGAAACAAAATTTTTAAAAATAATTGAATATCTTCATACAATTTTATTATCTACGAAGATAATTGAATTTCTGCAAAAAAAATTTTATTAATAAAATTCAATTTTTTACAATAATTGTAATTGTAAATCTTTCTGATTTTTTTTAAAGTTATTAAAATGAATTAATATTAAAAACGTGTAACTGAAAATATTGAAAATAATTGATTTTTAAAATATAATAACAAGAATTCTCTAAAAATTAGTTTTTAAATTAAATACATAAATAGAAATATTTTTATTTTATTTTCTAAAGATAATACATTTCTCAAGTAAATAGAATTGAAATTTTTTTAAATAATTCAAATTTAGTAAAATTTGTTGCATTTTTTGAATAAATTGCCTGAAAATATTATTTGAATTTTTTTTTTTGAAATAATAAAAGGTAAAAAAAAGTTACATTTTTATAAAAGTAAAAAAATAATAAATATTTAGAAATAAATGTGAATGATAAATTTTTTTTATTACCAAATTTCCATTCGTCATAAACTTGAAACGTTGTATTGTTTAGAATTTTATAGTCAGCACAAATGAGAAGTGAAAGTAATAATTAAAGTCAAAAAATACTTTTCATTTCTATTTTTTAACAGTAAATTTTTCTTTCTAAAGACAAAAATAACTGTAAAATATGTTAATAAATTATAAAAATAATAATTTTATCGTTCATATCATTACTATTATTATCACTATCATTATTATTACTGTTTTTTTTTATTTTTTTGAAAAAAAGTTATTGTTAGTATTGCTATTATAATTATTACTAGTATTTACTGTTAAATTACGTATTCCATACGATTTTGCAATTTTTACAAAAATTAGAACAATAACAATCACTTTTTCTTACAATGGAAATTTTGCATTATATATAAAATGTATAAAATTAATAAAAACAATTTATTGTCGCACTTACTTCTTACGCATCGTTTAGAGGTTATGTTTTAAAGACAGGTAATCGGAAAATATGCGGTTAATCTGCTACTAAGGAATATCCTTGTTATTTTTACGAATTATTGTACGTAATAAACATTTATTAATAAATTCAACTGTGTAACAGGTGCACTATAATTTTTTTTATTTAAATAAAAATAAAATATACTTTAAACTTTCTAATCTCTAGTTTCTAATTCTCTGAATTCTGAAAACAAAGCATGCTCTTCAAAATAAACAGGGTTCGGTTAATGATGTTTGAGATTTAATTAAAAAACGGTTAATTGCATAAGGCTGCGGTTACACCTCTGCAGGCAGCCTGCCTGCCTGCAGGTTGTCATGGTAACGTACAAGAGTAAGAGAGTCAGTGACTTCAAACTTCTCCCTTACTCTCGTTGCTCCTGCCTGCGCAGGCAGGCAGCCTGCAGAGGTGTAACCGCAGCTTAAGAAAATAAGTTTACGTAAGTTTCGAACCCCTGTTGTTTCAATATTTTTTTGGAGAGGATCGTTAAGGTACGTTCACACTTTTGCACCGTTGCGTTTTTCTTATAAATGTAGTGTCACAACCCTGTCGTCCGAAAATTATACTTTCTTACAACCCATCCCTGATATTTTGAAATTAAAATTCATTTCTATAGAAATTACTTTTTATAAATAAATGACATAAATGAAATAAATAATATTAACTAATATAAAAATAACACATTCTTTGATTTTTTATCAAAATACTCGAAATTTACTATTCACTAATTACATTTCAATAAATACTTTGAAAGTACAATTTTACTAACTACAATCTACATTATTCTTTAAACTGTTCTATAATTATTAATTCTAATAATAAAACAAAATTGTGTAATTGAAAATATATTTTATCAACAATTTCCATTTAATTCGCGTAAAAAAATTCTCATGCAATCTAAAAGTTTAAATAGTTCAAAAGATTAAAAAAGCAAATATCCTCAAGCAGGGCAAATGTCATAAAAAGTTGTTTCTCTCTTTTTCCTATATATATACATATATATAATTGGAAGCTGAATCGAGAGAGAATCAACAAGATCAAAATTTTAAACTCTCGTTGTTTTGACATCATTGACATTCGTTTAACATTGTCGTTTATTAGTATTTGTCTATTGTCACGTGTGCATATATAATATGTGTCTCCTCGTTAATTGTATTTTATGTGTGTATTCAATGTATGAATTATAAAAGTGCACTATTCTTCGTTTTTCATTGAAAAATATGTAATAAAATTGTCATTTTCATTTTGTGCGTGTCTATGTGCGATAAAGAAAATAATATGCGAATAACAAATATAGAAAACTATGAATTTTGACAATTATCAGAAGTTAGAAAATAGAATGTTACACATTGTAACATTCTAAATTTATCACAAAAAACAAAAAGTTTCATCTTTTATTTGAAGTTTATCAACTTTTAGTGATTAAATATATATAAATATCGCCATACAAGGTAATCCTAACCTCAAAATAGAGGAAAAATTCAAATATTGTTATTGTTTTAAAAACTCGATTTCTTTTTGTTTTAATTTTTAATTTTTCTTATTCTATTAGTAAATTGATTGTTTTTTAAGAATATTGACAATATTAATAATAGCAATAATAATAATAATTATAATAATAATCAAAAATGTAATAATTATTATTTTTTCAATCTAAATATAATTTGACCCCTGTAATTAAAAATAGACCTTTATATATATAAATTTTATTTAATTATAAACAATTTTCGAGGGTAAAACAAGGGGTTATTATTATATAATTTTAAATATTATGTTATAATTCTTGTAACTTATAATTTTAAATCAAAAATAATTTAATTCTTGCACAGTAATATTTTATTAAATTTGCAAAAAAAAAATGAACTCTTTTGTAGAATTTTATTCCAATTTAAAGAAAATTGAATACTTTTAAAACAGTTTTTTATTTATTCAAATAATTGAATTTTTGTGAAGAAATGTAATAAAATTTATTTATTAAAATTTGACAAAATAATTTAATTCTTTTTGAAAAATGTTATTATAATGTTTTTAATTTATTGAATCCTATTGTAAAATTTTATTCAAATTGTATTGAAAATAGATGAATTTATGCAAAGAATTTTACTATTTACAGAAATAATAATTTAATTGTATTAAAATGTTTAAAAAAATTAAATTATTTCAAAGAATTAATAAAATTTATGAAAATAATTGAATTCTTGGGAAGAATATAATATTAAAACTTTTTAAAATAATTCAATTGCTTGAGAAAATTTATTAAAATTGTATTAAAAATAATTGAACTTTTGTGAAGAATTGTTAAAAAATGATAGGATAACAAATTCTTTGTCAGAATTTTAATATAATTTTTTTAAATAATTGTCTTTTTGCGACGAATTTTATTAAAATTAAAAATTAAATTTTGTCGAGAAAATTAAAATTGTTAATTTTTCTGAATAAGTTAATTTTTATATGAAAATAATTTAAATTTTGTGATGAATTGTATTAAAATATTTTTAAATAATTGAATTCTTTCAATGAAACTTATTATTTATGAAGATAATTGAATTTTTTGAAAATATTAGAAATTTTTCCAAGAATTTTTATTAAACTTGTTTCAATAATTGAAATTCTTCAGATTGTTTAACATTTTTGGAAAATAATTGAATTGTTTTAAAGAATTTTTTTATTTATGAAAGATAAATGAATTTTTTACAATGAATTTTATTAACATTTTTCAGAATAATTGAAATTCTTGTAAGAATTGTTTTCAAGTTTTGAAAATAAATGAATTCTTTCAAAGAATTTTAATTAAATTTTTTTTAATAATTGAAATTCTGTAAATTATTTAACATTTTTTTGAAAATAATTGAATTTTTTCGTTCGAAAGAATTTTTTATTTTTTTTATGAAGATAATCGAATTTTTTGCAAGGAATTTTATTAAAATTTTTAAAATAATTGAATTTAGTCGAGAAATTTTATTAAAACTTTATTGAAAATAATAAAACATAATAATTAATTTGGTAATTAGTTAATAAGGGAATTTTAAAATATTTTAAATGTAAAATTATTCAAAAATTGAAGTTGTGATATTAAAAAATAAAAATTACTTTAAACATTTTTCCGGAATCATTAAAATTAATTAATTAATTAAAAAAAAATTTTTAATTTGCATGATAATATTGATAATAATAATAATAATTAGTATACTGCATTTTGTGCGTAAAATTTGCTAGTTTTTGAATATTAACTAAATTTCAATATTTTTATTTTCAGAAAAGAAGGAGAAAGGAGAGAAGGAAGAAAAAGGAGATAAAAACCGAAGTACTAAAAAATAATAAAAAATGAGGAGTCGCAGTAATTCAGGCGTTCGCCTGGATTATTATCAGCGCACTGTGGCGAGAATAATAATGCATCATCAACATCCAGTGACGGGATTATTTCCAGCGAGTCCCGATAATAATCATGCGTGGATTCGCGACAATGTTTATACAATATTGGCCGTATGGGGTCTATCGATGGCGTATAAAAAAATTGCCGACGCCGACGAGGACAGGGCAAAAACCTATGAACTTGAACAAAGTTGCGTGAAATTAATGCGCGGCCTATTAATGGCAATGGTGCAGCAAAAGGATAAAGTTGAAAAATTCAAGACAACACAAAATTCATTAGATGCATTGCACGCGAAATATAGTTCATCAACTGGACAGAGTGTCGTTGGCGATGGTGAATGGGGACATTTGCAAATTGATGCCATTTCACTTTATCTATTGATTTTGGCGCAAATGACCGCTTCCGGCTTGCAAGTCGTTTTCAATTTGGATGAGGTATTTTTTTTATTTCTTTTCTATTTCTTATTTTTCCCATTTTTTGGTTTATGAGTTGCGTTTATTTTTGTTTTGTTTCTTTTCTATTTCTTATTTTTCTTTGAAATTCAATTATTTTCAAATTTTTTAGAAAAATTTAAATTATTTTCAAAAATTTTCCTCAAAACAACGATTTTCTTCTTGCTTTATAATTTTTTCTATATTTAGTTTATTTATCGAAAATTGAAAAAAAGAAAATCCCTTTTTCAGGTGGCATTCATTCAGAATTTGGTGTTTTACATTGAATCGGCGTATTGCACGCCCGACTATGGAATGTGGGAGCGTGGCGATAAGACAAATCACGGCCTTCCCGAATTGAATGCAAGCAGTATTGGAATGGCGAAAGCGGCAATGGAAGCAATGAATGAATTGGATCTTTTTGGCGCACGCGGTGGACCAACGTCGGTGATTCATGTACTCGCCGATGAGGCACAAAAATGTCAAGCAGTTCTGCAATCAATGCTCCCGAGGGAATCGAATTCCAAGGAACTTGACAGTGGTCTATTGTCAATTATCAGCTTCCCTGCGTTTGCCGTTGACGAACCGTCGCTCATTCAACTCACTCGCGATACAATTACGAAAAAACTTCAGGGACGCTATGGATGTAAACGTTTCTTACGTGACGGTCATCGTACACCGAAGGAGGATCCAAATAGGTTCTTTATTATTTTTTTTCTTCTTCTCTTCCTTCTTTTTCTCTTTTTCTCCTTTTCTTCGTTTTCCTCATTTCTTTCATTTTTTTCTCCTTTTCCTCTTTTTCTATTTTTTTCTTTTCTTTCTTTTCTTTCTTTTCTTTCTTCTTCCGGGTGACCGTTGGACCGAAAATTCAAATATTTTAACAAATTTTAATAAAAATCCTTTGAAAGAATTCATATTATTTATAAATAGTTTTTATAAAATTTATCGCGAAAAAACAATTATTTTCAAAAAATTGCATTAAAATTCTGCCAAAGAATTCAATTGTTTTCCAAAAAATTTTAAACAATTCTTCGCAAAATTTCAATTATTTAAAAAAGATTTAATTGAAATTCTAAGAAAAAATTTAATTAATTCTACAAAAAAAATTTTTTTTTAAATTCTTTGAAAGAATTCAAATATTTATAAATAGTTTTTCTAAACTTCATCGCAAAAAAAATTATTATTTTAAAACATTGCAATAAAATTCTCTTTAAAAAATTGATTTATTTTAAAAAAATTTAATAAACTTCTTTGAAATTCAATTATTTTTTTCAAATTTTAGTAAAATTTTCGAAAGAATTCAATTATAAGAATTTAACTATTTTCAATACAAATTTAATTGAATTCTTCAAAATAATTAAATTATTTTCAAAAATTAAAATAAAATTCTAAGCAAAAATTAAATTATTTCAGATTTAAAATTGTAAAAATTTATAAAAATTACAAAAAGTAATTTAAAAATTAATAGGAAATGTGATTAGAAATGGTATATTTTAAAATAGAAAGAATTTCACATGAAAAATTGTGAAAGAAAAATTAATTTATAAATTATTTTGCAAAAATATTATCGCAAAACTTATTCTCTAAATTTGAATTAGTAAATATTCGAACTAATTAGAGCAAAACTGATACGAAATTTCTAAAAATGTTTTTTAAATTCTAAATAGAACAAGTCATTAAAATAAATAAAATTGTCTTTCTTCTTAGGAAATAAATTTTTTAAAAAAACTGTATTTTGCATGAATTCGTTTTTTGAAAATAATTTATAAGTTACTATTTTTATATTTTAGAATGTTAAATTAATATTATTAATACAAATTGAATTTCAAAAAGTTTAAAATTAAAATTTTAGAAAAGTTCAGTTGAAGAAAGGTTTACAAAAATTCGAAATAAGTTAGTTTTTTGAAAAATTTTTATTCACATTTTTTCGAAATTCGTTATATTTTTAAATACATTATATTTCATTGAAAAATTTTTTAAGTTTTTACAATTCCATGAAATTGTTTTGTAAGCAAGTGAATTTTAGAAATAGTTTAGTTTTAGGTGAACTTTTTTTTTGAAATAATTTAATTTTTAAGGAACTTTCTGAAAAAATATAAAAAATAATTGAATTAGGAAAGAATTTTAGTTAAAATTTCTATATAGAAAATAATTGAATTAAAATCTTGAAAATTATAATTTTTGAGAACTATTTTTCTTTATGAAAAATAATTCATGAGCGTGAATTTTTTTTTAAAAAAGTGGTACCCTGTTCTTATTCTTTTTCTTTAGATTAGACTTTTATTTGTTGAGAATAATTATATTTCACGTATTTTATGGATAAATTAATAAATATATAAAATTTTCGTTTTAGATTGTATTACGAGCCATGGGAATTGCGAATGTTCGAGAATATTGAATGCGAATGGCCACTATTCTTTTGCTACTTGATTCTCGACTATTGCTTTCAAGGGAATAAGGATTTAGTGGCGGAATACAGTAAACAATTGGAGAAGATAACAACAAAAACTGACGATGGAATGAGATTGGTGCCAGAATTGTATGCAGTTGCCGCTGAGAATGTCGCCGCTGAATACGCAGAACCCGGAAGTCAAGAGAGAGATGCCTTCGGACGATGTCCATTCATGTGGGCTCAGTCATTATACATTCTGGGAAAATTGCTCCAAGAAGTAAGAAACGTGAAAATATTTTTTTTTTTTTGCTTTTGAAATTAAAATTCTAAATAAAAATTTTAATTTCAAAAGTATTTTCAAAATAAAAAAAAAAATAATGACTAAGAAGTAAAAGTAAATTTCAACAGTAAACTTAGACACAAAGAAGTAAAAATGAAATTAGCAGCAAGAAAGTAAGAAAACCAAAAAGTAAAATTCAAAAATAAAAAGTAAAATGAAAAAGTGATTAAGTAATAAAACTGCTTTTCTATATTTATAAAATAAATCAATTTTCTTTATAAAAATCAATAATTTCCATTCTTTTTAGGGTTTCCTGGCGGTCGGAGAACTCGATCCACTGAATCGTCGATTGTGTAGTGAGAAAAAGCCGGACGTCGTGGTGCAAGTTGTGATTCTCGCGGAGGACGCGGAGATTCGTGAAAAAATCGCTCAGCATGATATTCACGTGCAAACGATTGACGAAGCCGCGCCAATTGAAGTTCAACCGGCAAAAGTTCTCAGTCATCTTTACACCTATTTAGGTTTGATGAATATCATTTTATTTCTTGCAAAAAATTTCCCTTAAACAAATTTTTTACTTTCTTCTTGCAAAAAATTTCTCTAAAACAAATTTTTTACTTCCTTCTTGCAAAAAATTTCCCTAAAACACATTTTTTACTTTTTTCTTGCAAAAAATTTCCCTAAAACAAATTTTTTACTTTCTTCTTGCAAAAAATTTCCCTAAAACACATTTTTTACTTTTTTCTTGCAAAAAATTTCCCTAAAACACATTTTTTACTTTCTTCTTGCAAAAAATTTTCCTAAAACACATTTTTTACTTTCTATAGTTTCAAATAAAAATTGCTTTTAGTTTTTTGAGTTTTACTAGTTTTTTTTTAATCTGTTTCAATTTTTAATTTCAATAATTTTTTATTCATAAATTAAAAACTTTTTTCTTAAGCACAGATTTAATAATTTATATAATTAGATGTAGTAATTTTTACATTAAAAAAATAATGACTAATTTCTCATTTACAGGTAGAAATAAAAAATTGGGATTGTCTGGAAGAAAATCGCGAGACGTGGGAATTTTGAGTACGAGTAAATTATATTCACTGCACGATAAAATATTCGCCTTCACACCACAGGTAAATTTCTGTTATATTTACACTTTAGTACCTAATTTATTATTTAAATTTCTTTATTAATTTTACGTACAATTATTTATAAGTATTTTTCGTTTTTAATGGGATGTTTAAAAAATTTCACTCCACCTACAACTATTTTTTCTTCTTGAAAATTTTGACATTTCTTTTTTGTTTATTAATATTCAAATGTTTGCAGAAATTTAATTATTTTAAAAAATAATGAAATTCTTCACAGAAATTCAAAAAATTTTTTAAATTCAGGCCAAAATTTCAATTATCTTTATAAATAATAAAATTCTTTTCTGAAATTCAATTATTATTTTCAAAAATTTTAATAAAATTCTTGGCAAAATTTCAATTATTTTCAATACTTTTCATGAATTCAATGATTTTCAATATCTACTACTATTTTAATAAAATTTTCCAATAGAATTCAATTATTCAAAACAAATTATAATAAAATTCTGCGCAAACATTTAAATATTTCCATAAATAATAAAAATATCAAAGGAATTCAATTATTTAGAAATTTTTTATAAATTCTTTTAACAGGAATTCAATTATTTTCATAAATAACAAAATTCTTTTTCAAAATTTAATTTTAAGAAACATTCAATTATCCAATAAATTAATTAATTTTCTAGTTAAATAATTGAATTCTCGTAGAATTTTCGAATAAAACATTATAGCATGAATTTTTTCGAAATAATTGAATTTTGAAAATGTTTCAAATTAAAATCTTTAAAAATTTGAATTTTTCACTTTTAACTAACAATTAGTTCCATTCTTTAATATATATTTAATTATTTATAAAAAATAATAGTTTTGCAGAAGAATTTTAGTTACAAACACTAAAAAAAATTTAATTTTGGCGAAGTTTCAAATGGTTGAAGAAATTCAATTATTTTCCAAAGAAATAAAATTTTCCGCAAGAATTCAATTATTTAAAAGAAAAATTTATAAAATTCTACGCAGACATTTAATTATTTTCATAAAATAATAAAAATATTACAGGAATTCAATTATTTACAAATTTCTTATAAATTTCTTCGCAGTAATTCAATTATTTTCATAAATAATAAAATTTTTTAATAGGGAATTTCTCGCAATTTTTTTTAATTAATATTTATTCCAACTTTTTTTCCAATTCAATTCCAAAGTTAATTGAATGAATAATGAAATAAATATTTTTTCAAATTTCAAGGAGGTCTGGAATTTTGAGAACATTTCGTGTATAATTTTCTTATTTTAATTTATTTTTTTTCTGTTTATTTTTATTTTATGTACTTTATTATTTTATTTTTAATTTATTAATTAATTATTGATTATTATAATTAATTTACATTTATCCATCTATTTTTTTTCTTTATTCCAATTGTAAGTAGTTTTTATACTTATTTATAATATTTTCTGTTTACTTATTCCATTTTCAAGTAGTTTTTACAGTTATTAATTTATCTTTTTAATTTTTTTTTACTTATTCCATTGTTTATATACAGTTCTTCACAATTATTTCTCTATTTTTTTCTTTTGTCTCGAAATAGTATTCTTTTTTTTCCTCACTTTTTATTTTTGGTTTTTGTTCAAATTACCGAGAAGAATAATGTAAATGGACATATTTTTCTCGCTTTCAAAAAATTGAAAAAGAAAAAAAAAACGATCTTGTTTATTGCACCAAATATCAGTTGACAGACATGACCCGCTTCTACATCGCATCGGACTATGAGCTCATGATTGACATATTCAAAGGCGAAATTAATTTCTTGAAGTCTAGCTGGCAGAATATGTTAGGCCGTCCACTTGTGGTCATGCCTCTCAAGAATATCCACCTAGGTACAGTAAAGTCATATCCCAAAGCCATAAAATTTCAACTCCTAGCTACAAACTTTTTTTCCTTTTTTAATTCAATTAAGAAAACAAAATTTACACCAATAAAACACGAGAATGCAATGCAGAAATATTTAAAAAAAAAGAAAAGAGATTAAATTCAATAACAGGCTTCAGTTTTTTTTTCTCTGTATTTCGAAATTGTTCTTTAAAAAAATACTTTTTTATAATAAAAAATTTATTTTTGTTTATTTTTTATAATTGTTAACTATCAACGGACTTGGAATATTTTTATTTATTTTTTTTTTATCCATTTCGAATTTCTTTTTTCAATTAAGAAATATGTAATTAATTTACAAATTTACAAACACGTTTTGAATTTCTTTTTAATTTACTTTATAAATAATTAAAATCGAAAGTGAATTTTTAATACAGTATTTATTAATTTATAGATATTTTTCTAAAATTATATTTTTTATTTTTATTCTTGTGAATGATAAATTTTCGATTCAAATGTTTTCGTTAAATTCTAATTTTCTTTCTTTGCAATTTAGTAAAAAAAGAAAAAGAAAAATAATCAATTTTAGTAAATTTAGAAATTCGCAATTTTTTGTAATTTTGAAAAATATATTTTTTCTGAAGATTTTCGTCCTTTTTGTTATATTTTTATTCTTTAATTTTTCTCTTAATGTAAACAAAATCAAAGAGTAAAATAAAAATTAATTTTAGTAATTATTTTTTAAAAGCAAACAATTTTTCGTAATTTTGAAAAAAGTTTTTTTTTAGTTTTTAGTTCTTAGTATAAAAAATAAAAGAAAAATTTTAGTAAATTTAGTTTAATTTTATTTTCTTTGCAGTTTGGAAAAGTGTTTTTTGTTTCTGAAGCCTCGTAAAAACAGAAAGAAAATTAATTTTTAAAAAAGAAAGGCAACAAAATTCGTGAAAAATAGGAAAGAAAATTGGAAAAATAAAAATCTAGTTAAAGATGAAAATTTGTTTATAGAAAAAAAATGCATTTTGGAGTTAAGAGTGCATGGCTTTTGGATAAATTGTCTTTTTTGTCGAGTGGATCCTGTTTTGAGTCCGATTTTCTAACATGCATGTTTCTTTTTTTTTAAGAAGAAAAAAAAAAGAAAAAATTTTCCTTCCCCCCCTCTTCTCCTTCGCTTCAGCAAAATTCTTACCGTTATCATTCTTCTGCTCAGTGAAAATTCATCTTTGCCTTTCACACACACAACACACAGCGTTAACGGAGAAAAAGTGAATTAATAATAATAAATAATAAAAAATTTATGAAAAAGTGCTTTTTTACGATAAAAAGTTAAAGATATAATTTTTTTACGTTGAAAAATTTAATGAAAAAATGTAATTAAATTAATTTCGATTACAAAAATTCATTAAACAAATAATTTCCCTATTTGAGAAAAAAATGTATTAGAAAATAATTTCTTTGTATTAATTTTTTACAGTACTAAGTTTTTTAATATATTTGAAAAAAAGTAATTATTAAATTCAAAATTTACTTTTTTTTTGGTAAACTTTTTGAAGTAGAAAAAAATACGCCCTTTTTTGCTGTTTGTATTTAATTCACTTTTTCGTCTCCGTTTTTTCCTTCATTTTTTATTTTTCCATTTTTTTGTTTTGTTAAATTTCGAAAAAAAATTTACATTGTCTGCCTTGGATGCATTGCTAGACAGGGGTTCGCCAGTCTGATTTTGGTTATTTTTTTTTATTTTGAAATCTTTTATTTATTTGAAAACATTTTTTTCTCTTATTTTTCATTATTCTTTTCTTTTTTTATATTTTATAACTTTTATTTTCTATATTTTTCCTTTATTTTTCATATATTTTTCATATTCTTTTCTATTTATCTTTTAGTTTCTTCTGTTTTATTTTATTTATTTTTTTGTTTGAATTTGATCGGACAAAAGATTTAGTTTTCATAATTTTGTTTTTTATTTTTTATATTCCATTCTATTATCTAGGTTTCTTTTAATTTTTTTTTATTTATTTAAATTTCGACGATTAAAAAAAAGTAGCTTTCATAATTTTTTTCGTATTATTTTCACCTTTTCTTTTGTTTTACATATTTTCATTCTTTGTTCAGTTTTGAAAAGTTGGAAATACTTTTTGCTATTAAATGATTTTAATTTATAAAAAGGACTAAAGGAAATAGAAAAATAAAAGAAAAAGAATTGAAAAAAGGCAAATTAAAATATTCGTGTATGGCGTACGCGTATGTTTTTTTGCATGTGTTAGAATTTTGATCCGGAGGAGTTCTATATGACAAATGATGCTGCCCTTCTTGCCAGCACATTTACAACCCACTTGGCATTCCTCACCATCAACTGGAAGCAAATACTCGGCAGACCGACCATAACACTTGTTGCTACTCATAATTACTTAGGTATGCCGCTGGATGTCGGTTTCTCATCAAAAAAATAATCTTTTCTATTTTTTCCCTTCCTAGAGATGTGATTTTTTCTTTCCCACTTTTTTTTTATTTAATTCGTCCATTTTTTCCCTCTTTTTTTACAATTTTTCAATTTTTTTCCTCTTGTTGTCTTTTTTCAGTTTTCAATTTTTTTCCAATATTTTTTCAATTTTTGTATTTATTTTTAACAGTAATTTAATTAACTAAGCTAATTTTAATATTAATTAATTTTATTATCAATCAATTTTTTTTCGAATTTTTCATTTTCACTATTTTTATTACCTAATTAATTTATTTGGGTTTTTTCACGTTTTTGTTATTTTATTTAATGTTTTTTTATTGTTATTAATATTAATAATATTCTTTTTTTTCAATAACCACATCTCTGTTTTTTTTTTTGCTTCTTTTCCAATTCTACCGTTTGACACTCAGCTTTTGCTGTATTTTTTCGCAAGACAAAAAAAATGTGAATAAAATTCTCGCTTGTCCTTTAAAAAAAAAAAAAATAAAGAAGATAAAAATATAATAAATATGAAAAAAAAATTGTTTGTCACTTGAGAAAGAATTCATTTCATTTTTTATTTATTTGTTTGCAGATCAGGGAAAAATTCCATTGGCAATGATAACAACAATGAAGAAACTAAAGAGTGGTTATATTAATGGAACTCGTGTTTCGCTTGGAAATTTGAATGAATTTTTGAGTACTTCGTGTATTACGAATCTTAGTTTTCTCGGCAGTTCGGAAGACGGTCGACCTGATAGATTAAATCCCGAGGTGAGAAAAAAAATACTTTCGAAATCCTTTTTTCCTTCGAAAAAAATAAAAACTTAGATGAATAAAAAATTAAATAAATAAAAAAAGAAATAATTAAAAAATGTAACTAAAAATCTCTAAAAAATAAAAATTTTAATAAACAACAAAAAACAAAAACCTAAATAAATAGAAAACCGAAATAACCAAAAAATATAATAATAACCGAAATAACTAAAAAAAACAACGAAAAATAAAAATTGAAATAAACAAAATACTAAATAAACGAAAACCTAAATAAATATAAATCTAAATAATCAAAAACCGAAATAAATAAAAATCTAAATATCTAACCAAAAAACGACAAAAAACAAAAATTTAAATAAAGAAAAACCAAAAAATAGAAAGCCCGAAATTCTCTAAAGAATTCAATTATTTATAAAAAATAATTTAATTCTTAACAAGAATTTTTTACTAATTTTTGAAAATAATTGAAATCCTCCGAAGAATTATATTATTAATGAAAATAATTTAAATCTTCCGAAGAATTTTATTTTTTATAATGACAATTGAATTCTTGCAAAGAATTTTATTAAAATCTTTGAAAATAATTTAAATCCTCCGAAGAATTTTATTATTTAAGAAAATATTTGAAATTGTCAAAAGAATTTTAATTTAAATATGAAGATAATTGAATTTTTAGGAAGAATTTTATTAAAATTTTTGAAAATAATTGAAATCCATTGAAAAATTGTATTATTTATGAAAATAATTGAATTCTTGCAAAGATTTTTATTAAAATTTTTGAAAAATAATTGAATTTTTAGGAAGAATTTTTTTGAAATTTTAGAAAATAATTAAATTTATTTGGAAAATTTTCTAACGAATTAAGAAATAATATTGATTTCTTTTGTGAAATTTTATTGATAATAATTGAATTTTTGCAAAAAAAAATTATTATTATTTATAAAAATAACTGAATTCTTCTAAACAATTTAATATTTACGAAAATAATTGAATTCTTCCGAAGAATTATATTACAATTTTTGAAAATATAAACAATAATTAATTATGTACTTAATAAGTGAATTTTTTAAATTTTGATTAGTAATCAGTAAATAAATAAATTTTTAAATTATAATTAAAATTTTCGAATTTTGTTTCTCTTTTAGGTTCAACAGTATTTAGATGAACATTTAATGAAAGCTTTTCCGCAACGCACGAGTCTTTTGAGTCGAACTGGCGTGAAGAGTACGAAAAATTTACGACGCCGAATGTCGGTGAAGGGGGCAATTAAAAAAACAAGATCAATCGCCGTTGAACGTGAGTCGAGAATTAAGAAAATTAAAAATCTGCACAATCAAAGTTTTTATTATATTATATTGCTGTTATTTAATTTTTTTTTACACTCTTAACCAAATTTAATTGCATGTCGTTCGATAATAATGGAGAAACTAACGCCTTTTTTGCATTTTTCATCTTAATTTCCATATAAAAATACAGCTGCCGTTCCTCTCGTCCTGCAAGAACGTAAGTTTCATTATTAATTAACCTTTGCTTTCATTTTTTATTCAATTAATATGGGAATTAATTAATAAATTAATATTTTAATATGGGATTTTTTCTTCTTTTTTATCGAGAGTCAATTGTATTTTATTTGCTGGAAAATAGGTTTCTTGAAAAAGAATTTTTTTTTATAATCTTTTTCGATGGTACAATTATTTTTATTTAAAGAAGTATTTTTGAATATAAAAAGAAATAAAAATAAATAATATAAAAGTAGAAATAGTATGAAAATAAAAATCGTATGAAATAAAAATAGTAAAAAATAAAAATTGTATAGAAATAAAAATAGTAGGTATACAAATAAAAACAGTATTAAAATAAAAATAGTATGAAAATATAAAAATAGTATGAAAATAAAAATAGTATGAAAATATAAGTAGTAGAAAAATAAAAATGGTATGAAAATATAAATAGGAGAAAAATAAAATAGTATGAAAATATAAATAGGAGAAAAATAAAAATAGTATAAAAATATAAGTACATAGTAGAAAAATAAAAATAGTATAAAAATGTAAATATAAAAAATATAATTAATTCATAACACTAATCAATTAATTAACAAAACCAACTAAACAATTGACAGAACTAATCAATTAAACAAGAAAACAAATTATTTAATTATTATTTATTATGGAGTATAATTAATTAACAATTAAGTGAAAAATTGTTTTTTATTTATACGATTTCCTTTTTCCATTTTCAGCGGAAATCCTGGGAATGGCCGGCGAAGAACGACGACCGTCGACTATTTTATCGACAAATCCCTTCATTGAAGTGACGGACACTTCATTAACGCCGAATGCAAAAATACCCGAACGAACACCATCGCCCACGGAGGATATGTTCCCTTGGAAATATTCGCCACGTCCACATCGGCATCGTGTCAATTCCGAGACACAATACGCCGACACTGAAGTTGAGGAATTAATGTCGATGCTCCGCGAAACTGAGAGTCTCGAAGAGCAGGGAGACATTCTACAATATTTGGTAATTATACTGGACTTTTAAAAAAGAGAAATTTTGAAAAAAAATATTTAAAAAATGGATTGTTATTCTTTTATTCTTATTCTTTTTTGCAGGTAGACACGCAGGGTTTGCAATTTAACACAGGAATGATTGAGGACGGCCACTCGGTCCTCGTGAAGGATCTTCTAAAAGGCCTCTATGAGAAAGCGTGTCAACAAAAAATGTGGGGAATTGTGAGACACACCGCTGGAATGTTGGGCAAACGAGTTGAGGATTTAGCGAAAGCAGTAACTGATTTACTCGTTAGACAGAAACAAGTGACCGTTGGTATGCCACCAAGTAATGAGCATACAATCGTTGCGCCCCTACCTGAAAATGAATTACGCTCATTAATTCATCAAGCTTATGGCGATGACGAATCAACGGCAATGCTCACACAAGAATTACTCGTTTATTTGGCAATGTTCATTAGAACCGAGCCGCAATTATTCAATGAAATGCTACGTCTTCGTATTGGTCTAATAATACAAGTGATGGCCACTGAATTATCGCGCACGCTAATTTGCAGCGGTGAAGAGGCTTCTGAACATTTACTCAATCTCTCGCCATTTGAGATGAAAAATTTATTGCATCATATTATGAGTGGAAAGGAATTTGCGATCAGCAGTGGTTTGTACTTTTTTTCTTTGGAAAATTATTAAAAAAATAATTGATTTTGAATTGAAGTTTTAGTCAAAAGAATTGAATTTTTGCATTTAAATAATTGAATTCTCGAGGAAGTTTCGAAAAATTACTAAAAATTAATATAGATTATTTTGAAAAGTCAAGTTAAAAATTTGTAGACAAGCGACTTTTTTTTGCACTTTAATCTAAATTAGTAAAATTTTTCTTAATTTTTACAGTTGGTCGTGGAAATTTCTCAGTAATTAGCTGTAAATCGGGAAAAGTCAGTAAGGTACGAATTTTATTGGAGCATTTTGAAAAAGTTTTTTTTTCTTTTCAGTAATTTATGTTCATTAATAATTAACAAAATTTTATAATTTTTTCGAAATAGAAATCGCAAATAGGATTTTTAAGTGCTGATCCGGGCGAAATGGGAGAAATTGAACCAGATCGACAGGGACAATGGTTGAGAAGACGAAGACTCGATGGGGCTTTAAATCGAGTTCCGAGGGATTTTTATCCTCGAGTTTGGCACGTTTTGGAAAGAGTATGTGTATTTATTAAATTTGTTTGCCTTTTTTGAAATTATATACAGCTGTTGTTTTTTATTGTTAATTTCTTTTTGCTTTTCTTTTTTTTTAGTGCCAAGGATTGGCAATCGAGGGAAAACTCTTGCAACAAAATCTCACGCAAGAAATGACGCCGGGCGAATTGAAATTCGCATTGGCAGTTGAGACATTTTTAAATACAATTCCACAGCCGGAATATCGTCAACTTGTCGTTGAGGCATTAATGGTATTGACACTCGTCACCGAATACAATGTATTGGCATCGTTGGGGGGAATTATCGCTGTCGAGGATTTAGTTCACAAGGCGAACGCCATTTTTCTCGCCGATCAGGTACGAAAAATATTAATTCAATTAATTTTTTAAAAGTACTGTTTTTCAAAATTATAAATATTCAGTTATTAACTTACTAGGATCCTGGTAATAAGTTTAATTTTTTTAAATTCAATTATTTTTCAAATTTTCAATTAGAATTCTTCAAAAATACAATTATATTTGAAAATAATTTTTAAAAATAAACAAATAAAATTCATTAAAATAATCTAATTAATAAAACGACGAGAATTGAATTATTTAAATAGAATAATTTTTGTAAATTCGTAAAATAATGTATTTTTAAAAATTATATTTTGGAAAAAATGATAAAAAAGATAATTTCTAAAGATGAAAAAATAAAATTCTTTAAAATATAAAATTTATTTTAATAAAATTTAAATACTTATTGCTCTTTATTTGCTTATAATTTCAAAATACTTTCCATGTGAAACAATTTGAAACATTTTAAATTTTATGACAATTTGAACTTGCAAGTCTTCCAAAATTTAATTATTTTTTAGAATTTTTGAATAATATTATTCCCAAACCTAATTTCATAATCAAAATTAAAAAAAAATTCATTTATTAAGTTAATAATTAATTATACCTATTGTTTATATTTTCAAAAATTTTAATATATTTCTTGTCAAGAATTCAAATATTTTCATAAATAGTAAAATTTCTTGTAAAAATTCAAATATTTTCAAAAAATAATTATTAATACAATTTTACGAAAGAATTCAATTATTTTCTCAAATTTTAAGAAATTCATTGAATTAATTCAATTATTTTCCATTAAATTTCACGAAAGAATTCAATTTCTTTCTTAATTTATTATAAAATTTTTCAAAAGAATTTAATTAATTTCTAAAATTTTAATAAAATTCTGTAATTAAATGTTTAATTTCAATTATTAACAAACACTATTATTTTAAAAACTTGAAAGAAATTCTTCATAAAATTCAATTATTTTCAAAATTTTTAGGGAAACTCCATTATTTCAAAAAAAAATTTTTTTAATTCTTCAAAAAGAATTTAATTAGAAATATTAAAAATTTTAACATAATTCTTCAGGAGAATTTAATTATTTCCATAAATAAAAAATTTAGATATTTAGAAATTTAGAAAGAAAAATTATTTAAAAAGTTAGAAAACAAAGAAGCAGACAACTAATTTCAAACTGCGAACAGATTACCGGAATATAACGATTATTAATATTGATGATTGATTGATTGATTGATAATTAATAATTATTTTCAAAGTTTTAGTAAAATTCCAAAAATTGAAAAAATGGTTTTTGTTGTTTTATTCCAGATAAAGTGTGACGGGGATGCGACATTGTGTTGCGCAAAACCAAAGGATCAACGGGAGATAAATTCAACGGGAATGTTACTTTGCGGTGGTGCAGCGTACGTTTGTCAACATTTTTATGACAGTGCGCCGAGCGGAAGTTTTGGTACAATGACATACATTACGCGTGCCGTCGCCTCAATGTTGGACTGTTTGCCAATTAATCACGATCTTGAGTGTTCCATTTCATAGGTAATTTTTTTTCCCCTTTTTTTCTTTCTTTCTCTCTTATAAATAGTAGGTACACTTTTTAAAAAATCTTTCAGTGAACATTTCTCCTTAAAATATCGGTCAAAATTGATTTTTTTAAAAAAGAATTTTTCTTTTTTCTTCTTTAAAAAAACGTCGATTTACGTATTTCAAAATTTGATCTACGTATATAATATTTTGATCTAAAAATTTAATAATTTGATTTACGTAATTAAAATTTTGATTTACGTTTTTCAAAATTTTATTTATACACTTAGAAATTTGATTTACAGAGTTAGAAATTTATTATTATAATTTTCATTAGAAAAATAATAATTGAAAATTTTTAATAACTCAAGGAGAAAAGTTATGATTTTAATTTGAAATTTTTCAATTTTTATATAGTTTGAAATAATAGTTAATTAATTGATCGATTCATTAATTAATTTTAGAAATTGATTTTGAAATTATTTTGATCTAGGTACAAATTTTGATAGAAATATTTAGTTAATTAATAAATTACATTTAATTAATGCGCAATAAATTAATATTTAACCATTATTGGTTAATTTAATTAATTTATTACTATTCAATTGATTTTAAACTTCGTATTAGTTAATATTAAATTACTTCGATTTATTATATTAATTAGTATTAAAATAATTTGAAACAAATATTAATTTGTTTTAAATCAATTTCATAGTAATATTAATTAATGTGAAATTTGAAATTAATATTAAATCAACTTGAAATTAATGTTAATATTAAATTATTTTTGAAGTTAATATTGATAATAAATTAATTTGAAATAATTATTCAATTGATAATGAATTAATTCGAAATTAGTAATGAATTCATTTAAAATTAATACTAATTTGTGTTTTCAAAAAAAAAAAAAAATTATTTTAAAAATGAATAGGTATAAATAATACTATTTTTCAATTAAATTATAACAAAAATTTTTCATCGCCAAATGAGAAATTTCCGTGAAATAAAAAATTCGTCTAATTTCTAATATTTTTTTGGCCTAAAATAAAAATCTTTTTTAAATAAGAATTATGCAAAATGAAAAGTTTCCTTGAAATGAAAAATTCGTCCAATTTCTAATATTTTTGTTGGCCTAAAATAAAAATCTCTAATAAGAATTATGCAAAATACCAAATTTTCTCAATTTTTTTAAAATTCTGTGAAAATTTAGTTTTATTTGGAAAAAAATTGATAAAAATGCACAAATCGTTTGTCCTTTTGCACAAATTCGCTTTAAATCAAGTGCCAAGATAGTAAAAAAATTTAGTTATACATATTTATGTAAAATTGTGTATAAAATACTCGTATTTCTTATAAATATCTATGTGAATAAAATGATATAATAAATGTTAAAACTTTAATTTTTAAATTCATTCTTTCTTTAAAGGTTAAAATAAAAGGACAAAAATAACAATTTTTACCCTAAGTATTAAAAACTAATTAGAATACAATTTTTTAAAAAAAAAATCGAAACAAAATCAGTAATTTTTTTAAACATTGGTATAAAAAATTAAGTTTTCTGAAAAATGGGATAAAAATGAATAATTCAATTTTGTTTCTTAAATAAAAAAATGAATAACAATTTTATTTTTCAATTTATTACAAAATTTTCGTAGACTATGTGTTTATCTTAATCTTTAATAAATGGATTCAACTCCTTTATTTTGGTGAGTAAACTGAAAAAGAAATTTTTTCGAATTAATATAGGGAAAAATGTATTAAATTCTTTTTTCTTGTTAATATTCTATACATGGATTTTTATATTAAATCTATTTTCATTAAATAGTTTTACGTCCGTTATTTATTAAATTGTTGAATTAATTAATTGAACAATTATATTAATAATAATTATAGAAAGTGAATTTATATTAATAATAATTAAATAAATAATGGACGTAAAACTTTTTGATTCAACAATATTTATAAATCTGTTTTTTTTTTTAAGTTCAACAAACCTTTTTTCTTCCTCTAATTCTTCGTTTGCCTCTGTTGTAGCTTTCAATTGATCGATTACATTTTTTCTAAATCCAATTTTCAATGGCTCTATTACATTATTTGCTTCCATTTCAGCTTTTAATTTTAAACTAGCCTCCTTGTATGTCAAACCGTACCATTCAATTTCCTTCTCCGTGTACTGAAAATTAAAAGATTTTAATGGATGTAATTAATATAATTAATATAATTTAATTTCGAAATTCTGAAAAAATTAGGTTTTCGAAAAATAGTAATTGAAAGTTTTTGAAGATATACTTGAATTCTCGAAAATAATTATTTTGAATCAAAATCGTCTTTTTGAAGAATTCGAATTGAAAATTTGGAAAACAATTATTTAATAAAAAAATATTTAGTTACTTTCAAGTTGTTGTTAGAAATATCTTAGCGATTTCTTCACGAGTTATTCAAATAATTAAATTTAAAGAAAAACTGTTAGAAAACTTATATTTTCTCAAAATTGAAGAATTTTCATTAAATTTCAAAAAAGAAATAGAAATATTGTTATAAACAGAAACAAAAATATAAACGAAGATTAAATTATAAGAATAAAAATTGAAATATATTTTCAATGAAAAAAAATAAGTAAATAATTTGTTTTTTCAATTTTTTTTGCTTACACTGTCCAGATACTTTTTATACGTTTCATAAATCTCTTCCCGTTTCACTGGATCGTCTGGATAGAGAGTTTTGTTAGAAAGAGCCAAAAGAATATTTCTCTTCAGTTTAATTCCAATCAAAGATCTTATATCACAAGCGCTTGTCTGTCGAAAAGAAAGAATAATTTAACAATCGGATCATTATTATAGAATAAAAATAGTAATTAAAATATAATATTAAAATTAGGAACAATCTGTATTATTTTACTGTTTTTATAGTTCTTATTTTATTGATTAAAATAATTATTTTTAATTTTATTAATATTTGTTCACATTATTAATTATTATATGTGATTTTTTTTAAATTATTAATTGCATTTTCTTTTATTCTTTTATTTTTTTGTTTTCTAGTGTAGAAGAATAATTTCGTACCTTCAAAATATAATGATCCAAACCGTAATTGCTGTGAATTAATTCGAGAGCCCTTGGAGTGACAATGACTTTTAAATATAAATCCAAGACTTGACTGTAAACAACTGAGGACATTAATCGTGGAAACCAAAATCGTGGAACTCTTCTATTGTAATTGGCTTTTTTCGTAAATCCCTGTATTAAGCCCTCGCCACCTAAAAGACATTCGTCAAATTCCTTTGGGAATTTCAATGGAATTGGAACATTCTGCACAGGTTGTCTGCGGAAAAAATTCAATTTATTTTTTCATTTTTCATTTATATTCGAACGAGGGACAATTTAATTTGGGTAAGTTTTTAATTCGTTACTTTTTTTGAATTTTTAGAAATAATTCCATTTTTCTTTTTGAAAATAAGATATTTTCAAAAATGATATATTTTCGAAAATAATATAATTTCAAAAATGATATATTTTCGAAAATAATATATTTTCAAACATGATATATTTTCGAAAATAATTAAATCTAATTATAAAATAATTCTTTGAATAATTCTACGAAAAAAAGTAACAATAATGTTATTTCGGTTTTTAAAGAAAAAATATTTTAATTTTCTTCTCGCTTTTGAAATTATTTGCAAAATAAACTCACATTAATCCAGACTTTTCATCGCGATAATATCGTCCCTCTCTTGGTATATAATGAATTGGTTGTGGTTTCTTTAATTTCCATTCGTTAAAGAATTTCTTATACTCTTTTGGCAAATAAACTCCTAATCCTTTTTGCCATCTATTTGGTTCTCGAAAACGATACAGAGTCTACAGAAAAATATTTTTAATTTAATTTAATTTTTATTATTAATTTATTAACCGGCTAATAATTTATATTTAAAATAAATATTTATAGTTGACAGACATTTATAATAATTACAATTTATTATCTTTATTTTTAATAATTAAAATTAATTTTTAGTTTAATTTTCATAATTTTATTTACAATTCGCTATTTATTGATTATTAGTTATTAAAAAGGCTAAAAAGTTAAAAATATTAAGAAAAATTCGTAAGGGAAAAATTTTGAGGTTATGTCAAACTTTCTACGTTTCTACTTTGCGTTCAATTACTTCGGTTTGTTTATTACTTAGCAAAAAAATCACATAATTAACAAAAAAAATAATTCTTTTAATTTTATTATTGATACAGTACTTTTTTTTAATCAAGAAAAGGAAAAACTTGCATTTTTAGGTTATAATTTTTTAAGCAATTCTTTAATTAATAAACAAAAATGTTTAGGGGAAAAAAGTGACATACCTTTCCCAGTTCCGCGTGATTTCTAACTTGCGATGCCATTATTAAATTTTATCCTATTTCTATTCTTTTTTATTGAAAAATTAACACATTTTTTAGATTATTATTATTACTATTTACGATATTTAACTATAGCAGACATATATATTATTGTTTTTATTTCCTATAAGGTTGGTAGTATAGTTCGCAGTATTTGTTTCAATAACACGTACCCAACCCTGGTTATTACAGTATAAAGCCTAATCCACACTGTACAGTGAAAAGAAAATCGGAAATAAAAGAACAGTTGATTATTAACTCCTTTTAATTTTTGCTCCTTTTAATGTTCATTAACCTTAATTATCAGTTACATAGAATTTACACACATATAAAGATTAAATTAGACAATTAGCGTAATTAGGTACACAAATGTTGCTTTATGCAGTTTCCCAACCCTTTATTATTAAATTTCTTGATCGCAACTACCCAACACTGTACTTTCGACAAAAGAAGACAAAAAAACTTGTCCATTGTCAATCGACCAATCAGAAGACAGCAAAATAAAGGCGTCGACAGCGCAACGACAAACAGTTTTCAAACCGTATTTTGTATATTTAAAAATGGAGATCGCTTTGCAACCGTCGCCGAATGGAAAAATTAAAGTGAGAGAACGTGTAAGTTTCAATTAAACTAAAAAAATTTGCAAATTAAACATTAAAATATAATTAGAATATTATGTTAGTGTAATGTGTTTGTAGTAATTAGAGTGTTGTAAGTGATAAAAACAGAGAAAAAGTGCATCGACAATGGAGGTTAGGATATATTATAATTGCTATGTTGTGTATATACAAAAAACTTGGCATTTATTTTTTTCAGAGAAATATAAAAACAAACAAAATTTGCATGCAAAACGCCGTGATATTGAAAATATTGTGACCGGCATTGGCATTTATTGTTTTTTCTTTTAGAGATAAAGGAAATTTTCTTTTCTTTTCAAATGAAATAAAGTATAATATATAGAAAACTTTTAGTTTGTCACTTTTTCTATTGCGCGCTTGTGACGCGGAATAAATCACAAAGATGTCAACAAACTTTAGGATCAACTTGAGAATTATTCGTTTGGCAGTAGAATATTTTAGTTTTTTTTTTTGCAGTAATCTCTTTTTTTATTTAATTAATTTAAGGGTAATGTAAATAATTTAGTGTAATTTTATTAATATTTTGTATCTTTAGCAGCGAAAAATTTTATTTTTTCTCAAACTTTTAACTTTGTGTAATGTGCATTTTCAAAATTACCGTTTTTAATTATTAATTAAATGAATTCGGTTTTTAATTATTTACTAATATTATTATTAGTTAATTAACAATTACCAGAAAAATTAGTTTTTGAAGTAATATTTTTTGATTAATATATTTTTAATCGAAACATTTTTCGCAGACATTCAATTATGTTTAAAATTTTTTTAAATTCTAGCCTAATTTTCAATTATTTTCAGAAATAATAAAATTATTCTCTGAAATTCAATTATTTTCAAAAATTTTTAATAAAATTCTTGGCAAAATTTCAATTATTTTCAAAAGTTTTCCTCAATTCAATGATTTTCAATATCTTTTGTTTTAATAAAATTTTCCAAAATAATTTAATTATTTAAATAAAATTTTAATAAAATTCTGTGGAAACATTTAATTATTTTCATAAATAATAGAAATTTCAGAGAAATTCAATTATTTACAAATTTTTTATAAATTTCTTCGCAATAATTCAATTATTTTTAATACAATTTTAATCGAATTTCTCGAAAAATTGAATTATTCTTAAAAATTTTATTGAAATTCGTCAAAAAATTCAATTATTTCAAATAATTTTGATAAAATGCTTTACAAGTATTTAATTATTTCCAATTCAATTTCAATTAAAATCCGGAAAAAAATTTAATTATTTTCAATAAAATTTTAATTAAATTCTTTGCCGGAAGTCAATTATTTTCAATTAAATTTAAATAAAATTCTTTAAAAAGAATTCAATTATTATATAATTTTGATAATTTTGATGAAATTCTTTATAAGAATTCAATCGAAATAATTTAAAATATTTTAATTGTTGAAAATATGAATTGTTGTTTTTTTTAAAACTCTGAAAAGAATTTAATTATTTTCAATTCTAGTCTTCTTGAATACAATTTTAATTAAATTCTTTGCTGGTAGTCAATTATTTTCAATTTAATTTTAATAAAATTCGTTAAAACGAATTAAATTATTATTATCATAAGTAATAAAATTCTTCGTAATAATTGAATTTTATTTTACAATTTTAATACAATTTTTCAAATTATTTTTAAAAATTTTATTAAAAATCGTCAAAAGAACTCAATTATTTAAAAATTAGTTGCTCAAATTCTTTATGAGAATTCAATTTTAAGAAATATTTAATTATTTAATAGATTTTTAATTTTATATTTAAATAATTGAATTTTCGTAGAATTTTCTAATAAAATTAATTTAAAAATGAATTTTATTAGTTAAATTTTTAGATAGTAATTTAATATTAAAAGCATTATAGCACGAATTTTCAAAAATAATTCAATTTTAGAAACGTTTCAAATTGAAATCTTTTTGAAAATTTGAATTCTCCATACTTTTAACTAACAAATTCTGTAGAATTATTTTTTTTTTGAAAAAGTCTGGAAAAATTTGTTCAAATTTAGCGTAAAATGAAAAAGAAATAAATTGAGGATTGTAAAATAAATAAAGAGAAAAATTATTCAATTATTGAAAATTTGTTTCTGCTTTGAAAACAAAAAAAAATGGATATTGAGAAATATTGTAAAATTAATTATTAAAAAAATAATAATATTGAGAAACTATTTTTTCTTTTTTGAAAATTAAAAAAAAATAAGAGTGAGAATGTGAAAAATTATTTGAATTCCTTTTAAAATTTGTAATAACGAGTAATATTGAGAAAATATTGTTTTTCTTTGTTCAAAGACTTCGCGACGAATGCTGGACAAAATGGATCTCGATGCAGAAATGGAGAACAAAAAACGCGAACTCAAAGAAGTTCGTGAGCAGAAGAAAAAATTACTTGAACTTCAAGATAAAACGAGTCTTAATTTAAAAGCAAATTCCAATTTGGAATCGCAATTAACGGAAAAATCAAAGCAACTCGATTTGTCCAATAGAAAAAGAGATAATCTTGAGCGTGAATTAATAACTGCAAGATCGGAAGCTGCAGGAATCAAGAGAATTTTGGGTAAGCGAAAAGCAACAAATTTAATTAAATTTCTAAAATAAAAATTTACCTAAATTTTTTTTTATATTTTAATTTTTTGTATTTTTATTACTTTGTATTTTTTATATTTTCTATTATTTGCATACTTATTTTTTGTATTTATTATTTTATATTTTATTTTATTTTATTTTTATTTCATTTTATTTTATTTATTTATTTTTTTTATTTTATTTTATTTTATTTATTTTTTTTATATTTTTTTTTTAAAGTATTTTTTTTCCTAATTTTACTATTTTTTCGTATTCTTTTCGCAAACTTATGGAGAAAAAAAAATTGTTGAAGAGAATGTTAAAAATATTTAAAAATTAAAATTGGTTGATAAAATATATTTGTCGATTATTAAAAAAAAAATAAAAAAAAAATTGAATACTAAATTTGACTAAATTATGTTTATTGCAGAATTGGAGAGACAAGAGAGACGAGAACTGGAAACAAGGGCATTGAACCTGATAAAGGGCGCAAAGAGAAAATGGGAAAATGCGGAAAAAGATAAAATTACTCAACTTAATAAACACATCGAAACGCAAACAACTCGAATTGCTGAGTTGTGCTCAAGTAACAATGATATGAGCGCCCGATTACAACGCGCCGAATCCGAATTAAAAACATCGGCTGCCGAATTGAAGAAACTCCGCTCATTTCAGGTATTTAGGTTCAATTTATTTTTTCTATTCAATAAATTTTCAAAAATAAACAATTATTTAACAAATTTTTTATAAAATTCCAAACAAGAATTCAATTATTTTCATAATTAATGAAACTCATCGAAGAATTTCAATTATTTTTAATACTATTTATTCTCACAAATCTTTGCAGGAATTTTATTATTTTTAAAAATTTTAATAAAATTCTTGGAAATAATTCAAAAAATTTTATAATTAAAAACTATAATTTTTACTACCTTTTATAAATGAAAAATACTTTTAGTAAAAAGTAAAGAACAAAAATTAGAAAATAGAGTCAAAATTAGAAAATTGAGAATAAAAATTAGGAGAAGAATAAAAGTTAGAAACAAAATATTAAAAATTAAAAATAAAGAATAAAAATTAGAAACTAAGGAATTGAATAAACAGTTTTAATAAAAAAAGAAAGAATAAAAATTAAAAACTAAGGAATTAAATAAACAGAGTTTTTAATAAAGAAAGAAATATTTAATTTTCAGGTTCAATATAAGGAGTCATTGGCAAAAATGCGCGAATTAAATCGTCAAAGTGCACAGGGAGTTGGCACTAAATTGGAGCAAATGGCGGCGCGTGCACATAATCAAATTGCCGAATTACGCACAAAACTTGAATTGGAAGTGGCGAAAACAAATGATTTAGAGAGTAAATTACGTGACGAGCAGGACTCGAATCATTGTCGGCAATCGCGATTAAATGTTGCATTGGAATTATCACAATCTGAACTTCGCGATTGTCAAGAACAATTGAGAAGTTTAAAGGCAACAATACCGGCGCGCGACGCCGAAATGGAAGAATTGAAAAAGGAATTAATTCAAAAGACCAGACAATTGGAAAATGCCGTTGTTAATGAACAAACATTCATCAGCATGCAGCAACAAATTGAAAGAATATGTGCTGAAAATGAACAATTGCGAAATCAACTCGAAGTAATTACATTAATTAATTTATTCTCATATCAAATGGAAAATTAAATTAATGACTCTTTGAAATTAAGACGATAAGAATATTTTTTTTTTTTTGGTAGATTATATTTTTTTTCGAGGCAAATTTAATGAATTTTGGATACTTTTTTTTTCTTCAGGCAACGAAATCAGATCTCAGCGATACTTTAATGAGTTTGGAGCAAAGGGAAACGATTGCTTTGAGTTTGGAACGAATCGAACAAGACAAAGCAACTTTGGAACTTCGATTGCGAAGTTCTTTGGAGAAAGAAGGTATTTAAATAATTTTACGATATTAAGCGAGGCTTCGCACTCATCTACTAAAACTTACTTTTTACTATTTTTTTTACGATTTGATACCTTTTTTTAAATTAAATCATTTAAAATATTTCAATTCCTTTGAAGAAATAAATATTTAAATATTTATTGGAAAATAATTATTATTCATACTATTAATATTATTATTGAATGTGATTTAATTTAGAAATTATGAAAAAATTAGTTGTTTGAAAAATTGTAATTAACATTTTTTTTCTAAAATTTTCATTCCAACAGAGGAACAATTGCGAAAGGTGAGCAATTTAGAAGAATTATTGCGAAGACTCGAGCACAGTGTCTCAAAATTGGAAACTGAGAATGCAACATTAAAGGCAATTGAACACGAGAAGCCAGTACCGTCAAAACGTTTAAGCACCAATTACAACAATCAAAATTATCATGATAAAAATATATCACAATTGGAACAACAAATACAAAAATTAGAGCAACAATTACAAACGGCTAATGAAAATTTGGCAGCTGAACAAAAAGTTGCAAAGCAAGCGCAAATTTCCCTGTGGAAAAAGGAGAAGGAATTGTCAGATGCAAATTTAGATAAAAGAATTGCAACGAGAGAGGCAAAAACGGCAGAGGAGAAAATTAAAACCCTACAGGAGGATAAGCATCGTTTATTGGAGAAATTGAAGAAAATGGAGAAGGACGAGGAGGATAAGTGCGCGAAATTATTAAAGGAAATGGAGAGCGCAAAGGCGTCATTGAATGAAATAACTCGTGAATCGTCACGTAATAAAATGCAAGCCGATTCAGCACAAAGGGTAAATAATATTTTTGAAACATTTTATTTTTTATTTTCGGGAATTCAATTATCTTCAATTATCTTCAAATCGAATTTTTTTTTTTTTTTTGAATTTCAACATTAAATTATTTAAAACTTTAATAATTTTTGAAAACATTTAAAAACTGATTGTTTGATTTTAATTGAAATTTCAAATAATTTTAATGTTAAACCCTTTGAAATTTAATTATTTCTAAAAATTATAATTGCAATTTTTTCAAAATGAAATTATTTTTTAGAATTTTTTAATAAAATTATTGAAAGCTTTAATAAGTTTTAAAGGAAAATGATATACATATTAGATAATAATTTTTTTTTAAATAAACATTAAAATATTATTATATACTTTTACGGAGATTAAAAGTATTAAAAAGATGTCAACTTAAAAACCTTTTAAATTATTTCTTAAAATTTCTGTTATAACGCTTCTAATATTGAATTATTTTTCAAAATTTTAACTGAAATTCTTTTTTAAATCAATTCTTTTTAGAATTCAACGATTATTGAATTATTTAAATACAGCAATTTTTGTAAAATTTAATTATTTTCCAAATTTTTAGTTACAATTCTTAAAAAAATACATTAATGTTCAAACTTAAAATGGTTTTAATTATTTTGAATGAATTTAATTAGAAAATTTAATGAACTTAGATTTTTGAAAAATTTTAATAATTCAAATTCTTCTGAAATTATTAAAATATTTTAATAAATATATTTAATCAATTATTAAAAATAATGGATTTTAGATTTTAGATTGCATAAATTTAATTATATTCAAAAGTAATAAAATTCTTCGCAAAAATTCAATTATGTTTAAAAATTTTTATAATTTCTCGTCAAAATTTAAATTATCTTTATAAATAATATAATTTTTGTCCGAAATTCAATTATTTACGAGAATTTTAATAAAGTTCTTGTGAAAATTTCAATTATTTTAAAAACTTTTCTTCAATTCAATTATTTTCAATATCTACAATTTTAATAAAATTTTCCAAAAGAATTCAATTATTTTCACAAATGTAATAAAACTTTTACAGGAATTAAAATTAAAATACAATTTTTGATAAGATTTTTATAAATTTCTTCGCATGAATTCAATTATTTTCACAAATAAAATTTTTCATCAGAATTCAATTATTTTAAAAAAATTTAATAAAATTCCTCGCAAGAATTTTTTTTACTCATCAAAGAATTTTAATTACTTTTAATAGAATTTTAAATGAATTCCTTAATAATTAGAATTTTAATAATTTTGATGAAATTCTTGAAAAGAATTGAAATTTTTTTTTTTAATTTTTGATAAAATGCTTTATGAGAATTCAATCGAAATGATTTAAAATATTTTAATTTTTGGAAATATAAATTGTTGTTTTTTTGTTAGAAAAATAAATAAGTATTTAAATATTTATTTAAGAAAAATTGTTCAAGTTTAGATTCAATTTATTTATAAATATATTCAATTATTCAAATTATTCAATTGAATATATTAAAAGAATTGTAGTGTTAATTTTGAAAAGGTTTTACATTAAAATCTTTGAAACTCTGAATTTTTCATACTTTTGTCTAACAATTCTGTAGAATTAATTTTTTTTGAAAAATTTTTATTGAATTTTTTTCGAAATTATTTGAAGGGTTTATTTTTTAATACATATTTAAAAGAAGAATTTCCGAACAATCGAAATTTCACGTAAAATTGAATTGTAAACAAATGTATTTGAAAATTCTTAAAGAATGTTTTTAAAAATTGTTAAAAATAATTGAATTGAAATGATGAAAAAAATTTTGAAGAAGTTACCCTGAAATTGTTTCTTGAAAAAATTCTAAATTTATTTCAGAATATTCTTTGTGCTATTTCTCTTACTTTTATACTTGAAAAAATTAATTTTGATAAAATATTCTTGAAATTTTGAGTAAATATTCCTTTATGCAGGCCTTTTATCTGCTAAAAATTTGAGTTCCCTTTATAGTACCGAGATTGATAGAATTGTTCTTTTCTTTATGTGAAAAAATTTTATTTATATTTTTAAGTAAAATGTTTTCTTGTTGAATTCGGACTGGTTATATTACTGTCAGTAATTGTTCCTTAATTTTTAACTTTGGTCCGTATTTTTAAATATTTTTCACTGATTCGAGGATAGAATGTCTCGATGATGATTATTATAAAATTAAATTTTTTCATTCTAGGCCTTAACCCAGTCGAATAAACAAATGGAGGAACTCCAGAATTCAAGTGCAGCCCTACGTCGTGAATTGGACGCGACCCGCAAGCAAATGCGTGGCAATCAAGACCGCACCGATTCATTGAAATCCGAGAATGAACGATTAAAATTACAAATAAGTAAACATAACGACACAGAAGATGAATTTGAAGTGAAACTCGAGAAATTACAAGAAGAAGTCAACAGCTATCATGTGAATAATGTTTTACTCAAAGAAACATGTACAGTTCTCGAGGAGCAATTAACCGACTACGAGCGTTTAACCAACGATCACGAGACACGTGAAAATACTCTAATACAAGAGAAAATGCGTCTGCAAAAGGAATTGGAATTAGCCGAGATTAATTTACGTGAGGCAAAAATAGCTCAGAATGAGGAGAAAACAATGCGATTAGTTGCTGAACGTGCAATTGAACGTTTAGAATCGGATGCCTCCGATATTGAGGGTGAACGTAATACATTGTCATCACAGCGCGATGAGTATAAAAAATTAGCACAAAAATTAAATGAGGAAATTGGTATTTTGACAATAAAGTGCGACACACTCGAGTGTGATTTATCGCAAACGCGTCGTTTACTCGATGTCTCGAAGGAGGAGGCGAGAATTGTTAAGGAAGAATCTTCGCAGCATTTAACGAGACTCCACGAATTGAAGGAAACGAATCATAATTTAATGGCTGATTTACAGGACACTGTGGATCAGGGGCATGAACTTAGGACTCGAGTGGCTGAACTCGAGGGTGTAATGGATGAAATGAGACAGTTTTATCAGGAAAGGGAAGTGAAGGCCGGAAGTACTTGTCAACAGCAGACAAAATTGATTGATTATTTACAGTTGAAACTAGAGGAATGCAGTAAGAAGAAGAAAGGTGTTTGCGACAAGATTTTTGGTTCGAAGAAGGAGAACGTCCCTCCTATGGCAGTTGGATCAGCAATGCCGGTCGGTTACCGCGAATTGGAGAACCAACTTGACAAGGAACGAGCGAAAGTAAAAGCACTGACGGAACAAATGTTGACGACAAAAACGGCGCAATTATCGTCGCCCGTACTTTCGGCGTCACCCGAGAAGAAATCCACCGACGTCACTGATTTAATGACCCGACATTTGTCGCTCCAACGAATGAAACACAATATTCCCCATCGATTCAATATAAGTTTGCCGATGCGAGCAGGAAAGTGTTCAGCTTGTCTCGATTCGATTCAATTTGGCAAACGGGCGGCAATTTGCAGCGAGTGTCAAATAATGACGCATCTCAAGTGTTCGGTGTCGGTGCCGGCAACTTGTGGCCTCCCTGGCGACTTTGCACGACATTTTGGCAAATATTCGCGAGACAGTCTTAATAGTCTGACGAGTCAGGGCGAAAGTGTGCGAACATTGGCGATTGATGAGCCCGATAAGCCGGAGCGTGATACGGATTATTTGATGGCGAATCAAAAGGAGAGAGTTGGTGATGAAGCGGTGACAATGGAGAGTTGGGTGAAGGTGCCGGGCAGAGGGAAATCGTGTTGGGAGAGGAAATACTTGAAATTGGAGAATGGGAGTTTAATGATTTATGAGCATCAGCCGAGTCCGGGTATGGTGGCGATTAGTCAATTGGAATTGCCGGAGAAAAATGGATTTATTATTAATGAATGCGTTGAGGTAGCCGATGTGGGGGGTACGGCGAAATCTGATTTGCCGTTTATCATTAGAGTTGAGCCGAATTCAGTGACAACGTGCTGGCCAACGGCGAGACTTGATATTATGACGCTCAGTCAATTGGATAAGAAGAATTGGCTTAAGGCGCTCAAGTCGCTTTCGAATACGGTCAAGATTGATAAGTATCAGACGGTGCTGAGACTGGAGAAGAATCAGGTGAGTTTGTTTTTTCAGGCTTCGTACTCATTTATTTATTTAATTAATAAATATTTAATATTTATTTACTCATCTAGTAAAATCTAAAGTTAACTACATTTTTTACAATTTGATATAATTTGAATACTTTTTTTTAGATTTGTGAATACTGAAAGATACTTTTTTTTTTAAGAAATTGGCACAAATTTAATTAAAAATTCGCTAAAAAGTTAAAATCAAAAAATTATTCTCAAAAATTTTAATTAATACAATTTTTTGAAATAATTGGAAAAATTTTAATAAAATATTTTGAAACAATCGGAAAAATTTTAATAAAACTTTTAGAAAAGTTTTATAACTTTCTTTTAAACGATTCAATTATTTACAAAAAATTATAGACATTAAATTATTTATTTCAAATATTTAAAAATTCAATTATGTATTTAATTAAAACACAATTTTCATAAAATTTTTCGAGAAGAAAAAACAAATATTTTAAAAGATTTTTATAAAATTCCTCGCAAGAATTCAATTATTGAAAAAAAAATTTAATAAAATTCTTTGTATGAATAATTCAATTCTTTTTCTAAATAATAAAATTCTTCTAAGGAATTCAATTATTTTAAAAAAATTAATAAAGATCTTCGCTAAAATTCAATTATTCTCGTAAATAATAAAATTATCTTCAGGATTCAAATATTTTTTTAAACAATTTTAATAAAAATTTTCATAAGAATTCAAATTTAAAAAAAATTTTTTTTTTAATTTTTCAAGAGAATTCAATTACTTTTGAAAAAAATGTTAATAAAATTTGCTGAAGGAATTCAACAATTTTTAAAAATTTTAACAATGTTTGTTAAAAGAATTCAATTATTTTGGAAAATTCTTATAAAATTCAAATTGAAATTACAAATTTTTCATAAAATAATAAAATTCTTTGCAAGAATTTCAAGTATTTTTAATGAAATTTGCAGAAAGAATTCAATTATTTCTTGAAGATTTTAACAAAATTCTTGAAGAGAATTCAATTATTTTCAAAAATCTTTATAAAATTCAAATTTCAATTTTGAATTCAAATATTTTCGTAAATAAAAAAATTCTTTTTAGGAATTTTATTATTTGCAAAATTTTTTTAAAAACTCTTAAAAGTAATTCAAAAAAGTATTAAAAATTTCTGTACAACAAAACAATTATTTTCAAAAATGTTTCAAAATTAAGTTTTCTATTTAAAACACATTTAACAGTTTCATAACATTTACAAAAAAAAAAATCAATTATTTAAAAAGATCTTTAAACAATTCTTTGCAAGAATTCAATTATTTAAAAAAAATTTAGTAAAGTTCTTCGAATGAATTCAATTATTTTTATAAATAATAAAATTCTTCTAAGGAATTCAATTATTTTTAAAAATTTTAATAAAGTTCTTCGTAAGAATTCAATTATTTTTATAAATTCTAATAAAAATTCTTTGTGGGAATTTTATTATTTTCACAAATTTTTATAAAACTCTCAGAAACAATTCAAAAATTTTTCATTTTAATTTCAAAATACAATTTTTTGAAACTAAATTTTCATAAAATATTCGAAAAAAATCAATTATTTAAAAAGTTTTTTATAAAATTCTTCACAAGAATTCCACTATTTTTTAAAAATTAATAAAGATCATCGTAAGAATTCAATCATTGTTATAAATATTTAAATATTTTTAAAGAATTTCTTTTTTTTAAACAGTTTAAAAAAAAATTTCAAAAGATTTCAATTATTTTTGAAAAATTTTTTTATAAAATTCAAATTTAAATTACAGTTTTGTTATAAAATAAAAAAATTCTTCGCAGGAATATCAATTATTTTTAAATTTTAATAAAATTTACGGAAAGAATTCAATTGTTTTTAAAAATTAAAAAAAAAAAATTCTTCAAGAGAATTCAATTATTTTCAAATTCACATTTGAATTTAAAATTCAAAAATTTTCATAAGTAATAAAATACTTTGCATAAATTAAATTATTTTTAAGACAATTTTAATTAAATTTCTTGAAATAATTTAATTAATTTGATAAATTTTTTGAAATTCAATTATTTAAAAGACAATTTTAATAAAATTTTTGAAAAAAATCAATTATTTAAAAAGGTTTTTATCAAATTCTTAGCAAGTATTTAATTACTTTAAAAAATTTAATAAAATTCTTCGTAAGAATTCAACTATTTTTATAAATATTAAAATTCTTCTCAGGAATTCATTTATTCTCAAATTTTTTGATAAAATTCTTTACAAGAATTCAACGATTCTGATAAATAATAATATAAAATTCTCTACAGGAATTAAACGATTTATAATATAATTTTAAATATAAATTCTCGAAAGAATTCAACTATTTTTAAAAATTTTAACAAATTTTGTCAAGAGTATTCCATTATTTTTGAAAATTTTTGTAATATTAAATTTCAAATATTTTCATAAGTGACAAAATTCTTCGCAGGAAGTAAATTATTGTTAATAAATAAAAATAAATAAAAAATAAATTATTAAAAAAAATAAATAAAAATAAATTATTGTTAATACAATTTTAATTAAATTCCTCGAAAGAATTTAATTATTATCGACAAATTTTTGAAATTCAATTATTTAAAATTATTTAAAATTTTCAAAAAAAAATCAATTATTTTAAAAAGATTTTTTAAAATTCTTCACAAGAATTCAGTGACAATTAAAAAAAAATTCAATAAAAATGTCTTTGTAAGAATACATTTTTTTAAAAATATTTGATGTCTATAATTTGTTTAGTAGAATTTAATAATTATTTTCAATACATTTTTAATTAAATTTCTTGAAAGAAATGAATTATTTTGAAAAGTTTTAATAAAATGCTTTGTAATAATTCAATTATTTCAAAAGTTTTCATAAAATTCTTTATAAGAATTAAATTTCAAGAAATATTCATAATTATTCAATAAATTTTGTTTTTGTATTTAAATAATTGAATTCTCGCTGAACTACGTAAAAAATTTTTTTATAAGAATTGATTTAAAATTGAATTTCAGTTAAAATTGTTCGATAGGAAAATTGAATATTTTTTTTTTCATTTTAAATTTTAAATTAAATTAAATGAAATTAAAAATTTCATTTTAATTCCAGTTGGACTTGAATTGCCTCGTTGAATTAAACGAGGAGGGAGTATTGTTGTTGGGCGCCGAGGAAGGTTTATATTCGTATCAATCGTCAAAGGCGCAGGTACTCACTGCAATTAGGGGAGTGAAGAAAGTTCATCAATTGACTCTTCATCCAAAATTGGGATTGGCGTTGATGATTGCCGGCGAGGATCGACAATTGGTCGCTTGCGATTTGAGACAATTGAAAAGTAATGCTGTCGCTGCTGAATGTTCACGGCCTGCAATTAATACTAAACCCGTTCTCACCGGTTCCGAAAGCTGTCATCTTTATCAAGTTCAGGGCGAGATGCTCTGCGCAGCGACAACATCACACGTCATGTAATTATTTTTTTTATATTAATTTTATTATTTTTAATAATTAATACACTCATTTTATCTACATTATTTATTTTATTATTTTTTCAATTTTATTCGTTCGGAAATTTAATAATTCAATTGGTAATTAATAATTTCAATTTTTCTTTTTACAGACTCCTTAAGTGGACCGTTAATGAAGATTCCGGCGAATTCATTGGAATTCGTGAACTCGAAACACAAGAGCCATGCAGTTGTGCCTTATTTTCGAGAAATATACTAATTGTTGGCTGTAATAAATTTTACCAAATAGACATGAACACTTATGAAATCGATGGTAAGTTGCAAGTGATAATATTCAAAATGGAGGATCCAATATGGATTTTTTGTTTCTTAAATTTTGTAAATAATTTTTCTTTTTAAATATACTTTCAATTTTAAAATTAATGTTTTGAAAATCATTGAATTGTTGCAAAGAATTTTATCAAAAAATTTAATAATAATTTACTTTCTCCGAAGAATTTTATTACTTAGAAAAATAATTGAATTCTCGGGAAGAATTTTGCTAAAATTTTTGAAAATTCTCATTAAATTCCTTTTGAAGAATATTTTTTAATTTTTTTTTGTAAAAAATAGAGTTTTTTTTTAACAATTTAAATTAATTATATTAAAAATAATATTTAATAATATTAAAATTTTATAAAATAATTGAATGCTATTGAAATTTTTTATAATGAATTAAGATAAAAATTGAATTCTTTCGTGAAATTTTTTTTAAAATAATTGAATTTTTACAACAAATTTTACTATTTATAAAAATAATTTTATTCTTACGAAGAATGTTATTTTCTTTTAAAGTAATTGAAATCTTGCGAAGAATTTTATTAAAATTTTTAAAATTAATAAACAAGAATAATTAATTAGTAAATTAGTTTATAATTGAATTTATTTAAAGTTCGAGTCTGAAATTATTCAAAAATTCATATTTGAAATTAAATAAAATTATAAATTAGAATTGGATTTAGAAAAAAAAAGATTATATTTAATTTAATATAATAAACATTATAAAAATATATAGAAATATATTATTTGAAGATATCTTTAAAAAGATAGGAAGGAAAAAAATATTTTAACTTATTTTATAGAGAGAAAAAAAATAGAAAAACAATTTTAATGTTAAATTTAATTTACTAGATTTTCCTGAAGAGGATGACAATTCGATTAAGGCTGCGCTCATGGGTGTTGCTAGACTTGGAATATTTCCCGTTTGCGTTCTCGATGTATCGAGTAATTCACAATACGTTGAATTATTACTTTGCTACAACGAATTTGGCGTTTTTGTCAATGAAAAAGGACAGAGGACGCGGAACATTAATCCAAACTGGAGTCATCTTCCGTTTGCATTTGGTAAATATTTTTTTAATTCAAAAATAACTTTCAGTTAGTAAACTCCATTCTTTTTGTCAGAAATAGTAATTCTTTTATTTTATTTATTTTCATATTTTCAATAAATTAATATTATTTTTATTCCATTTTAAATAAATTGAAATTATTTCCATAATATTTTGAATAAATTGTAATTATTTCCATAATATTTTGAATAAATTGTAATTATTTCCATAATATTTTGAATAAATTAAGAAAAAAATTTTTTACAGCTTATCGCAAACCGTATTTGTTTATTGTACACTTCTCGTCAGTGGAAATAATAAAAATAGATTCCGATTCATTTAAATCGTACTCGAAGAAATCGGAAAGAACATTGTTGGAGTTTAATAATCCACGTTATTTGGGTTTGGCTGGTACCAAAGGTGTTTACATAACTGCTGTTAATACCGTTCTTGAATTGCTGAAAATTGAGGGAAATTCATTGATACGACATAGTGACAGTCTCACAAGTATAGACACATTGTAAGTAACAATTTATCATTTCTTTCTCCATTTTTTGTCTTATTTTGAATAATTTAATTTAGAAATTCCAAAAAAATTTGTTTCTTGAAAAAATGTAATTAAAATTTTTTTTAAAAATAATCGTATTTCCGAAAATAATTTTAAAAAATTGAAACAGTTGAAAATTTCGTCTTTTCAAGATAATTAAATTCTCGAAAATAATTTTATAAATTTAAATATTTAAAAGTCTTTTGAAATTTTATTGAAATAAATTTTCCATTTGAAAGAATATATAATTTTATTATTTTTAAAAATTGTTTTAAAATATAATTGTATTTTTGAAGAATTATATTTCGAAAAATTATATTTTAAAAAAAATATAAATATAAATAAAAAATACTTTTTGTATTAATAAACAAAACAAAAGTTCAATTAAATCAAATTTTCTAATAAAAATAATAATTTCCAGATGTCAAAATGAGGACAGCACGTCTGAATTCAGTTTTACGTCGAGTCTGATGGACGTTCTCGAGAGTCAAGGGAGAAAGGTACATTTTTCTAATGTATCTAATCATTAACACAAAAAAAGTCATTAAATTACTAATTTTTCTAAATCAAAGTAGTAGAATTATAAATTAATGAATAATACACTTTACGATAAGTTTTTATTGTATAAATTCTTCGATAAACTTGATTTTCATCGATTAATCGTAACGACTTTTGAGAAAAACTTTAGTTTAATTAATTCTATATCATGCATTCAATTTAATACATAAAGAAAGAAGTAACTAATCTCATTTTTAACTAATTGATAAATTTTGATTAAAAGAAAAGAAAGAAAGAAGAAAAAGATCTCTCCGTAAATAGTTCGTTTTGATTAGTGTTCAAAAATATTTCTTTTCCATTTGGTAAAATTTTTAATTTATTTCTTTTTATAATAATTTGACTGGCGAAAAACTTAAAAGAAAAATACGTTGGTATTTAAGTATTATTTAAAAGAGCTTGCCATATTGATATTGTTTTTTTTTTGTTTTTTTTCTCGTTTAGTATTATCAAGCTTTTAGATAAGTTTTTCTTTGTATATTCTAGAAATATATTTAAATTTTTTTTCAGTCAGGAAATAAGTTATTTTAAAATAGAAAAAAGAAATAAGTATAATATTTAGAAATAATTTGGCTAAGAAAATAGGAAAATAGAATTTCTTCAATTCAGTAGAATTGAAATTTCTTTTTTATAGTAAAATATGTGTACAATGCTAATATATTTTTTGTGTAAACAATATTCTTAAAAAATCCTGTATTTTGATCGTGAATACCGTTTATTGATTCAGGATTTTGTTTGATTCTTCAGAAAAAAGGAAAAAATAAATAAAAAAACTGATTTTTCTAATATAAAAAAAAATTTGTGGTTTTAGCAATATTTACTTTTTCCTAAAAAGTATATTTCGGGTTTGAATATTTTTTTCTTATGATTCAGAATAATTATTAATAACTATGTTAGTTGTGTTGTCGCTATAAAAAATAACTAATATTATTTTTTGTAAGTTGGTTACTCAACTGAGAGCCAACTCTATTTTATTTATTTAACAAGTAGAAGTACAAAAATTTCAGTTTTCATAAATATTTTATCGATGAGTAGTCATGGAGATTTCAGACAATTTTTATTAGTCATTTTTATTAAAACTGGGTCACAATTTTCTGCTTGATATATTAAATAATTCGATTGATTTCTTTTACAAATTTTATATTCTTCTATAGTAGTACATTTTTCTAAGTCTGTCTTGTCAATCGGACATCGGTGCGTATTCAGTTTCCGTTTGTAAAATATATTCGTGGTTTCTTACATTAATAATAATAATTATATCATTTGATCCTTTTAGTATACTCGTTTCTTCATAATCTTCTTTAAATCGTGTAGACATATAATTCGCATGTTCCTTTAAAATCTTCAACATTTACTGTAATGTTGGTCCACTTCGTCATATTTATTTCTCTAATTATTAATATCCTATTCGTCATAATATTCTTGATACCTTTTTGATTCATTTCGTTATATTTGTTTCCTTTATTGATTCGTATTTTATCATTCAGTCCTACTGGAATATCCTATTCGTCATAATATTCTTGATACCTTTTTAATTCATTTCGTTATATTTGTTTCCTTTATTGATTCATATTTTATCATTCAGTCCTACTGGAATATCCTATTCGTCATAATATTCTTGATGCCTTTTTGATTCATTTCGTAATTCGTTATATTTGTTTCCTTTATTGATTCATATTTTATCATTCAGTCCTACTGGAATATCCTATTCGTCATAATATTCTTGATGCCTTTTTGATCCATTTCGTTATATTTGTTTCCTTTATTGATTCATATTTTATCATTCAGTCCTACTGGAATATCCTATTCGTCATAATATTCTTGATACCTTTTTGATCCATTTCGTTATATTTGTTTCCTTTATTGATTCATATTTTATTATTCAGTCCTACTGGAATTGAAATCCTGATTAAAGTTTTTCTTTAGTATACGTATAAATAAATTCATAATTAAATATAATATAAGTGAATTCAAAGAAACATTATAATATTTCGCATCTTGCGAAAACATACCTTTTTGTAAAATTCATCTTTTGGAAAGTCTGCGATTCTGAAGTACTTCTTTTCTTTGATAATTTATGTTTTAAGTATCAACATAACCTCTGCAGTAGAGGTTATCTGTCCATATTTGTTGAATTCAAGAAGACTCTTCTTGGTTGAATTTCAGGTACTTTTTCTCTTAACCTGACGAGAAACATTTTCTTGTTCTATTCGACCTATTGAACCTAGTTGCTAGATACATTTTCTGTAATAAAACTCAAGGAATAAAAATTATCATTAGGAAAGAAAATATTTACTACAATTTACAATTGTACCATATTAGTATGAATATGGTCAATTAGGTCTGTAACAAATAAAAAGTATTAATTGTGCACAATTTTTTTAGTAAAACAATAAATGTAAGACTACCTTAGTGAAACTCGATGTTTCTAATTCTAAAAATTCTAATATATGGAAAAAACACCTATACATTTTTTATATCAGCAAAGGTTCATTTTTGGGGTATGTAAATCATTTCTATTAAGGTATACGTTACCTTCGGTCGGTAAAACAGTTTATTAACACAAATTTGACCGTACCAACAGTTGATAATGTAGCAATAAATATTGCCTCCTATAGTAAACTATTACTGACTAAAGGTAATAATTTCAGGAAAACATACCTTTTTCAGGTTCTGAAACTCTTGCATCTGCAATAAAAAGACATAAAATTTTAGTCATCACTGTTAATGATAAATTGATTAGGTTATAGTTAGGTTTTTTTGCACACCTCACACTGACTTATTTTCTGATTTACCGACTGTTAATAATATAGATAATAAAATTTTTTTCTTTGCCTTACCAACATCTGATAGTGTAGCAATATGTATTGTCAACTAATGTCAAACAATTAATTAAAAGTAATAATTTTAGGAAAACATACCTTCTTCATTGTCATCTAGTAACTCATGTAAAGATTCAATATCTGCAATAAAAATTTGAACGATGTCATTCAGATAATAATAAATATTACATAAATTATAAGAAGTATAATTATCATTAAATTATCATTCTTTAAAAAAAAAACTTTTAATTTTCGAAGTACCTAGTTAATTTAATGTTATTAATTTCGTTAACGTACCTGAGATATCGGATATCTTTGCCGAAAGATCTGCAACATTCAATAAGTGATTCTATATTAGAAGATTTACTATTCTAAAGTACGAAAAAAGTTTTATAATTTTGTTGATTACTTGTTGATCGTACCTGGCACAATCTTTGTCTTACCACGTCTTAGTTCCTTTCCTTTGGCGTTATCTCCCTCTTCTATTGTAACAAGAAAAATTCTATTATTTATTTACGGTCATTGTAATATCGCATTCGTACATTAATGTACTTAAAGTAATTAATAATCTAGTTCTAAACAATTAAGAGCAAACATTAGGATGCATTATTAATAGATTAAATAGATTAAATGTTAACAACCAACCTGATGATTTTCTTTTATCCTCATTGGAAGATTTTAAGATACGCATAATTCTTCTTCTTTTTGCTTGATGACTAGTAGATGGACCGTCTGTAACATGTGTAAATTAATTATTATATTAAAAAAAATCATCTTCCCATTTCTGAAAAAAGTATTTAAAATTTTAGGGATATTGCGCAAAATAAGTTTACTTTAATTTATATGTACTGTAACCGGTTGTGTTACGTTATGTGACTACAATGGTTGTGCTGTATGATATATGATATGCTATTGCTATATTGTATAACCCATCATTTAATATAATTAAAGTTAAAGGGACTAGAGTAAACAGTACCAAACAGTATCGTAGGGTACTTAATTGATAATATTTTTAACGTACCTGAGAGATCGGATGAATCTGACCTACGATAATTAGGATCTGCAACATTCAATAAGTGATTTTACTAAAAGATTTACTATCTTAAAGTACAAAAGAAGTTGTATAATTAATATCCTACGTGGCATATCTGCTTTCTTATGAAGTCTTCGGCTTCTTCGTACAGATACATCCGGTGAAACTATTGCGACAAAAAAATTCTATTATTATAGAAGGGCTCGAACTAGGTCCGTAAACCCCGTAAAATGTTTATTAATCTTCAAAAGCAAATAAAAATTTAGTTAATAGATATACCGTTTTCGGAATCTGTAACAAAAATTAATAAATATCAGAAACTATTATATGGAAATTTTGTGATTTATCATATACTGAAAAATTCGGATGTCCAAAGTAAAAACATAGTAAGCACATCGTTCGTAAGGTCATTTGTGTGATAATTAAATTTTGTACCTGAGGAAGCAACAGACGAATCACCTTGGTCGCCTACGTAAGGTATTCCAATTTTTTTTCCCTTTGATTTTTTCCCTTTACCTAATACAAAAACCATTAATTGTTTTCGATTAAAAAAACGAAGCCTTCAATATATATTATTATAAAAAGGAAAAATTAAATTTTTTTTGAATAATATATAGATCATTCCCTATATAAGCATTTATCAACATTTGATAACTCTACACTCCTCAATAAGAGCTTTAATGTAAGAAAGACTTTCTTGCGAGTCATTTAATTATATTGGTTATTTCTATAACCTACCTAACACATTGGATGTAGGATCATCATCTGTAAAATTTATGAAATATTATTTGCGGTAACTATTAGTATTAAAAAATACAAAATTTGGAAAATGTAATACCAAATCACAGTTGTAATTTTGCTTACAAATAGTACAATAAATAATTTCTTTAGCATACCTGAGATCGGCTCGGTTTCTGTAACATTAGTGAAGTGAAAATAAAAAACACTGCGTTAGGACTAATAAAAATGATGATAGCAAATCTGCCAGTTGTTAATTGACTGAAATATTAGATAATTTCTGCAACCTACCTGGTGCATATTTGGTGCGACTTTTAACACTTTTTGGTTCCTTACCAATTAATGGAAATTCTGCAACAATTATAAATTATCGATTATTTTATTATTTTACAAGGTGTTACTCAACCCTGAAATTTTTGACAACCTAATATTTTGTCTTATTGCAAAGTAGCAATATGTATTGTCAAACAATTAATTAAAAGTAATAATTTTAGGAAAACATACCATTTTCATTGTCATCTCGTAGCTCATGTAAAGATTCAATATCTGCAATAAAAATTTGAACGATGTCATTCAGATAATAGTAAATATTACATGAATTACAAGTGTAAATTATCATTCTTTTTAAAAAAGACTTTTAATTTTCGAAGTAGTTAATTTAATGATATTAATTTCTTTAACGTACCTGAGATATCGGATATCTTTGCCGAAAGATCTGCAACATTCAATAAGTGATTCTATATTAGAAGATTTACTATTCTAAAGTACGAAAAAAGTTTTATAATTTATCTATGTATTACTTACAAGAGAAATTCTATTATTATTTATTCATGGTCATTGAAATATCGCAATCGTACATAATGCACTTAAAGTAATTAATAATCTAGTTCTAAACAATTAAGAGCAAACATTAGGCTGCATTACACAGGCACACAAAAAAAAAAAAGTGTCGTGGCCGAGACACTACAGTAGTATATTCCCATGTATTTTTGGCCGCTGAATCCGAATCTGAAGTCCGAATGCTCAAATTGGTTCTTTTTTATGAGTTATACTCAAAAAACGACTCAAAACACGAATTTGAACCAAAAAAATTAAAAATTTTTTTTGTGACATGACAATAGCATATTTCCATGTATTTTTTCCCGCTGAATCCGGATTCGAAGTCAGAATTGACAGATGTGCTCAAAATTATGAGCTACACTCAAAAAACGACTCAAAAAACCGAATTAAAATGACGAAAATGAAAAATTTTTTCTGTGACACTGCAAAAGTATATTCCTATGTATTTTTTCACGCTGAATCCGAATTCGAAGTCAAAATAGACAGATTTGCTCAAAATTTTGAGATAAACTCAAAAAACCACTCAAAAAAAGACTCAAAAAACCGAATTAAGATGAAAAAATTTTTTTATGACACTACACTACTATATTCCCATGTACTTTTTCCCGCTGAATCCGAATTCGCAGTCAGAATTGACAGATTTGCTCAAAATTTTGAGATAAGCTCAAAGAACTGATAAAAAAGCGATTTAAAATAAAGAAATGGAAATTTTTTGCTATGACACTACATTACAGTATTTCCATATCGGATCTCGCATTTAAAGTCAGAATTGACAGATTTCTGACTGATTTGCTTAAAATTTTGAGATATACTCAAAAAACTGATAAAAATGTAATTTAATATGAATAAAGGAAATTTTTTGCTATGACACTACAAGTGGCTCAAAATTTTGGATTTCATTAAAAGTGCTCAAAAACATGCATGCTTGTACCTGTAACCAGGGTTTGAGTTCTAAAAAATTTTATGTTATTCTGATAATTCTAACATCGAGTTTGTATTCAGCGTATATAAAATTCATGGCAATACACTACAGAATACCAAAAAAATGAACTCTTTTGCATTAAATTATATTTTGAGCATTTTTGGATTTAACTTAAAATTTTGAGCCAATTTAATAATTTTAACTTTGAATTTAGAAGAAGATGTAAAAACATGACAATATACTAATGTAGTGTACTAGCAATGAAAAGTAGAGTTTCTTGACTTTAATTTTTGTAACTTAACAGATTTTCTTGTGTGTCTCAAAATTTTGAGCCATTAGAATGGAAATACTGGAAATACTGTAATGTAGAAATACTGTAATGTAGTGTCATAGCAAAAAATTTCCATTTCTTTATTTTAAATCGCTTTTTTTATCAGTTCTTTGAGCTTATCTCAAAATTTTGACCAAATCTGTCAATTCTGACTGCGAATTCGGATTCAGCGGAAAAAAGTACATGGGAATATAGTAGTGTAGTGTCATAAAAAATTTTTTCATCTTAATTCGGTTTCTTGAGTCTTTTTTTGAGTGGTTTTTTGAGTTTATCTCAATATTTTGAGCAAATCTGTCTATTTTGACTTCGAATTCGGATTCAGCGTGAAAAAATACATAGGAATATACTTTTGCAGTGTCACAGAAAAAATTTTTCATTTTCGTCATTTTAATTCGGTTTTTTGAGTCGTTTTTTGAGTGTAGCTCATAATTTTGAGCACATCTGTCAATTCTGACTTCGAATCCGGATTCAGCGGGAAAAAATACATGGAAATATGCTATTGTCATGTCACAAAAAAAATTTTAATTTTTTTGGTTCAAATTCGTGTTTTGAGTCGTTTTTTGAGTATAACTCATAAAAAAGAACCAATTTGAGCATTCGGACTTCAGATTCGGATTCAGCGGCCAAAAATACATGGGAATATACTACTGTAGTGTCTCGGCCACGACACTTTTTTTTTTTTGTGTGCCTGTGTTATTAATAGATTAAACGTTAACAATCATCATGATTGTAAATTTTAAAAGCTATGAATTGAAAGATGCATTAATAAGTCACTGTTATAGAGCACCTGTCGATTTTCTTCTATCCTCTTTGGAAGATTTTAAGAAACGCGTAATTTTTCTTATTTCTGCTTGATGACTAGTAGATGGACCGTCTGTAACATGTGTAAATGAATTATTATATTAAAAAAAATCATCTTCCCATTTCTGAAAAAAGTATTTAAAATTTTAGGCATATTTTAACGTACCTGAGACTTCGGATGAATCTGACCTAAGATAATTAGGATCTGCAACATGAATATTCAATAAGTGATTTTACTAAAAGATTTACTATCTTAAAGTACAAAAGAAGTTGAATAATTAATATCGTACGTGGCATATCTGCTTTCTTATGAAGTCTTCGGCTTCTTCGTACAGATACATCCGGTGCAACTATTGTGACAAAAAAATTCGATTATTATAGCAAAAGACGAATCACCTCCTACAACAATTGACGTTTGATATAATGTAATAGAGCTACTTTTTTATTGAGAAAGTAAGAATAAATAATATATCGTTAGCCATGAAATTAACAGAAGTGCTAATAAGTAATTCTTGCAGTCATACCTTGGTCGCCTACTTGAGGTATTTCAATTTTTTTCCCCTTTGGTTTTTTCCCTTTACCTAATACAAAAACCATTAATTGTTTTCTATTAAAAAAAAGGAAGACTTCTATATATTACTATAAAAAGAAAAAATTAAAATTTTTCTGAAAAATAATTTTAATTAAAAACTATTAACTAAAATACAGTCAACTCTCGATAAGACAAAGCGCGATAACTCAAAGTAATTCTTGGCTCCCGGTCATTCCCTATATATAAGCATTCATCAACATTTGATAACTCTAAATACTCCTCAATAAGAGCTTTAATTTAAGAAAGACTTTCTTGCGAGTCATTTAATTATATTAGTTATTTCTATAACCTACCTATCACATTGGATGTAGGATCATCATCTGTAAAATTTATGAAATATTATTTGTGATACCTATAGTATTTAAAAATACAAAATTTGGAAAATCTAATACTAAATCACAGTTGTAATTTTGCTTACAAATAGTACAATAAATATTTTCTTTAGCATACCTGAGATTGGTTCGATTCCTGTAACATTAGTGAAGTGAAAATAAAAAACACTGCGTTAGGACTAATAAAAATGTTGATAGTAAATCTGACAGTTGTTAATTGACTGAAATATTAGATAATTTCTGCAACCTACCTGGTGCATATTTGGGGCATATTTATAAACTATCACTTATTTTGTTATTTTACAAGGGGTTACTCAACCCTGATCGACAACCTAATTAGGTTGTTTGTTAGGAACAAATTGTCTAAATTTATTTAATAAAATCATAGTTTCTGAAGAGGACAGCTTTGCTGTTATAAATGTTAAAGGAATTGTTTTAATTTTTCCATTGGACTCGGAGTGATCGTTGACTTTAATACTTAATTAAATTGAAAACCGAGTGATAGAATAATCATTATATTATTAATTTTTTCTAAATCAATATATTATTTATCGAAAAGCTTATTAAAAATGCTACCGTGTACTATACTGTTTGTATCGAAACTAAAATGGTTCAAATTTGATATAAATTCATTTATAATTAACGACATTAAATGGAAAGATATTGTATTTTATAACAATAACATACCATTTTCAGTATCCTCAAGTTTTCCTATACAAAAATAAAGAGAATTATTAATTTTCAAAATTAGAAAAAAAAATTCTTTACAAACATAACATACCAGCTTGAAAATCATCCACGATTGCTGTAGCAAATAAAGGGAATTATTAATTTTAGAAATAATTTCTTTGTCAAGTTTAACAATATATTTATATCAGATAAAACGTACCGTCGAAATCAGAACCAAGATCTATAATAAAGTTTTATAGTTACTTCTTATTAAAAAGTATGTAAATATTGATGTTGGAGGGGATTTCAATAAGGAGGTTTTTAAGGCGAAAATTTATTTTGTGGTCAAAAGCATATGTGTAGGATAAAAATTGATATAATGTAAATACCTTCATGGATATTAATTCCAGCATCTATAAGTAATTAATTTTTGCTATTAGAATAGATTTGTTATATTGACATTAATTAGAAAAATTAGAAAAAAAAACATGTTACTGTTAATTATATTGGCAAAACGTACTTTCAAAATCACTTCCCAGAGAGAATGATGATTCGGAATCTGAAATAAAATTCAATGCGGATAATAATTAAAAATAGTTTCATTCGGGTCCTCGGGAATTCAAAAATCACATTTTTTAAAAAAAATGTCATTCAGTATGTATGTGGGTGTGTAAACATTAAACTTTCGTAAATATCTCGACATTATGAAGAACTTTTAGGGATGTTTTTTAAAATTGTTTTTTGCATAAAAAGTAATTGATAATAAAAGGTCAATTTAATAAAAGGTCGCAAATTATGAAAATAATAAAAATTTGTTATTTAAACATACCAGACTGACTTCCGTCTTTTTTCGGCTTTCCAGTACATTCAACATTAATGCTAATTGACAGAAGGAGGAATGTGATGATACAGTAGCCGAGTGATATTCGAGTAACCATTTTGTTAATTTTAAGGATGATTGGTTATGAATTAGTTATCAATCTATGTAGACAAAAAAAAAATTTATAAATTATTATTGAAAATCAAGTCTAATTTAAAAATTTATAATATATACTTAATAAATATTATATTTTTTAATTATATTAATTATTGGATATATTGCGCCTCGTTCAACACGAGGCGAGTGATCCGAGAAATATTGTATATAAGTTAAATTCAAAATAATACTATTGAAAAAAATTTTTTCAAAATATGCGCAAATTAACGAGAATCATAATGGTAAATTAAAAATAATAAATGATAATAGAAATAATAATAAATTTTTTCACCAAAACTGAAGTGAAATCTTCGTGGTATTTGTATTTTTTTGGAGTAAAAAAAAGATTAATCGCTGCCTGCTTTTATACTCCTGTACAATCGTTCAACATTGCAATAAAAATATAGAAAAAAATGTTCAATACATTTTCTTTCTCCGAAGATATAGAGAATAATAAATTCTAGAACTATAGATAGCAGGAACTGAAATATTCTATTTTTTACAAACAAAATTTATAATATAAGCATATATATATATATATATATTTAAATGAATATATTTAAATGAAATAATTTTTAGTTCAAGTATAAAAATATATTAACTTCTTAATTTATAAATGTTACAAAAGTAATGAAACGAGTTATAACAGGATTTTTATAATTTTCTATTTCTATTATTATAATTATTTTTAACAGATTTTTAATACTATTATTTGTATTTTGTATTTTTTAGCATATTGAAAAATAAATTATAAAGAAAACTTTTTAATAGTAAATTTAATATTGTAAATGATAGATAAGCTTAAAAATATTATTAAAATTATATATAGTTTACGTTTATTTAAATAATGCATTAAAAATTTAAAAAAATTTAACAATGATGTTTTTAAATTTTTAAAACAATTAAAAAAAGGCCTTTGTAAAATTTTTTTGAAAATTTGTTTCCACTTTGGTTATAAAACTGTGGAATAAAACATTCTAATAGATAATTTTGAGTAATAAAAATTTAATGTTGCAAAAATATTTCAAAAATGCAGAAAGAAATATTTCTGTAATAATTTCAATGCGCTGATAAATATTTTGAGTCGTAACCTTCAAGAATGTAAAGGTTAAATTAATTTTTTCTTTTTTAACACATCATTTCTGCTTACAATATTAAAAAAGTAATTTGTTTAAAATAAATATATTTATATATGCAATATTATTAGTATAGTAATTATTAATATTTATATAATAAATATTTTTAAGTAATTCTAAGGAGTATTATTGCATAACTATTAAAAATTATTAAATTTTTTAAATTTAATTTATAAATTAAAATCATTTTAATTCATTATATTATAACTAATCGTGTACTTTATTTCAACATCGTTTTATTAGAAAAAATTTTAGAAAATTAAAAAAAATTCCTCTGCAAAACCTAATTATGAAAATGCAAAAAAAAAAAAAAATATTTTAAAGAAAGTTGTAAAAACGTTTAATTTTGAAGAATACTGAAAAAGGCAAAACGAAATTTATCTACAATTCTATTGCGACTTACATACTTCCATAAATGTTTTTAAGAGTTAAATTTCAAATATTTGATAATATGAAATATCTTTGTTTTTAGAAGTACATAGGTATTTTTGTTAAATTTAAAAAAAAACTTTAAATTTAATTTAAATTAAAAATATATTATTTAAAGGCAAAATATTTGTTTAATTCATTTAATAAAAATAAATTATTTAAATAATATTTTTTAATATTTATTTTAAATAAATTTTAAATAAATAAATTTAATGAATAATTAAATATAAATCATGTAAAATAAATTAAGTAAATTCTATGAAATAAAATAAATTATGTTAAGTAAGTTTTGGAATAAGAAAGAAAGACATATTTTTATTAAATAAACAATAAATTAATAACATTCACAGAAATAATTTATTTTACACAACTTAAATAAATATTACAGTGTTCAGGTAATATTAAAGATAAAGTTACATGAATTATTTTTTTTTATAATTAAATATTACTATCATAATACGCATTTTGAACAAAAAGAGAAAAATAACACTCAGAGTAGCATTTATTACTATAAAAAATGTTTTTTATATAATTTATGATAAACATAATTTTCAAATGACTAGTCCATTTTTTCTTCACTCCTTCTCTTTTTTGTTTTATTAAAAAAAATTTTTTTTTTTTGATTATACATTTTAAATTTGGTTACATTACAAAAATACGTAGTCTAAAAATGATTTAATTTTTCACGTAGTTAAAAAAATTATCTTCCAATAAAATATACGTTCCACTATTTATTAGAAAATTAATTTTTTTTCTCGTCCAGTTAGAATGGGAAAAATTTAAAATAAAGAAAAAGAAATTGAATGAAATTAATAGAATATAAAAGATTAAAATTTTTTTCCTTCTTTTAAAGATTTTTTTATTATGAAAAATATTTATTGTTTTCTTGCAATTTATTTAAATAATGATAATAGTTTATAATAAATATTATAATATTAAATGTTTAAACAAAAAAAAAGTAAATAAAAAAAAGAAAATTATTTATAAACAAAAAATGAAATATAAATAAAATTATTATTATATTTATTCATTATTTATTAATATAGATAGAAAATAGTTTCAAAATTTTTCGAAAACCAAAAATAAAGAATTAAAATGATGAATCGAGAGCATATCTATAATAAATCTACTATTTTACAAATTTGACACATGATGAAACAATTTATGAATTTTTTTCACACTTGTCAAATGACATAATAAATATTATTTATATAAAAATGTATTAAGCGAATCTGTATACAGAATTACAGATAATAGAGCCGATAATTATATGTACTTTAGGCTAGTGCATTTTTTTTCGAAGCAAAATTATATAATAATAATAATAATATAATAATAATAATAATAATAATAATAATAATAAAAATAATTGTAGTAACAGTAATTATAGTAATAATAATAATAGTAAAACAGTAATTACAATTTATGGCCACAATTCCAATTTATAATTATTTTTTTTTTTTGCGTAAGAAAATATAGAAATGAAAATCAAACAAAAAGCACATTATTTAATATTATCAAATTTTCTTGAAAGATGCCCGTTATTTTCTTCAGTAATCAGTAGTATCGGGACCTGAAAATAAAAAAAAAATTCTATATTTCTTGAATAAAAGAAATTATAATTTTTTTATACCTTTTTGTTTTAGAATAAAAAAATTTAAAACAAAGACTGATGCAAAATAGTGGGATAGAGCAAATCAATAAAATATGTACTAATATTTAAAGTACTATTGGTAATTAATTACATTAAAAAATAAATAATATTAAATCAATGAAATATTAATTACAATATTTAATTTTTATTAAAATTGGTAAATAATAATAAATAAAAAAAATGATTATAATTTATGTTAATAACAATGAAGAAACGACAATTTATCATTAATTTAATACCAATGTTAATTAATTATTAAAATTTATTCATTTAGATTAATTAACATTTGCCCTCATGAGAAAAAATAGTTTAAAAAAAAAAAATAACTTAAAAAAAATTGAATAAAGCGTTTAGACATATTAATAAAGCAAAATACAAATGACACAAAGTGCAATTCAAAAAAAAATTATTTTGTTAATAACAATTATTGGAAGGAATGCATTTTTTAATTATATTTTCGAATATTTGTTAAAGAAGAAAAATGTATTTTTTATTTTCTCTAGAAACTTTGAAACGAAAATATAATTTTTATTGTTAGATAAATTTTAATTATTCATAAAATTTCGCGTTGAAAAAGTTTTGACTAAACGATTCTTAATGACAAGGAAAAATAAAAGAGGCACGTGAAAAGACTATAAAAGAAATCAACTCGAGAATTTTAGAAACAAAAATAAACAAAAACAAACCTAGCATGCTTAAAAGATAGTATAGCAATAACGTGTCAAATGTTTGAAGTTTAAATTTTTTTTTATTTATGTAAATAAATTAAATATAAAATTTAAGAAAATTAGTTAATTTTAAATTTCGCGCGTAAATGACGCGGTCAATGAAAGATAGACGATCTACTGCGCTTGCGCATATGAATTCACATTCATTCGCGCAAGCGCAGTAGATCGTCTATCTTTCATTAACCGCGTCATTTACGCGCGAAATTTAAAATTGACTAATTACAAAATTAACTTATTTCGCTTATAAGCGAAAAAATTTTATGAGAGTGAACCCCTGATTCTCACCTGATGACAACTAAAACGTTGAAATTGAATTTTTCGAATTAATAATTAACGAATAATTAACGATTTTACAAAGTTCCCTATTTGAAAATTCGTAATTATTGAATAGGTGAATAATACAATGGAAAATTTCCACAACCATCATGCAATAAAAAAATTTCCAACCATATTAACAATTTGACACGTTATTTCGTACTTTAACGAAAAAAATTATTCAACTATCACATTTCGATTATATGAGGACGCAATTTGGAAAGTATAATCATAAAGGGAAGAATATTTAGAATTCCATAATCTATCGAATCAAAAGGCGGTCAACATCAAGAAATATAGAGAGAATGAAAAAAAATACAGAAAAAATAATATATGTACCGATAGAAAAAAATCACGTATCTCGCCTTGTACCTTCCCCGGGCATCGTGGCCCAGTCTTGCGGATTAAAGACAAAATTCGTCGTGCACTTCCGTGTTGACCGGATGCTCGGTCTCAAACTACCCTGGGGTTAATCAGCATTGGCTATTTCTCAATGGATTATCATTGGGAAAGGATAATGTCAATGGATTCATACAACAATCACTTATTGTTGATTTCAAATCGTTGGGAACGTTTTTTGAACTTCGAATTCTGGGACAGAGAACATTCACCTTGTATGTCCAATGGGGTTTTTGACTGTCGAGAACTTTGTGTGCCATCGATGGCAGTATATCGGGATCGTTGTCAGATTTTGTAGATTTCCACGTTTGGTAGTAGCAGTCCTGTGTTGATTTATCAGGTTCATAGACGGGGGAATATTCCGGCGATGTCATTCCACTGGAGAAATTGGAAGAATAATGATCGTCGTGAGTAGTTGATTGTATGTGGAGATTTAGGTGTTCGGGTCGATCTTCTTGGTGGCTATTTGAATCGTTGGTCAAGAGTCGGAATAGCCTCGAATGGGTTTGGGTCCTTTGGTACTTGCTTTGCTTCCTTGTAGTAACTGTACAACATTCCGAATCTGTATCAACTTCGGAGATAATTCGACTCATGTCGGATGTGACACCACTGTCTTCGTCGTCAGTTTCCTCCCTTGAATTCTGTACACTTAGTAAATTTTTCGATTTGCTTCTGCTGCAGTTTTCGTCAGGATCCTGATCCAGATCGTCATTCTCTGGCGGGTGGGTCTTTTCGTTTTCTTGTTCAATTTGTTTCGATGGCAAATCAGAAATTTGTGATAAACTATAAACTTCTAATGATGAATGGTAATTATCAGAAGTTGAACCACTGGTTGCCAAGTCGTAGACAACATCCGAGACCCTAGATTCGTAGAACATTTGAGAATTATATTCCGATTCATCGGTTTGTAATTGTTCCATAACATCCGTTCGCGTTTCATTGACTGTAAATTCCGTTTCGATATTTTCAATTTTAGGTAGTCCGTGAGGTAGATCCTTATCGGGTGTCGATTGCTTCTTTCGACGGAGTGTGAAATCGACGTGAACTTCATCATCTTTGGGAGAAATTTTTTCCGTTTGTTGTATTGTACTGTCGCCGACAATTAGAGTAGTCACGTCTTGATTATTCTCCGACACGGAGAATCGAAATCTCAGTGGTAGACTGACGCTAACGGTGTTGGCATTATCATCATCGGGAAATTCTTCTGTCTCTGTATTCGTTTTTGGGGAATCCTCTACAATGACGCTTAAACGATGTGGAACATGTTGATCTACTTCGCACTTTTCTTCATAAAACGTTTTTTCGTTGTCTTCATACATTGGACATTCCTCGTCCTGATCCTCAGAGTCGGAATCCAATTTATCGGATAGCAAAGACTGATCTCCCGAGACGGTAGTTGCGGATAAAGACTTTTGAAAATGGGACTCTGGATTAAGACCCGTTGAGTAGGCTAAAAACGATTCCGAATCATCGGAAGAACTCGAAGATCTAGTCTTTTCTTTGGAGGAGTTTAGGGATTCTGAATCCGAATCGGTGTCATCGTCTGTGCATGGTGTGACGATTATTCTCGTCTCTTGAGATTCAGCCTCGAGAAAATCGTTTGAGTAAAGTTTATCATCCACGGTTTTCAAATCCTGAATTTTCTCATTTGGTGACTTTTCTGGTAATGAAAATTGCATCTCTGATTCGTGAACATTCTGCTGGAATGACGCTGGAAAATTTGGTTTGCAAAGAGGATAACAAATGTAACTATTACCATCTTCGTCAGTATAAAAAGTGTAGGGTTGATTATTTGGATTGGTATTTGGAATACTGGGTGCTATGGGATGATAAGTCCACCAACCACCGTCGGAGCATGAAAAATTATTAGGACATGGGGGATAAAAGATAGCCTGCTGATTACCCGGTATGTTATTCTCAGTTTCACTGATGAAATCAGCTTGCCAATTTTCTTGCGTGGCTATAACAAAACAGCATATTGCATTCAAGAAAAAAAAATTCAATTTCAATTCTCACGCGTTTATTCTCCCCCTCGACTCTGTCTTAAAGTCTTATAGCAGCGTAAATATTCTGTCATTTTATTCTTGAAAACTTTTTTTAAAAAATAAAAACTTACTTCTTGAACAGCAAATCAGAATTTAAATTTAAAAAAAACCGATAATTTTAAAATCTCCCGATAAGTTTAATATATTTCTAATTCACGTTAAAAATTAGTAAATGTACAATATTTGATAGGAATTATTATAATTTTAGCAAGTGATGAGCAAGAACGAGACGCTTGATCCTGTGTTCAAAGGAAATCGATTTCCGGGCCACGATGAAAGGTTTCTTTTTCTCTCTCCCATATGAATATACGGTATTTAAAAACTAATAGAAATTAATATTCTGACAATTTTTTTGGAAATGGATGACATGCTGCAAAATAGTGATGGGATAATATAACATATATTAAATAATCGATTGCTATTTAAATATTTATCTATATAAACAAATTTCACATGCATAAGTGACGCAATATTAATGTTTAAAAAAAAAAAATGTACGTATTATCGTAACATGCACATTCCCATGTCAAATTTTCACATTCCTCTTTTCTGTGCATATCTACTTTTACTTTTTTTGCCGTCTTTCAATGAGTAATTTTTTATGATTTGGGCGACAAAATTTGTAGCTGGTAAAGATATTATTTTTAAATTTTAATGACTTCAGGAGTCCTTTACCGAACCGATGCATTTCGGGTAATACGAACTATTTAAAATTTGAAACTGAACTTGAAAACAAATTCAAGACTCATCGAAGTGACTTAAAATATAGTCGCATCTTTTTAAGCACATCGAAAGTAATTAAATGCAATTTTGCAGAAAATCCCAGCTGTGCTCCCTTTTTCAAAATTTGGAAAGAAACGTTATTCCTTGTTCAGTGTTCAACGGAACAATTTTTGATCATCCTGCTTTAATTTATACTTTCATTCACTTCCCGTAATTTATATTTTTGATTTTCGTTCGGGATATTTTTTGAACACCATTAAATAAGAATTTATTTTACACAAATATATTGCAAACATTTAAAGAAGCAAGAATGGAAAAATTTTAGTTTTTTCGGAATTTGGAATCATCGCAGAAACGTAAAATGTATTCGTGCGGTGATTATTATCGAAAGAAAATTTTCGTCATTCCTGTGAACACAGGATTTGGATGAAACGTTCTGGCGATTCGTCTTATTCAAAATTTGTTTTTTTTTAAATTCAATGTACATTAGTGCGTCATTAGATGGTAATATTTTTTAACATTAATGTACAATGGCAAAAGAAGCGTTTGATGATTAATTTATGAATATGTATATATTGCAACACTTTTGTACCAGTGAATCATCAAGACATCGTTATTTGAAGTACGATATTATTTTTTTCTTGCGATTATTATTATTAATATATTACTATTATTTTTTTTATATTAAATTTTAGTTAAGAATTTAATGGGGACTTACCAATAGCCTCTGGGGTGGTCATTGCTTGGAGTATCCTAAACGATCTCGATGGAATTGCACTTCCTGTGTATTTTTTTGGTTCCGGTACAGTTTGTTCGCTTGCTGGTAAATTCACTTGCACTTCCTCTGTAAATTTTTTTTGGGGATAAAGAAGAAATTAGTTTTATGTTAGAGAGAAATTAGAATAACACAATAAGACGGCACAACAAGACATAATTTTGTTTTGTGAGATTTACCAAAAGATTTTGAGTTTCTATTTTGTTTCTTAAGTGCTGAATTAACGGCTCTTGGGGCTGGAAGAAAAAAGTTGTGTATCAATTTTGAAGAAGTGGAATGTTGTCAAAAAACAGCAATGTGGTAGAGTATGTAATAGGGTAAGTGGTAATAGTTATGGCGAAAATTAATATTTGAAAAATATTAATCTATTCTTTATTAGAATAAAAAGATTTAGCGTCAAGATGTATACCTGCGGCGGTTGTAACGTCTCCCGAATCAGTCATATTTTGTAAATAGCGAAAAGCACGTGATGGTATTGCCGAACCACGATATCTGGGATCAGCCTCCTGATGAAGATAAACGTCGCCATCGACTAGAAGAAAAAAAAATTGTTGTCATCAATCAAAATTTTCATAAAGATAGCGATTTTAAGGTATGGACGATAATTTACCTTGTTCCTTGAATTTATTCATGAGGACTTTCTCGTCTTCGGTCAATTGTAATTTCCGTAATTGATCCCCATCAACATCGTCCGCGTCGGTACTTGTGATCTTTTGAAGAACTCGAAATGATTTCGATTGTATGGGTCCAGGTTCCTGAGCAACTGCCGCTGGTCCACGTTGAGTATTCCTAAAGTAGAATAAAGTAGCAAAAATGAACGTTAAAAAAGCGTACTCCTGTGAGCAGTTACTGCATTTGGAGTCGAACTCCCAAAGGTGACAGTATATGTCGATATTGTGTAACGCGACTTTTAATTAAACGAATACTACATTCTGTTGGTTCAAACATACTTACATTTTAGAATTCTGATTGTCAATCGGAACGATTCTAACTTGAGGTTGAGAGTACAATTGCGGAGTCGGCGCTGATTGACCATTTGTTCCATTACTACCTTCCACCATTATCGGTATGATATAGCCTCCAGATTGTTGAGGATCCTGTCTAACTGGTTGGGGCTGATTTTGTGGTTGTTGATACCAACGCGATTGATGATGAGGCTGCGTGTTTTGAAATTGATGATGTCCTGGTTCTTGTTTCACGGAAAATACCGAGGGTCTATCCTCAATCTGTAAAAAAAAGTGGCGATTAGAAATGATTGTTAGTAATGATCTATTGTATCTAAAATCACAACTTACCCGAAGAGGTACAGTACTACTTAGTGGCTGACTAACATGCTGTTGAGGTAGTGTTTTTGATTGGAACTGTTGTTGTGGAGTTTGTCGATTTTGAAGTTGTTGTTGTTTTGGTTGAAACGGTGGTGCCTGATGAACTTGAATGTAGACTGGGGGTGATATGGGACTTTCGGGTGAAGTTTCCTGTGATTTGGTGACATTGGATCGCCTGGCCCATTCGGGTAATTCGTCCTGTGATTTGGTTTTGTTTTGAAGCCATGGTGTTGGGGCTTTTGACAGTTGCACTTGAGTGGGTGAGGTAGGTGACGTTGGCGTTTCTGGTGAATTTGGTTGTGAATTATTTATGATAATAGGGGTCATTTTAGTTTCGACTTTTACTCGTGGTTGTTCTGGAGCTGATGAATGTCTTTCTGGCGCTGAACATAAGAAAAGTTGTTATATAACCTGGTCGTCTGATGACTAATCTACCTAGACGTCTAGGTAGATAGGTCCAAGTCTAAATAAATGGTAGCTAAAAATGAAAATTACCAGGAGGTGGTACTCGATTAATTTGCACATTTGGAGGTCTGTTGGCTGCTGGTGGCGATGGGATGGTTGATGGGAAGACTGGAACAGCAACTTGTGGTTGTATGTAGAGATTAGCTGCTCCTGGTGGAAGTGGTGCTTTGGGTTCAAGAGCAGACTTTGGAGGACCCTCGATACCTTCATCATTGGCATTTTTCGCCACTCTACGTGCCATTCGTGGACTTCTTATTTGCGAGAGGTCCAATTTCCCCCCCATTCCGGGAGTGTAAGTGAAGGGCTTCTTGTCCTTGGTCATCATTGCGTTTTGAATAGCGGCTGGCGGCTCATATGGATCGGATGCTACTTGCGGTCTTCTAGGTCCGCATGACTAAAATACAAAATAGTCAACTACAATTCTATAATTTTAGATTCTGTATTCCAAACTGTGATTCAATTATGTTTAGCAATTATTGAGAAACTTTTGGGATCCTTCGAAGAAGTAGGAGAAATAATCATACCTCGGAAGTGTTGATTCTTAGAGTTGGTATTGGACCACCTATTGGAGGAGGTGGTGGAGGCGGTGGCACAGGACCGAGTCCTTAAAAAATTATTATTAATTACTGAACAATTTTTTAAGACGTCACCTCAATGTTCTTAATAAAACAGTTTTTTTATTAAAAATCTTGATCTCGATCTTGATGTAGTTTTAGGTATCGAATGATTTTTTTAAAAAACTCTTCATGGTTAAAATAAGCTTTCTAAAGGGGTCGTCCTTCTAAAAAGGAATTCTAAATTCTTCCCGCAAATAAATGTTTTGTACAGCAACTATTAATAATGGGGCGCATGATTATTCCCCAAATGTCATTTTTCCGAAATGTCATTTTACCGAACTGCACTTTTGCGAATAGTCAATTTTGAGAAAAGCCAATTTTGCGAAATGTCACTTTTGCGAATTGTCATTTTTTCGAAAAGCTATTTTTGCGAATTGTCATTTTTGCGAATCGCAATTTTTACGAATTGTCAATTTTCCGAAAAGTTATTTTTGCGAATCGCCATTTTTACAAATTGTCAATTTTCGGAAAAGTCATTTTTGCGAATTGTCATTTTTACGAAAAGACATTTTTGTGAAATGTCATTTTTGCGGAAAGAGATTTTTCTGAAATGTCATTTTTACGATTAGTCATTTTTGCGAAAAGTCATTTTTGCGAATTGACATTTTTGCGAATTGTCATTATTGAGAAATGTCATTTTTGCGAATTGTCACTTTTGCGATTTGTCAATTTTTCGAAAACTCATTTTTGCGAATTGTCATTTTTACGAAAAGACATTTTTGTGAAATGTCATTTTTGCGAAAAGCCATTTTTGCGAATAGTCATTTTTACGAATTGACATTTTTGCGAATTGTCAATTTTCCGAAAAGTCATTTTTGCGAATCGCCAATTTTACGAATTGTCAAATTTCCGAAAAGTCATTTTTGCGAATTGTCATTTTTGCGAAAAATACAATAGAAACTTGTAGGTATCTATAAATTCACTATTGTATTTTTCGCAAAAATGACAATTCGCAAAAATGACTTTTCGGAAAATAGACAATTCGTAAAAATGGCTATTCGCAAAAATGACTTTTCGGAAAATTGACAATTCGTAAAAATATCGATTCGCAAAAATGACAATTCGCAAAAATAGCTTTTCGCAAAAATAACAATTCGTAAAAATGGCAATTCGTAAAAATGGCGATTCGCAAAAGTAACAATTCGCAAAAGTGACATATCTTAAAAATGACAATTCGCAAAAATAGCAATTTGTAAAAATAGCAATTCGTAAAAATGACTTTTCGCAAAAATGGCTTTTCGCAAAAATGTCTTTTCGTAAAAATGACAATTCGCAAAAATGAGTTTTCGAAAAATTGACAAATCGTAAAAATGGCGATTCGCAAAAATGACAATTCGCAAAAATGAGTTTTCGAAAAATTGACAAATCGTAAAAATGGCGATTCGCAAAAATGAGTTTTCGAAAAATTGACAATTCGTAAAAATTGCGATTCGCAAAAATGACAATTCGCAAAAATAGATTCTCGTAAATATGACAATTCGCAAAAGTGACATTTCGCAAAATTGGCTTTTCGCAAAATTGACTATTCGCAAAAGTGCAGTTCGGTAAAATGACATTTCGGAAAAATGACATTTGGGGAATAATCATGCGTCCCTTAATAATTGTTTCAAATACTAATAGATAATTTTCTTTTACTAGAAAATTTAAAGTTTAATTTCGATTTAGAGAATATTTTCAAGGTTAGCTTCTAGTATGTCAACAAGAATCCTAAACGGGAGGTATGCTTCCCTCCATAAGAGATTGTATAACTAGGTCAAGTTTTGTTAAATTTACACATGTAAACTTTTAATGTTAATGTTTATCTCATCACATTTAGATAAAATTTCACATTTTCAAAAACGGGATTTTCATATTTACAAAAATAAGTTTATTAATAAAATATCTTTACCCGGCGCTGCTGAGCCAGAGTTTCTGCAACAAAAAATAAAATTTCCCTCTTATTACTGACATAAAAATTATCACTATTAATTAACAGTAATCAATACGAAATTAAAAATATGAAATCAAGTAATAATATTAGTTATTTATTCTTCAAAATCATAAAATATTATTTATTAACTGTTAATTATGGATTGTATTACAAATCAGTTAACACTTATTTAAAAAATTTTTCTTTGTTATAATTAAAAAAACTGCTATTTTAAACAAAATTTAATTAATACACATTTACCGAACACTTTTTCTTTTAATTATCACGTTTAATAATTGTGGTTGTTTTTTCTTTTAATTGTTCAGATTGAGACAAGAGTAAGATGCAACCCACACAGTACGTGAGTGAGAATCGTTCGGATGAAGGAATCCATAGTGACTGGTGTAACCTACATCGTTCTGATCGGTAAGTAAAAATCCTGACAAGTGGTACCTGTTAAAGTGGACCTTTTAAGGAAGGAAGTTTTTAACTTTTTGCCTCATGGCTAGGCATTGCAAGGTCATCTTGTATTCTTGTCTTTACATAAACATACATTCAACCGATTACCTCTATACTTTTATCTCAACATAATAAGAGTATATATATACCATAGAAAAAGAATTTCAATTACACTTTAACAAGTTATATCATAAATTGTTTATTTGTTTGAATTAAATCTTTTAATTTTTTTTCCAAAGATACTGCGGTATTTTTTTCTGATTTTTAGGAAAATTTCAAGTTTACAAAAAAACTTGTAAAATTATTTACATTGTTTCTATGGAAACAAAGAACTTCTTTTAATTTACAAAAAATATTTAAAAAGCAATAAGTTTTAATGGTATAATCGATTTTTTTTTGTGAAATTCATTGAAAACTGACAAAATATTTTTAAATTGTATTACTAAGCAATAATATGATGTAATACGTACTATTACACAGTTATTCGTTATACTGTATAAAATTGCGAGATATTAGAAATTTTTAGAATATATTACGAGTTATTACGCACTATTAAAAAAATAATACGGGTTATTACGCGTTATTACGTAGTAGAGAAAAAAAATTAGATTTATAAAATTTGTATTTTTTAAAAATTCGATAACATTGAATATATAGCTTGTATGTGATTTGAGGAAGCCAGATGAGACTCTTTAAGAATAGAATATCGAAGAAGAGGCGAAAACAGAAATGATTTTATTTTGGCACACACACGTTGACACGTGGACGCGATTTATCACACGTTTTTCACAATAAATTTTATTCATAAAATTATTTTCTATGTCCAATTTTATTATTAACTAAATTAAAATACAATTTTCCTTTTGTATTACTCATTATTAAGTTTTATTTATAGAAAAGTAGTTATTAATGGCTGTAAAACATTTTTGTTATGTTATAAATTACTAATATTAATTATGTAATTCTAATTTCTAATTAATTGTTGTTTAATTTAAAATTAGTTTTACGTTAATTATTAATTAACTATAATACAAATTTTTTAATATTATTTTTACGGTAATTAATAATTAATAAAATATTTAAAAAAAGGTTGGAAAAATAAAGTGCCAGTAAATATTTAATTTTAGAAAAATAAATTTAATTTTAATAAAAGAAAAAAAGTAAAAGAATAATGATTTTCAATAATGAGTATTATTGTTTCGAGGAACGAGAATGAGTCGGATAGAATGTATGTGCGTACTCTCACAGTATATATAAATGCATTATGTGAAATTTCACCGCGTTTTTAGACGCCCACGATTTGTCGAAAAATATTCACAAAATTCTAAAGCATCATCGACCCGATTTATTTTTTTAGGGATATTGTATAAAATTGTAGAAGACAAAGAAAATTTTTCCCCCTTCTTAAAAATGACCATTATAGTTTAGGATTTAAAAGAAATTTTTTTTTCAGTTTTTGATATATGAAAAAACTTTTTTTAGGTCACAAATAATTATGTTATTTGACAATAGTTAAACTTGTGACGCAGTTATGAATATTTCTCACTTGAATTGAATGCACTTTATTTTTGGATCAATTTCGAAACTTTATATTATGTTTACCAAGTTTTTGTGTATTCTGAACTTTGTAATGAGGAAATTTTTATAATTTAAAGGGAGAAGAAAATAAGAAAAAGAAAAATTTAAATATTTAAATTTAAATACAAAAAATCTTTTTTATATTTATTTGTTGTTCTATTTATATTTTGTAATTTTTTATTGTTATTGTTTTTATTAAAATTGTGAATTTTTATTTATTTCAAAAAGTGATGGATTTATTAAAAATATGTTTTAATTGAAGAATTACAAGAAAATTTAAGATCTGTTTTTATTGAATATTTTAGTTGTAATAAAGACTTAAACATAAATAATTTATATTAGTAGTAATTTAATAATTAACAAATTTTTATTATAAAAAAAAAATTTATATTCTCTTTCTGTATTTTTACTTCAAAAATTATAAACATAACCAAAAATTGGTTGCTTCTTAGGTACTTTTCATGTAATTATTTTTTTTATTGTGGAATTTTTTTTTTTTATTTTTTTAAATTAATATATCAAGAAGAAATGAATGAATGTAGGTATAGATTTTTTTTTAATCATCGAGAAAAAGTATATAGTCATCATCTCGCGAAACGAATTGTAGACGCGTCTCTGGGGCTCACGGGAACCCAGCCAAGGCGCTATACAAGCAATAGAAATGTATTTAGGTGGATACGTTAAAAGCGCGTTTAATTTTAGAGTAGGCTGACCTGCGCTTTACAAGTTGTGTATAAAATGCCTTCGATTATTTTATTTTTAGTATTTTTTTTCTGCGTTAAATTTTTTTCTTCTTCCTCCCCGCACCCCTTCTATATAAAGCAGGTCCCTTAAATTTTAAATTAATGGCAATGGGGGATTAAATAAAATTTAAGAAAACAAATTTTATTTATAAATTTATACGTTTTGTAATATATGTTTTTTATAATATATTTTTCTATAATAAGTAGTTCTAACATCCGATTTTATATTATCGGCAATAATACCGACAGATGGTAATAGATTCTAGAATTGCTATTGGACATTATTTGGAAGAGAATAAAGGGTAAATTTATATGACTGTTGGTAGAAAAAAATTTTGCAAAAAATTTTGCAAAAAATTTTGCAAAATCGCCTTTATATCGAGCTGTAAAAGTATTTCTACAATAGCTTTAAAATACATTTGTTTTGCCTGATTTAGAGTAATTGTATATTTTGCATAAAATTTACAATAATTTGCTTTGAATTTTATTAATGAATCCAGGCAAATGCATTTTCAAGCTATTGTAGAAACACCTTTACAGCTTCGTGTGAAGGCGATTATGACATTTTTTGGTAAAATTTTTCTTTCACATACTCGTAACTACCCATCTCTGCATACCCAACCTTTTTAACAACAGTGTTTACTTGCGATGTGATTCGCGTCGACTAGTTGACTTTGTTTTGTGTTTTTAATAATATCTACTAATTTTTAAAAAGTGGAAATATAAAAAAGTGAATTGGACATTATTTAACGATAAAAAATTTAATAAGTAGAAAGAATCATACATATTTTGACTAGATAAAAATACAACACACAAATCCATCGACTGTAGGAACTCCAATACGTTCGATTGAAAATAGCGTTAAAATGAATGAAAATTTACGTTACAATTATGTTTTAATTGTAGTAAAAATGATCGTCTATGAATAACAAGGTTAAATAAACCAAAGTTATGGTTGGTGGAGTTGGGCAGTGAGGAGGAGAAAATGGATGTGATGAGGCTAAAAACGAGGTTGAAAGGAAGTGTGATAAGAATTGATGAGGATAGAACATGGAGAGAAAGAAGAATTATATGGCTGTTGAGAGAGAAAGAAGGAATGGAAGTAGTTTAGATGGTCAAAAATTTTGAGGTTAAGAGAAAGCGAAAAAAGTCAGTAAAGGCAATTCGAACTGGAAACGAAAACCCTGGTATTGGCGATTTTTGATAGGTTAGGTTATTTTTTGTAAGGTTAAGTTTTTTGTTTTTGTAAGTCTGTAAGAAAATTATATTTGGATCTTCTAAAACTTGTTTAATGCATAGAGAATAATTAAATTATATTGTTTATTATTATTTATCCCGAGTACAATTTTTTTTATTTATTATTCATTTCTACTACTACTAAAATCTGTAAAAATTTACCGACCCTCTAAAGGTTAATAATAATAATAATAATAATAGTAGAAGGAAAAATTATCGATAAAAAAAATTATTTATTATTCTTTTTTCTTTTAATTATAATTTTTCTCATTGTTTTTCATTAAATTTTTTATTATTATAAAACGAATGCCGTCGATCCGGAGCGAAATTTAAAATTGAGCTTCAGGACTAATCCGTGCTCTATTGAAAGTGTTAAAAATATCCTATTGCCAGTTGAGTCAGCACGTGGCAATGAACAATTTTCTCGATACCTTCGATCAAAAGGTCATTCACTTTATTGCCGAATTGAAAATTTATTTTTTCTTTTATTCTTTCTTTCTTTTTTTTTCTTTGTTGTTTTTTTTAAATGAAACGTTTCACTCTATGCTCAGGATTTTCATTTAAAAACGAAACTTAATTTTTTTCGCTTATTAAAAAAAAAAATATTTTTATTAAAGCTTTTTTTTATGCATATTTTGGAATTTCGATTTTTTTTCTTATATAATTTCTTTTCTTTTTTTTTTATTTTCAACTAAAATGACACGACCCATTGACCTATTTTTGAAAGATTCAAATAACTCCTCGCGTCTTTTCTACGCGGTCAGACCAGCGACACTTTTAAATTAGAATCAAATTACATTTAAACTTTATTATTTGAAAATATAAAAAATTAAATAAACATTCGTATTTAATAACTTTATTATTTTTAATAATAAAATTTGTAACTTTAGATATTTCTATATATATAAAGAAATATATATATTTACTTATTCAAATAATTGTTATAATAATTTAAATAAATAATTAAAATATTAAATAATTATTTTTAAGTTTTAATTATAAAAGAAAATTTTAGAAGTGGAAAATTATTTTTCAAATTGAACACAAATTTATAAAGGTTAGAAAGTAATAATAAACAATTTATTGTTACATTGATGTACATCAGTTGTGAATAAATTGTATAATTAATGCAATTAGTTAAATTAATTAAGTCATACATTTGCACTATTAAAGTACTTGATCTAAAAGAATCTAGTTATTACCTTAATTTATTTAAATTAATTGATTAACTGAATTATTCAAACTAATTAATTAAATTTATTTATTCAATTAATGAAACTAATAAATTACATTCATTTACTCATTTAATTAATTTAATTAAGTTAGTTAATTAATTCTATTAAGTCAACCTCACTATTTATAAACGTAAATTCAAAATTAAACGTTTCGAAATTAAAAATTATTTTCTTTTTAGTTTTTTTCTTATGTAACTTTACCGCAATAATTCTAAAAGTGCGTTGAGTGTTTTTTTTTGTCCATAAAACACATTTTTCCAAGGTCACTGATTTTTAAACTAAAACTTAAAAATAATCCACTAATTATAAAAAAAAATTTGTAAAAAAAATAAAAAAAATTTTTTTTTTGCATAAAAATGTTAGCATTTTTTGTCTAAAATATCACACGTGCAAAGACATAAATAGTTTTTTTTGTTTCATATAAAATCTTACCCGGGAAATGTGGCTGAATTCATAATTTGGATCCACAATAATTGTAAGGGTCCAATAAGAATTTTTACTTATCGATGAAAAAAAATGCACAAGTCACAAAATTTTCCTTATTCTTGATTTAAAAAAAAAATTTTTTTACTTTTTTTTTTTGTAAAAAAAACGTCTATTATTGCAGACGTCTATTGTTGAAAAAAATAAAATGGACCAACAAAACGCGATGCCGACACTAGCGCACACTTGCCGCTACTGTGGTACAGTGCTAAATCCGCGGCTGTTGAATCCCAATCGTTTCTGAATCGTTGAGATCACTCTTTACTATATTGCTAACCAAGAAACAGTAAAGCAAGGAAACTTGAATAATTTCCAAATTTAACATTAAAGATTAACACGTCACTTCCTACCAGTAATGATTCATACCCGGAATTTTGTTTTAATTCTCATTTTTCCCGCCATTTTTTGTTATAATAAACAGAAAAATTTATGATTTCATTATAAAAATATTATTTACTAAAAAATAATTATTTACTATTAATTAAATAATTATTAATATTGTAATTATAATATTAATTATTAATGAACTAGTTTTCATTAATAATTTTTTAATCCAATATTTATTCATTTTTAATTATTTATTATTTAACAATATTAAAAATAATGTTTTATTTATGTTTCAATATATATAATAAAAATAGCATTATAAGACACTGACATCTTGATTTTCTAAAAAATGAGAAAAAAAAGAAAAATTGTTTCAAAATTTATATTTAGAAAGAGCAAATAATCCTTGAAATTAATTTTTAGACTCCGGAAGATAATAGAATGGAAATAAGAAATAATCACGATTTTTTTTGTTAATCGGATTTTATTTGTTGATTTTTTATAGCAAAATAAAAATTCTATCCGATTAGGTATTGACAGACCAAAAGTATTTTTATTTTGATAATAGTAAAAGACAACGAAATACAATGAAATATAATTTTTTTTTATTTCGTAGAATAGAATAAAAATCTGACTAAAATATAAGCTAATTTTGGACTTTAAATTTGTTTTACAAAAAATAAATAGAAGAAGATTAAAAACCGGTTAAACTTTTTTTCAAAAATATTCTGACTTGTCTCTAATTGAAATTTTTTGTCATTTTTATATTTTTGCACAATTGAGATTAATTTCTTTTGAGAATTATTCATAGCAAGCCATAGTTTTTTTTAAAATTAGATTTAAATGATGATAATAAATATTTATTATTTAATTTATTAAAATAAATATTAATTTAATTAATATTTATTACTAATTCAAATTTTTTAAAATTCTGTTTTAAATTTTGTCTCTGTTTTGTTTCAAGATATTTAACCCCTTAACTGTTTGAAACTCCGAAAACCATGAGTAACAAGTTTCTAGAAAAATGGTGAACTTTTAAAAATTTTAGGTTTCCATTTTTGTTTAAAAAATTTTGAAAATTCGTCCGCCATATTTAATTTTTGAAAAGTAGCAATATATTCGTAACCAGCGATTCCGATAACCCACGAGTAACAAGTTTCAAGCAAAGTTACGTAAATTTTAAAAATTTGTTCGCCATATTGGATCCGCCATTTTGAATTTATGAAAACTGATGTCTTATTTGAAATCAGCGATCCTGAAAAAAACCTGAGTTACAAGTTTCAGGCAAAATTATGTAAATTTTAAAAATTCGTTCGCCATATTGGATCCGCCATTTTGAATTTTTGAAAACTGATGTCTTAGTTGAAATCAGCAACTACGAAAACCTGAGAAAAGTTCTGAGAAAAGTCCGAAATGAAAAAGATCTTCGCCATTCGCAATCAAAGGGGTTAAGCTGTAAATCTTTTGTAATTGTAAATTATCAATGAATTTAGCAAATATAACCGCCCGTCGCTTTGCTAACAATATTTTGAAAAAAATTGACAATATCCCATTGTGAACATATCGGTTTCCCGTAGCCTTTACCCAGGGAATATGGTGATTCTGAATTTGTATTTAAATAATAACGACCAGTTCGATTTGATGTTTGATTAATTGATCCCATAATATCGTCATACGATGTGCAGACATTATACTTGAAGGCACTATAATCGTCACACTGAAGTGAATAAAATGGATGCGATGGATTTGCAATTGATTCGGCGTAATACATATAGGATCTTGAATGTGAACACGCCGCTGTATAAAGTAAATCCTCACTTTCACAGCCTGGCTGAAACATTCCTCCATTTGGATAGAAATCATAATCGCCAACTGTCTCCGGAAGACCTAAAATTCCAGCGTCCGTGTGAATTACTTCGACGAAATCTGCGTCACCAGTGGAAATTCTTTCTGACGGTTCAACGAAACGAAAGAGAGGCATTGCCGGATCGAGTCCTGTTGAAGAAGATGAATATAATTTTTAATTGTTCGAATTTAAGGTTAATTCCTCAAATTAGAATTGAACGTGTTCAAAATTAATTTCTTAGATTTGCTGCAAGAATGCTTAATATTCCTTTTGATTGTCATACGCATGATGATTCTTTTGACGATAATACCACAAAAGCAGCATTACGTAACATTATATTTAATAGAAACTGATATTTTTCACACACAATGAAGTATCAACCTAGATTTAAGTAAAATAAATGTATTGTTCATATTAGTTTCAGGAGTACTCTTGTACGAAAGGGCATGTCCCGTTATGTTTCTTAAATAAATAAATAATATAGAATAATTACTTTAACATACCAATAAGGTATTTTACTCTTCTTTTAACATTCTTTCCAGCAATTCCCATTATATGTGCACCAAGCGAATGTCCAACAAGTGTTGTTGTACCTTCATCCATTCCATTGTCCTCTAAAAATGATAGCATTTTACCAACGTGAACTCCAATTAGTGGCACTAATAACCTTGCCAATAAATATGAATCTTTCGATGCAGGACTCCAATCAATGACGATTACGTTTGAATCGGATTTATTCAGAAACGCTGAAAAGAATTTTGTAATAAATTTTTTGTAGATAGGTACGAAATAATTTTTGATCAGCATATGCTGCAGGTATTGCAATAAATTAAAATAAAATTTAAAAAAAATACCATCTCGTATCAAGGTGCATGACGGTCCATCGCCAGAAGTTAAATAACCGTGCGTAATTAATTTAGTTGCTCGTCTCGTATTAAAATGACTTTTATTCAAACTATCACTATTATTGAATTTCAAAATTTCATAATCGCCCAATATTTCCAATGTGTATAAACGAAATGACACTATTGTATTTAAATCAATATTTGTTCTATTATTCTTATTTATTGTAATTTCTTTCGGTACTTTAATACTCTCATTTGTAAATGTGAGCTTCGTAGGAACTTTATCCTTTTTATCATCTTCAAAATACACTAGTGATCTAGTGAGTTTTTCAATTTCATTAAATATGTAATCTTTTACAAGTTGAGTGTGATTTTGTAAAACATCGTTAATTTCATTTATCCATTCAATTGTTACTGAAAAGAAACAATATATTTCAATTTTATTTTTATTCTTTCCACAAATTTTAATTTATTATTTTAATTTGTTTCCTTAGTAATAAAACGAATTTCAAGCAAAGTAGTACTTACTGGCTTGCACAAGAGGAATTAATAAAATTACGACCATTAATTCTTTCATTGATATTAATTTTTTAAAGTCTATAAATTTAAAAATTCGTAATTATTAATAACATCTACTATCGTTTTACAAAAAAAAATTTTGAATTTTTTCGCCGAACTAAAAATGTAAAAAGAAATAATTATAATAAATCGGTATTTTTTTCTAATTTGTTTTATACATAAAAAATGTTGCAACATGGAAAAATTTAATATAATCTATTTAAACGTCATAAAAGACTAATTTTTTTTTAAATAATGCATCAAATAAATAAAAATGACTCACATCGAGCATAAATTAAAATTTACTTCATTCCTTCACTATTACTAAATACACAATAAACAAAATCTTATCTATAACTGGAAATGCCAATAAGGTAAATACAGTATTAGTTTCTCATTTTTATTATATTTATTTTCATTATTATAAAAACAGGAAATACAAACAGGTAAAGAAGAATATAATTATTATTTTTTTATTAATATAATTATCAGTAAATTGTAAGGGATTAAAGAATAATTCTATAGAATTAAAAAAAGTAGAAAAAAAATTTAAAATAAAAATATTACGTGAATTAATAACATTGACCCTGGTGAAATATCGTTTTTATACAAAAATAATGTAGACATTATTTTTCACTAAAAAAAATTTTTTTTGATAAAATTTTGATAATTACAGAAAAGATATATGAATTAACTAGAGAGATTTTTACTAGAAACAAATTTTTAGTATTTAACAAATGGTTTTAAGAATTCTTAATAATTTTTTTATTTGGGTTTTTAAAAAATACATATAAACAGTTAAGAAAAGAATTATTATTCCGCTAAGAGTTTGTAAGCTGTGGTCATTGTATCTTGACACAATTTACCACATCTGTCAGGTTTAAATGAATTACCTTCTCCAATTAATTCTAAATCTACTCTACCAATAAAACCCTCCAGTGATGTTAAATCATATGCACCTTCGGCAATAAGTTCAACAGTCCATGTTGCATATGGACTTAACACGCAATTACCATTACCAAATTCTTCATGTAAAGGTGGCGAAAAACTAGAAATTTGATTTCTTTCCTTAGGATATTTAAAATCTAAATTAACTGGTTTGGTTTCAATGAGAAAATTTTTGTTATTAAATTTATAAGTAGAGTCCCCGTGATGTGTTAAATTTACTCTAAAGGTACTTAAAACTCTGAACAAATTATCTTGAATTGACGTATTCACTGAAGTGAAAACAATTCCAATCTTGTTGAATTTTAAAGAGTCAATCGAACCAACGGATCCTTTGGAAATTATTGTCGTCTTATGACCTCTTAAAATATTAGCAATTACTTGATTACTATTTTCTTTTTTCCAAACAAAGAAAGCTTTTCCATCTGTACTACAGCTGCCTCTATATTGATCTGCTTTGTTATTCTCCACTAATTTTCTTTTCTCTTTTTCCACAGTAAAATATTTCAGAAAATTATCAATATTCGCCTTTATTTCTTCTGTAATTTGATTCACATCCTTGTCTACGAAAGAATATGGCCATCCTGTTTCATTTAAATACTCTCCTCCTTTTGGAAAAGAATATTGCTTAAAAGCATAAATCCATTCGTTGTACATGTCTTTTAATTTATTTTGATGAAATACTTTTTTCAATTGAGCTACTGAGGCTGCAAATTTATGGTCTTTGCTTAATATCCTACTCTCTTCAGGCAAATGCAACGCTGTTACAAACGTCGAATCAGATATTTGATTTCTTTGTTGTGATATCTCTTTGTGAATGTCTGTTATAACTTGAAAGGTATTGGAGAGTTTTTGAAGAGTCCAGTCTATATCATCAGTTGTGTGAAACAGTTTTAATGTATCCTTCACTTTTCTTTGTACTTCTTCTAAAGTGCTAAAAACTTTCCAGTTAGCAACTATAATTTCACTTCTATCCATATTATTCATGTTATGTTTGACTTGATTTATATCGGTAAATATTTTATCAATCATAGGTTGAGTTGTACTGTATATACCTTCTTCGATAGTGTACAAATTTTTCAAATTTTTCGCATTAGCTTTTAATGTATTGTCAATTTCATTAACTTTTGTTACATCTGTCATAATGTTTACCATAGTAGCAGATCCAGGTGACAAAACTTCATTACTCACTTTTATGAATTTTAATACGTTTAATTGAATTTTGCAATCATTAAAAGTTATTATATCTTTGTTTTTAATTGCCTGTTGAATATCATTCTTAATAGATATTTCTTCATCTTGAAAATCTGAATCGAATTTATATGATTTGTAACTTGTTAACACTGGTTCTGTTTTTGGTTCTTTGAAAATATTGATGAACTTTTCTTTCATTTTTATAACATTTTCTATTCCGGTATTTGACATGTTCTTCACCATATTTGATATATGATTGTTAAAGAATGATTCTCGTTCACTAGGTTCGATACCTTCTAGAAATTTGTCTGAGACACTTGATACTACCTGACCTAATTTACCAATCTCTGTTACTTGGTCCGCGATATTAGTGTCGGTTTTAAATGATTCAGCAACTGATAATGCTGATGTGCCTACAGCAGCTGCCACTCCGAGTGCTGGATTTAAAACTGATACTACTCCGCAACTGATTTTCAAAATCCCAAATATACCTTTTAACAGCATTGTAGATTGTAACTCTTCACGCTTTTCTATTAATTCATTCTCTTTCTTGGTTGTTGATTTAATTAATTCTGTAATCTCCATTAACAGTGTATCTATTTTTGTATCTAATGTATTCTGTAAGTCATTCATTGAAACTTGTAGTTCATTCTTTATCAAATCTCTGGCCCTTTTTATATGATTATCTATGCTATTTATTCTATTGTTAAGTTCTATTACTATGCTGTACACATCCTCAATTTTTGATAATAGTCCTTTTGGTACTATCCCATTAGAGTTGTAACTATCAGCAATATTTGTTAGTACGGTATACCCTTTTGGTTCCTGGATCACTGTAATTCTTTCTGGAAAGAGAAATAAATCTTTAGATTTATCATTGTTGTTTTAATAACATTTTAATATTACTTTAATACTAGTATTAAAACTTTCAGTTACGAAGATAAATTAAAAGAATATTTACCCTGTATGAGCCAGTGCAAGTTTCTCAAAATATCCTTATAAGTCCTATCATTTTCTTCAGCATAATTTGCATTCTTTATATACTCTTGAAATCTTCTAAACAAATGAACATATGATGATGTAAGACAGTCACGATCTGCCAAGAAAAAATATTGTGATTCCAATCCTGTAAATTCGTCAACTAAACTTTTTGCATCATACAGCTTAGTTATTTCCTGTCGACCATTTAATGAGTCATAAAAAGAATGCACTAATATATTACCGTTAATTTTATTGAATCTAGATCTGATGTAAAATTTATACTCATTTATTGTTTGTGGGAAGTTTTGTATAATGATTGTTGTCTTGGGTAATTGACGCATTTTTAAACTCTTTCCAGTAAGTCCGTCTGTACCTCTTGATCCCGATTCATTAGTAAGTCCTAAAGGTATAAGTAATTCTAATGGTTTATATTTACCAAATATATTTTTCTGTTGACATGTAATTGTTCCTGATTTTCCATTTTGTCCTCCAAATCCTCCAATTCCCCTAACTCCATCAAAACCATCTAAACCAGTATAGTTATTGATTACAACATAACTGTTACCATCACTTTTCGATAAATCGAAGAGAAGAATATTTCCTGCCAAACCCCCTAATCCCTTAGCGCCACCATTTCCTCCTCTTCCACCACTTGTTCCACTATGTCCTTCTACAGTATAGTATTTTCGTGAAAATCCTGTCATCAATCCTCCTGGCACATTGTCAATTTTTGACACCTTAAATCCCGTTACATTTCCTGCCTCACAGTCAAATGCTTTTTTATCCATTAAACTTACACCCGCTCTACCGTTCGTACCATTGCCACCTTCTTGTCCTTTTCCTCCTCGCCCACCATTTGCTAAAATTATTAAATTATGTCCTTTGATCATTTCTTTTGCAACACCATAGAAACTTCCGGCAGATCCTCCCGGTAATCCTGCATTTCCATCTTCTCCATGTTTATTTCCGGATTCATTACCATTCTCTGCTGATTTCTTAAAATCGTCGGCATCTATTCCATCTAAATTAATTTCTCGATTATCTTTTACTTCCCAAATCGGAGCAATTATTGCTAACTGTATCTGCCTGCCTTTCAAATTAATATCTTCGTCGATAATAACTTTCTCTTCAGCAAATATCTCTATAAATTGTGTTTGGGAACCACAGTAATTAATGTTTATTTTACTGGTATGAACGACGTTTCCAGTCACTTGTTGTTTGTAGTATTTATTTATTGGAATACATTTAGTCTAGAAAAAAATTAAATCTATAAGCTAAAATATTTGACATTAAAATTATTATTCTCAGAGAAGATGAGAGGAAGTAAAGAAAAGTGGAAGCATGCATGAGAGACTTTTGAGTTTGTCAATGGTAGTATATCTTAATTGCCTCAATTAAAAGTTAATCAATGATTAAAGCCAATTTAACGGCTCATGATTGATTGATTAAGGATTTAATCATTGATTAATTTTTAATCAAGCAGATCTTTAAGTTGTAATTACTTCAGGTTATGAGAGAAGAACCTTTAATCAACCTTAAACTACAAAAATCTAAACAGTATAAATAAATGTAGAAAATATACTTACGGATATAGCATTATTTTCATTTGTTGATACTTAAGAAAGCAGAAAATATAAAAAGTCTATTATTATTTAAAAAAAATTAAATGTATTAAATAGTTCCTAAAAGTATATGCTAATTGGGATATGCTATGTAAAGTTGAGTCTCCAATGTGAGAGAAGGTGCACATCGATGTTCATAGCTATAGATATACCACATCATACTTTAGTATACCTATAGCTATGAACATCGATGCATTGGAGACTCAACTTAAAGAGAGAAAAAAATGAATAAAAGAACATTGAGGGGAGTATTTAATGATACTTTGACTAAATTTCAGCAATTTAGTCTACAAATTTTACATATTTGAAGTAATTAACAAATATCATATACAAATCTAAATATTTAGAGTATTATTCAACTCAACTTACCACTATTTCCTGTCTGTCTTTCACAATAAGTATTGACGTATATTGACAGAAGGACCAAAATTGCAATACTTAATGATATTGGAGTTGCCATTATTTCTAATGTCCTTGTACAGCTTAGTGGACGACTTTTTGACAATTCGTTAGTAACTTTTCATTAATTCTTATTTAGAGAGTAAATTTTTTATTTACAATTGCAAAATAAAAAATTCATTACTTATAAATGTACAGTTAATTTAAATTAAATATTAATTTATAAGTAATAATAATAATAATAATTTTCTTACCAAAAGTGTAGTGTAGAATTTTTCAATGTTGAATAGTAAGAGAAAATCATATTATCGTGCCCCGCTTTTATACCATTGAACTATCGTATAATATTAAAAAAAAATAAAAACATAAAATTTAAAAAAAAATTTTTACCTTGAGTGGTAGATATCGTAAACTTTACAATATTGACATTATGTAAGTTAATTCTCAATATTTTACAAATTATATTATAATTTTTATAATTATAATTTATAATTTTAAGGGGACCCGCACCTGAATTTAAACTATATCAAAACATAATTTAAAACACTGTAACTTTTGATAAAATTGAAATTTCATTAAACCCGAACCCTTAAATGTAAAAGAGAATATAAGAAACTCAATGAAACAAGAACCATAAGCAATTTTTGTAAATAATTAGTAAAAAATATCAAAAACATGTTAATATATTTTAATCATCGATACAGTTTAAACTGATAATTCTTTTACTAATTTTCTGTCTCTCTGTTGAAATGTTTTATTTACTTATTTATTTAAAAAAATATATTCTTAATTTTTATAAATTCATTTCTAATTTAAATCAAATTTTAAAAGCATTTAAAAAAATTTAGTTGGAAGAAAGAATTAAAACGCAAAAAAGAAGATTATGAAATAAGTACATTTGTAAATCATAAATACTATTAATGTTGAACAATGATAAAAAAATGGACGAATAAATTAATGAATATACTACATATTTATTATTTCAAAAACTTTTTTCAAAACTTGTTCTTTTAAAACACACGTGTACATTTTAGTTTATTGCTTTCTTAAATTGTTGTAGATTATATAATGTTCATGAAAAAAATATTAGTTTTATAAAAAAAGAAGATTATAATTCTGTTTTTTTTAAAGAAAATATTATTTCTGATTAAGAAAAAATGTTAATTAAAAAGATTAAAAAAAACTTAAAGAAAATCAAAATACCAATATTGCTGTATAATTTTTTTATTTAAACCTATTTAACATAATTCTTAACAAGTACAAGTTATTTCATAATATTTCATTCTCTTATTTGGATAATCAACCTACATAGACATTCTACATATAATGTTCCATAGGTTTTAAAAAATAAGTTGTTAACAGTTGATAAAAGAATTATTATTCCGCTAAGAGTTTGTAAGCTGTGGTCATTGTATCTTGACACAATTTACCACATCTGTCAGGTTTGAATGAATTAGCTTCTCCAATTAATTCTAAATCTACTCTACCAATAAAACCCTCCAGTAATGTTAAATCATATGCACCTTCGGGAATAAGTTCAACAGTCCATGTTGCATATGGACTTAACACGCAATCACCATTACCAAATTCTTCATGTAAAGGTGGCGAAAAACTAGAAATTTGATTTCTTTCCTTAGGATATTTAAAATCTAAATTAATTGGTTTGGTTTCAATGATAAAATATTTGTTATTAAATTTATAAGTAGAGTCCCCGTGATGTGTTAAATTCACTCTAAACGTACTTAAAACGGTAAACAATTTATTTTGAACTGCATTATCCATTGAGGTAAAAACAATTCCAATCTTGTTGAATTTTAAAGAGTCAATCGAACCAGCGGATCCTTTTGAAACTATTGTCGTCTTATGACCTCTTAAAATATTAGCAATTACTTGATTACTATTTTCTTTTTTCCAAACAAAGAAAGCTTTTCCATCTGTACTACAGCTGCCTCTATATTGATCTGCTTTGATGTTCTCCACTAATTTTCTTTTCTCTTTTTCCACAGTAAAATATTTCAGAAAATTATCAATATTCGCCTTTATTTCTTCTGTAATTTGATTCACATCCTTGTCTACGAAAGAATATGGCCATCCAGTTTCTTGTAAAAATTCTCCTCCTTTTGGAAAAGAATACTGCTTAAAGGCATAAATCCATTCCTTGTACATGTCTTTTAATTTATTTTGATGAAAGACTTTTTTCAATTGAGCCACTGACGCTGAAAATTTATGATCTTTGCTCAATATTCTACTCTGTTTAGGTAAATGCATAACTCCTACGAACTTTGATTCTGATATTCGATCATAATTTTGTGTTATCACTATGTGAATGTTGGTTATAACTTGAAAGGTTTTGGAGAGTTTTTGAAGAGTCCAGTTTATATCATCAGTTGTGTTAAATCGTTGAAATGTTTCGTTCAATTTTCTTTGTACTTCTTCTATAGTGCTAAGAACTTTCCAATTAGCAACTACAATTTCACTTCTATCCATTTTATTCATGTTATGTTTGACTTGATTTATATCGGTAAATATTTTCTCAATCATAGGTTGTGTTTTACTGTATATACCTTCTTCGGTATTGTACAATTTTTTCAAATTATCCGCATTTGATTTTAATGTTTTGTCAATTTCATTAACTTTTGTTACATCTGTCATAATGTTTACCATAGTAGCAGATCCAGTTGACAAAACTTCATTACTTACTTTTATGAATTTTAATACGTTTAATTGAATTTTGCAATCATTTAACTTTATCATATCATTATTTCTATTTGCCTGTCGAATATTATTGTTAATAGATATTTCTTCATCTTGAAAATCTGAATCGAATTTATATGATTTGTAACTTGTTAACATTGGTTCAAATTGTTCGGTTTGAAACACTTGTTCGGTTTTTTCTCCTTTGAAAATATTGATGAGTTTATCTTTCATTTTTCTAACATTTTCTTTTCCGGTATTTGACATGTTCTTCACCATATTCGATATATGATTGTTAAAGACTGTTTCTCGTTGTTTCGGTTCAATACCTTCTAGAAATTTGTCTGAGGCACTTGTTACTACCTGACCTATTTTACCAATTTCTGTAACTTGTGCCGTGATATTAGTGTCTGTGATAAATGATTCAGCAACTGATAATGCTGATGTGCCTGCAGCAGCTGCTACTCCGAGTGCTGGATTTAAAACTGATACTACTCCGCAAGTGATTTTCAAAATCCCAAATATACCTTTTAACAGCATTGTAGTTTGTAACTCTTGACGCTTTTCTATTAATTCATTCTCTTTCTTGATTGTTGATTTAATTAATTCTGTAATCTCCTTTAACAGTGTATCTATTTTTGTATCTAATGTATTCTGTAAGTCTTTCATGGAAACTTGTAGCTCATTCTTTATCAAATCTTTGGCCCTATTTGTAAGATTGTCTATGCTATTTATTCTATCATTAAGTGCTTCTACTTTATAGTACACATCCTCAATTTCTGATAATACTTCTTTTGGTACTATTCCATTAGAGTTGTAGCTATCAGCAATATTTGTTAGTACGGTATACCCTTTTGGTTCCTGGATCACTGCAATTCTTTCTGGAAAGAGAAATAAATCTTTAGGTGTTTAGCATATTGTAGAATCTTTTAAGTTCATTGTAGATTGTAATCGTACAAATTTTGTATAATAATATTTAGTTAAAATTACACTTTAATAACGCTATAGTAAAAGATAAAATAAAAGAATATTTACCCTGTATAAGCCATTGCAAAGTTCTTAGAATATCCTTATAAGCCCTATCATTTTCTTTAGCATAATTTGCATTATTTAAATAATCTTGAAATCTTCCAGACAAATGAACGTATGATGATGTAAGATAGTCTCGATCTTCCAAGAGAAAATATTGTGATTCTAATCCTGTAAATTCGTCAACTAAACTTTTAGCATCATAGAGCTTAGTAATTTCCTGTCGACTGTTTAATGAATCATAAAAAGAATGCACTGGTTTATTACTGTCAATTTTATTCAATCTAGATCTGATGTAAAGTTTATACTCATTTATAGTTTGTGGGAAGTTTTGTATAATGATTGTTGTCTTGGGCAATTGACGCATTCTTAAACTTTCTCCAGTAAGTCCTTCTGCACCCCTTGGTCCCGATTCTTTAGTAAGTCCCAAAGGTGTGAGTGTTGTTGTATATGAACTAAATGCACTAACCTTGTCACATTTAATATCTACTGATTCTCCATTTTGGCCTCCAAATCCTCCAATTCCCCTAACTCCATCAGAACCATTTAAACCATTAAACTCATTGATTACAACATAACTGTAACCATCACTTTTCGATAAATCGAAGAGAAGAACATTTCCTGCATAGCCTCCTAATCCCTTAACGCCACCATTTCCTCCTCTTCCACCACTTGATCCAGTCTGTCCCTCTACAGTATATTGTCGTTGTATATGTCCTGCCAGATGTATCAATTTTACATTACCATTTTTTGACACTTTAAATCCCTTTACCTTTTCTGTATCACAGTCAAATGCATTTTTATCCCTTAAACCGACACCAGCTCTGCCATTAGCACCATGGCCACCCATTTGTCCTTTTCCTCCTAGGCCACCTTTTGCAAAAATAATTAAACGATTTTCATTTATAATTTCTTTTGTAACACCATAGAAACTTCCGGCAGATCCTCCCGGTAAGCCTGCATTTCCATCTTCTCCATGTTTATTTCCGGAGTCATTACCATCAGCTGCTGGTTTTTTAAAATCCACGGCATCTATTCCATCTAAATTAATTTCTCGATTATCATTTACTTCCCAAATAGGAGCAATTATTGCTAACTGTATCTGCCTGCCTTTCAAAATAATATCTTTGTCGATAATAACTTTTTCTTCAGCAAATATCTCTATAAACTGTGTTTGGGAACCACAGTAATTAATGTTTACTTTACTGGTATGAACAATGATCCCCTTCATTTGTTGTTTGTAGTATTTATCTATTGGAATACATTGAATCTAGAAAAAAAGATAGTGATTCTTCTATTAGCGACTAGATTATCTATTAATTTAACTAAATTCGTTTGAATTTTGTATTTCGGATTTTGAAAATTTTTTTTTTTTTTGAATTAGTGTTTATTTTTTGTAAATAAAATTGTTCGTAGTAAAAGTTTAACATTAATAAAGATTATCTTACCAAAACTTGGTTATTGTCATCTAAATGTCTTGCGGAATTGGAAGTTATTGAAAATAATAGAAAAAACAGAAAATGTCGAAAATCCATAGTTAGCAGAAAGTTAATTCCTCTAACTTTTTTTGAATAAGTTGATGTTATAACAGGATAAAGTATTCTAACGGAGAAAACTTATATACTCTTTATTTTGAAAAGCTGTAAAGAAATGAATATATAGAATTAATAGTTTAATTTAAATATTAAAGAAATTTTGCTATTCTGTTTGAATTACAATTAAAAAAAAGATTAATAACTTACATTACAATTTTTTATTTGTTATGTTAATAAAAAAGTTTAGTGACAATTTGTCCAATAAATTTTTAACAGTATTTAATCAGGATGACTTAATACTGTAATGACACTTTTTCTTTTAAACACTTGTTTTCCATTAGTAAATTTAACACATTATGTACTTAAATATTTCTAAAGAGTTCTATGTCAGAAGTACAAATAAATCACTTTAAGAACTGATTTTTGTTTAAATAGACTACAAAATAATTATCAATGGAAATATTTAATTGAATGAATGTGATGAAGGTATTTTCTTATTGACGTCTTTCGATTTGACATTTAATCCGACAGGTGTTTTTGAAAGCTGTTTTAATGACTTCAATAATTTTTGATGGTATATACACAGACCTCTGGAATTACAGATACAAAAACTGACAATCCCGAAGATCCAGCTAATGATAATGATATTTTATTTCATCTGTATTTTGTCACGTCAACGTAACGAATAATAATAATTAATAATAATAATGCTAATGACAATAATAATAAATTTAATAAAAACAAATAATGATTATTATTTACATATTGTTGATTGTAATTGTTTGAACTAATAGTTTAGTTCTATAATAACAAATTGTAACTTTTTATGTTCGTAATTAATTAGATAAGCTAACTTTTTGGTGAATTCAATAAAATACCAATATTGCAGTGAAAGTTTTTTATTTTTTTTTGTAAACATAATTCCTAACAAGTACAAATTATTTCATAATATTTCATTCTCTTATTTAAATAATCAAACTACATGGATATTCTACATACAATGTTCCTTATAAAGTTTTTAAAAAATACGTAGTAAATGGTTGATAAAAGAATTATTATTATGCTAAAAGTTTGTAAGCTGTGGTCATTGTATCTTGACACAATTTACCACATCTATCAGCTTTGAATGTATTACTTTCTCCAATTAATTCTAAATCTACTCTTCCAACAAACTCCTCTAGTGATCTGAAATCATATAAACCTTCGGGAATAAGTTGAATAGTCCATGTTGCATATGGACTTAACACGAAATTACCATTACCAAATTCTTCATGTACAGGTGACGAAAAACTATAAATTTGATTTCTTTTCTCAGGGTGTTTAAACTCAAAACTAACGGGTTTGGTTTCAATGAGAAAATTTTTGTTATTAAATTTATAAGTAGAGTCCCCGTGATGTGTCAATATAACTTTAAAAGTTTTTAAAACTGTAAACAATTTATCTTGAACTGCAGTATTCATTGAGGTGAAAACAATCCCAATCTCGTTGAATTTCAAAGAGTCAATAGAACCAACAGATCCTTTGGAAATTATCGTTGTCTTTTGACCCCTTAGAATATTAGTTATTATTTGATTACTATTTTCTTTTTTCCAAACAAAGAAAGCTTTTCCATCTGTACTACAGCTGCCTCTATATTGACTGTTACTGTACTCGTCCTTTAATTTTGTTTTCTCCTTTTCCTCAGTGAAATATTTCAGAAAATTACCAATATTCGCCTTTATTTCTTCTGTAATTTGATTCATGTCCTTGTTTACAAAAGAATATGGCCATCCAGTTTTTTGTAAATACTCTCCTCCTTTTGGAAAAGAATACTGCTTAAAGGCATTAATCCATTCTTTGTACATATCTTTTAATTTATTTTGATGAAATACTTTTTTCAATTGAGCCACTGAGGCTGCAAATTTATGGTCTTTGCTTAATATCCTACTCTCTTTAGGCAATTGCAACGCTGCTAGAAACGTCGAATCAGATATTCGATCAGTATGTTGTGATACTTCTTTGTGAATGTCAGTTATAACTTGAAAGGTTTTCAAGAGTTTTTGAAGAGTCCAGTTTATGTCATCAGTTGTGTTAAATCGTGATAATGTTTCATTCATTTTTCTTTGTACTTCTTCTATGGTGCTAAGAACTTTCCAATTAGCAACTACAATTTCACTTCTATCCATTTTATTCATGTTATGTCTGACTTGAATGATATCGGTAAATATTTTCTCAATCATAGGTTGTGTTTTACTGTATATACCTTCTTCTGTAGTGTACAATTTTCTTAAATTTTCTGCATTAGTTTTTAATGTACTGTCCATTTCATTAACTTTTGTTACATCTGTCATAATGTTTACCATAGTTGCAGATCCAGTTGACAAAACTTCACTGCTCACTTTTATGAATTTTAAGACGTTCAATTGAATTTTGCAATCATTTAACTTTATCATGTCATTGTTTCTTTCTGCCTCTTGACTCTTGCTTATAATAGATGTTTCTTCATTTTGGAAATCGGAATCAAATTTATATGATTTGTAACTTGTTAACACTGGTTCAAATTGTTCGGTTTGAAACACTTGTTCGGTTTTTTCTCCTTTGAAAATATTGATGAGTTTATCTTTCATTTTTCTAACATTTTCTTTTCCGGTATTTGACATGTTCTTCACCATATTCGATATATGATTGTTAAAGACGGTTTCTCGTTGATTGGGTTCGATACCTTCTAGAAATTTGTCTGAGGCAGTTGATACTACCTGACCTATTTTACCAATCTCCACAGTTTGTGCTGTAATATTAGTGTCTGTGATAAATGATTCAGCAACTGATAATGCTGATGTGCCTACAGCAGCTGCCACTCCGAGTGCTGGATTTAAAACTGATATTACTCCGCAACTGATTTTCAAAATCCCAAAAATACCTTTTAACAGCATTGTAGATTGTAACTCTTGACGCTTTTCTATTAATTCATTCTCTTTCTTGATTGTTGATTTAATTAATTCTGTAATCTCCATTAACAGTGTGTCTATTTTCGTATCTAATGTATTCTGTAAGTCATTCATTGAAACTTGTAGTTCATTCTTTATCAAATCTTTGGCCCTCTTTATATGATTATCTATGCTATTTATTCTATTGTTAAGTTCTATTACTATGCTATACACATCCTCAATTTTTGATAATACTCCTTTTGGTACTATTCCATTAGAGTTGTAAGTATCAGCTATGTTTTTTAGTGCGGTATATCCTTTTGGTTCCTGAATCACTGATATTCTTTCTGGAAAGAGAAAGTAAAAATAATAATAATCAGAGAAAATTGCAATGTAATTTAAAGATAGTATAACAAGGAGAGATTAAATGAAAACTTACTGTCTACGAGCCAGTATAAATTTCTCGCAACATCCTTATATGCCCTGTCATTCTCGTCAACATAATTTGTATTGTTAAAATAATTTTCAAATCGTCTTGCCAAATGAATGTATGATGATGTAAGATAGTCACGATCTTCCAAAAAAAAATATTGTGATTCTAATCCTGTAAATTCTTCAACTAAACTTTTTGGGTCATAGAGCCTAGTTATTTCCTGTCGACTGTTTAATGAGTTATAAAAAGAATGCACTGGTTTATTCACGTTAATTTTATTCAATCTAGATCTGATGTATAATTTGTACTCATTTATAGTTTGTGGGAAGTTTTGTATAATGATTGTTGTCTTGGGTAATTGACGCATTTTTAAACTCTTTCCATTAAGTCCGTCTGTACCTCTTGATCCCGATGCTATAGTAAGTCCCAAAGGTGTGAGTGTTGTTGTATATGAACTAAATGCACTAACCTTGTCACATTTAATATCTACTGATTCTCCATTTTGGCCTCCAAATCCTCCAATTCCCCTAACTCCATCAGAACCATCTAAACCATTAGACTCATCGATCACAACATAACTGTAACCATCACTTTTCGATAAATCGAAGAGAACAGTATTTCCTGCCAAACCTCCTAATCCCTTAGCGCCTCCATTTCCTCCTCTTCCACCACTTGTTCCACTCTGTCCCTCTACAGTATAGTGTTTACGTATCCATCCTGCCATATGTACGACTTGCAAATCACCATTTCTTGACGCTTTAAAGCCCGTCACTTTTTCTGCCTCACAGTCAAATGCATTTTTATCCCTTAAACCGACACCGGCTCTACCGTTAGCACCATTGCCACCTTTCTGTCCTTTTCCTCCTCGTCCACCATTTGCTAAAATAATTAAACTTAATTCATTGATAATTTCTTGTGCAACACCATAGAAACTTCCGGCAGATCCTCCCGGTAATCCTGCATTTCCATCTTTTCCATGTTTATTTCCGGATTCATTACCATCCTCTGCTGGTGTATTCAAATTCACGGCATCTATTCCATCTAAATTAATTTCTCTTTTACCTTTTACTTCCCAAATTGGTGCAATTATTGCTAACTGTATCTGCCTGCCTTTCAAATTAATATCTTCGTCGATAATAACTTTTTCTTCAGCAAAAATCTCAATAAACTGTGTTTGTGAACCACAGTAATTATTGTTTATTTTACTGGTATGAACAATGATCCCTTTCACTTGTTGTTTGTAGTATTTATCTATTGGAATACATTGAATCTAGAGAAAACATAAATACAATATGTTGTTATTATTATTTGTAAATTGTTTCTTTGATTTGTCAACCTTTAATCAGTTCTCAACTTAAAGATTAAAATTAAAAACTAAAAAAACTAATATTAAAACTAAAATTATATGTGTAACGATAGTTAAACAAACCCTGACCGACGAGCTAATCCCACACAATTTACAATGATTACATATGAAAGATATTTATTTTAAAATGATATAAGTAGTAATAGTTTAATATTCTTTAATTTACTGATGGTAACAAATACTTACAGATAGTTCGTCATTATTATTCGAGAATACAGCTGAATTCAAAGAGAATAAATATAAAAGAAAAAGTATAATATGTCGTAACTCCATAATTATTAAAAAACAATTTTAAAAAATTTTAGTTTTAGAGTCATTCAAAACTTATGTTTATAGAAAAAACTTTCTACATTTTTAACTTAAAAAGTTTCTCATTATATATAGTTCTATCTTAACAAAAATTACAATAAAGTAAATAAGTATTTGAATTATTTTACATTTTAACAAATTTTTCGCATTTTTAATAAATAGTAGATATTTGGAATTTATTATACATGACGTCAAGATCAAACGTCGTTTTATTTTACTATTTGTCTTTTTGGGAAAATATCATTGACGTTTTCAAATATTTAAATTTGAAATTTAATTCTAATGTGTAATTTTAT